ACAGAGCACCTCTCCGTGACGAGCTAACGCGGCGTCGCCGTCCTTCCCGGTGCAGCCGCAGCCCGACCTGACCCGGCGGCCACGTCAACTCGGACCTTCGAGCCACCAGTGCAGATCCGATAACTGCTCTCATTGTCCTGGCAGTCCCGTCACAAACGGCCCAGATCACTGTCCTGCCTTTGCACCACCACTTTCTTCAGGCATGGTGCCGAAATAGCTTGTAAAAGGTTGTTCTCTCCAATTCAACCTGTATTCGTCGATCGGCCTTACACACGACCGCCCAGTCACATGGCTACGACTTGACTCCCCCTCTGTCCCGGCCGACGCGCCGGCATGGCCCCGAAACTGGGACGAACGGCCGCCGGGACCGCTCCGACGCCAGATGTGCCCCTCCGTCCACACCGGAGGTCGACGGCGGCCGGCCGACGCTCCCGGCGGCGCCGAGGCGACAGCCTCCAAAACCCAACTCTCGCACTACAGTTAATAAAAAATAGCAAAAGCTAGTCACTTAAGCCCACATCTCCATGCATGTTCGCTTACGACATCGTTATCGCTTACGACATCGTTACTACAACGTTTGCAGCTGTGAGCTACCGGCGTGCTGGAAATGTTACCGATTGTTTACCCCAATTACCTACATCAATAGTCACATACCAAGGTCAGAATGGTGGCACACAAGCGCCAAGAAGAAACTGTACCGCCAGTAGTCCACCGAACAAATATTATGCGTTTGTCAATGCTTAGAAAACGTTTCCAGAGACGGGGACAAAAACGACAGACAAGCGTGCACACATAGCAATGCTGTTCGTCAGACGCGTGAAACCTGAGCCAATACAAACGCGTGTTTATGTAGCTAAACTAGTCCAGGAAGTGCTGTGTGCAAAGAAGCTAGCGTAAGATATATGACGACGTGACATGTGATGTGCTAATGATTGAATCTGAACTTCATGCAGTATTTTCATCAATTCAAAATTGGGCATGCTTGTCTCTAAGATTTCAAAATATTGAAAAGAAGGATCCGTAGCTGTGTTAAAGTCATTTCCGGACATTTTCCTTCGGGAACAATGTTACTCGAGACATCGCCGTAAACATAAACGAATAAATACCTATCTGATGTCTCTTTGATGCTTAGGCGCATCGCGTTATGGGCACCTGCAGCTGTCAGTGCCACTATGCGTAATCTGATTAGGTTAATAAGGATCCCTCTCTATCCGCCTAATAACCATATTAATTATACCATAATGCTGCTTAATTCACAACTTGTGTATTTACTGCTCAGCAATGTGTTTCAAATTCTCAGCACGAGCTTTGGTATGCTGTATTTATATGCGCCTCTCAGCTACTCTTACATTCTGCGAAATTCTCAGTTGGTGATAGCCTTCTTCATGTTGTTGCTTGCTTGGTTACCTATGTAAGCCTTAAATACCTATTCTGTATTCAGGCAGTGTTTTGTTGAAGTAGGTGTGTGTTATTACATATTGGAATGTCTAAAACAGGTGGTATACAATAGATGTATGTCGATGGACAACACACTCGTAGAAGTCACATGGAACGCTTAAAAAGATGCTTGCCTCTAGATAAATCCAATTTCAATTAGAGGTGGCAAAACTGGAAAATTTTGGGACCCGGACCCGGACCCGGTCTGACTGGCACATTTCTGGAACCGGTCAGACCCGGTCTAAGTCAGCGTTGGAACCAGATGGACCCGTTCCCGAAATTCATTGTGAAAATTGTGTACAGTTGTAGGTATAGCAAAAGAAAATAGTTTCTTTCCAATTGGGCATACTTGTGTTGCAAAGTAAAAAACTCATGCCATGGTCATTTCACTTCGCTTCACAGTTTGTATTTTGGAACCAGATTTAGGTCATATTCAAGTAAAGACGTAAGTACACCAATGAATTTCATGCTAACCTAAGCCACTTTTACTACAGCTGCTAAAAATGATGTGAACTGGGGATCCATGGACCAGTGCCTTCACCAGAGTCAGAACAAGAACCTAACATCAACATGGAACAAGATAACCATACTGATACATACCTTTTCTAATATTCTTGGTAAAAGATATTCGTTTTTAGAATTAAATTCATTAGTCCTTACAAATATTATCAACTATCAAAGGCCCCAAACGATACAACATTCAAAATCAAAATAGACATACAACATTCAAAAATCAAAACATGAAAACTGTGTGAGGTTCGCCAGAAATGTCGACACGATAGCAATGCAAGGACGCGTTAAATCACTGCAAAATTTTGCTGGGGTTAAAGTACTGCAAAATCGTAATGGCAATAAACTTTTAAGTAGGTACTGCAAGTTGGTTAAGTAGGTTGCGATCATGACTTAAGTGCCAATTTATTAACGCAGAAAACAAACTACATTTTGTTGTCAGTACCTAGATATAGAATAAATACCAAGGGTTCTGAGACTTAGGTACCTGATTTCTTCTCGAACGTGTTCCAAAATTTAACCTTTATGCAGTAGATTAGCGTGCGTAAGGTATAGCATATATGACGCTCAAATGCGCCACTTTCACATCAACATGAAATCATTGGCCTTGGAGAAGGGCATTGGTATTGACTCAGTTTTTTGTCAGCTGCTGCCGTATGATGGCGCTAGTAGAGCGCTATATGTATAATACGCTCTGCTAGCGCCACCATGCGGCGCCAGTTGGCTAAAATCTTATCAATACTACGGTTTCTGGAGAATGCCTTGGATTCATTTTTAGCTTTATGGATTTATGCAGGGGCATGTTGGTTTTATGAGTTGTCTTCTGGCCGTGATAGAAATAATTTCAAAGCTGTTTGAGCTATGAAATGCATTTGAATATCAAACATGAACTCTGATTTCCGGTGGGCATAGTGACTTTGGTATGTCAATGTCTTTGAAAAGGCAGGTGAGAATGCCACTGGTCAGCCTTGCTTCAATTGGATTTGTGTCCATTTATAAATGGATTTCAGTCATACCTACTTACCTACATATGTTATTGGTATTTGATTTCTACAGCTCAAAATATTGCTAGGTGCTGTACAGCAAACTGAATGGAAGTGATCCGTACAAACATTTGGTGCAATGTTTTCAGCACTTAGAACTTGTTTATTCTGTTGTAGGTGACAAGATAAGAAACTGAAGCATGACTGACCAGTATTAGTATTTAGTATGCTATAGAATAGGTAGCCCAATCTGCTGGAATATTAAAATTCAAAAGTGGAATTGGGACTTATGAAGTATGAACTGGAAACTGCATCAACTATGACTATGTTTGCCAAAGCATAAAATATATTAATATTTACCATAAAGCACTGGGAAATGATAGGACCCGGTTGGACCCGGCCAAATATTTTGGGGGACCCGGTCTGGACCCATCCGGGTCCAGACCGGTTCCATAGACCGGGTCCCCGGGTCCACATTTTGCCACCTCTAATTTCAATGTCATTTTTGGCGGATCACATTGCACATATTTGCTTACGTTCACATTTGGCATAGACGGTATGCGATGTGCAGCATCGGCGTTACCATTTGGCATCACCGGCATTGACAAAGTTTTTACCAAATGTCATTTTCTTGGGTTTCAAGGCGCGCCGCGCGGTGGACGGCGTTCGAAAGTGAGTCGAGACGGCAATACTCCGTGGCGCCCGAGCAATCGAATGCCTGAGGTGGTAGACTGTGCCGGCACACACGGGTGTCCAGCGGTGCAGTCTACCCTCCAGCCGCGTCGCCCGGATATCTCGGCTCAGCTACTGCTGGGAGCGGCGCGGTCGTGGGGGAGGGGGGCGGGACGGTGGACGGCAGGTGACAGGGTCGGTGTGTCGGCGGTCAGACGATGATCCGCCGGCTAGTCGATAGATAGTCTCTGGTCGTGGGAGACGGCCGCGGTGTCTGAGCACCGCCCGCGGCGCCGGCCGGTTAGCGGACGCTCTATCAGCAGCGCACAATGCGGCGGCGCGCGGTCACCGGCACTCTGATGGCCCCAGAGGTCTGTTGTCACCGCCGGCCCTCTCTGCGGGGCGCCGGGGTCGGCCGCAGAAGAAAATGTCACATCAGGAAGCCAATATGAGTGATGGGACATTAAAGGTTATCGACAAAACTCGCGCCCAGGCGTTGATGGCAGCATGTCTTGTAGTGCCTTTAGAGCGTACTAAGAGCGTATCCCCAGCTTCCGAGAACGTTCTAAAACGTACACACAAGACTGAAATACTTACATAGGCTGAAAACATCGGGTAGGTACGGGTATTTACGGGTAGTGGTAACCACGCGGCGGTGGAAGTTAAATGTAACGGAAAGGGCGTATGGATACAATTAGGTATAAAATACAACTGGGAATATTACCCGTGAAGTGACGCATATCCTTTGGGAATCAGATACAGGACGGGAAATGAAACAATCCGTCATTTGTTGACATTTAGGTTCAGATTAACTGCGTCACCGAAAAACTGCCACTAAATAAGTCGGATCGAGGAAGCGATTAGCAATTCCCGACTTCACAATGGACCCTGACCACGTTCAAGCTGTTCTTTACTTTCTGTAAATGAATACTTGCCTACTTGTACCTTGAATGGATATTAAGTAGCTGCAAACTGTTATTTAATTTATCTGACGACTTTATACCAACACATCGAGCGTGCCACCTCCAGAAGTGTTCGTGACCCGGCTTGACTGCCTGAATCGGTGTCACCTGTGACTGTTATACCCGGCTGGCCCTGTATGACCCGCAATGATGGTCAAACACTACCTCCTGCCGTGTCTGTGACCCTGTCTAATCCGTCTGGCCGGAGACCCGTCAAGATGGCCCGGTGCCACCTACTGCCCTGCCTGTGACTCCGTTTGACCCCTTTGTGACCCGCCAAAATGGTCCGCGGTGCCACCTTCTACCGTGTCGGTGACCCGTGTGACCCTTCCTAACCCGTGTGACCCCTATGTGACCCGCCAGGATGGTCCGGTGCCACCTCCTACCCTGTCTGTGGGCCGCTCTGATCCAGTATAACCCCTTTGTGACCCTCCAGGATGGTCCGGTGCCACCTCCTACCCTGCCTGTGGGCCGCTCTGCTGTGGGTCTCCGTCCAGGGCCGGCCGTCGTCCGTGGAGCAGCTACCAGACGGCACCGACGTCATGCTCAGCTCGATGGGCCTGGTGGAGGGCACTGATCAACAGCACGAGCTGCAGCAGGCGCCCGGCACCGCATGGCAGCAAAAGACCGGCACGCCGCTGATGGACGTCAAGGAACAGCTGGCCACGGTGAGGCTACTATACCAGCGGCCACTTTTTACAGATATTTGAGGGTCCATTTAGAAAATATCCCTGAATTGTTTCGTTTATGCATGCAACGCTATCGAGGGGGCGCCGATTGCCGACTTGGCTTGAATTTGCGATCAGTAAAAATGCAAGGGTCTAGCGACTAAAAACCTGGCGTTTTTCGTTATTGCATAGATGCCCCCCGCCCACACTGACCCCGCCGGTGCCGGCCCAGGAGGAGCAGGGCGAGGACAGTGCCGTGCTGCGCCAGCTGCTGGGCCGTCTTCTACCCTCGGTACCCTCTCTGCAGCCTCCGCGGAGCCGCCGGAGCGGGCCGGACGGCGACCGGAGCAGCCAGCAGCAGCAGCTCAGCAGCCAGCAGCACCAGCAGCTGACCCGCCAGCTGCTGAGGCGTTTCAGGGAGCTCCAGAAGCGCAGCTACCCCTACAGGAGCGACCTGCTCAGACAGGCGCGAGGTATGATCTGCAGCCAACTGTACGGCATCTATTCAATGTTTTATGAAAATATCATTTACAAATGCTTGCAGTGAACAGTTCCAAGGGCTTTACTAAAGATCATAAGCCGTGGACAGCTATCCTGGCATTCACACTCCACGGTGCGAAAACTTATATTGCTTTCAAATGATGACGACAATGTTCTGCATTCGCCGTGTACGCTTCTGACGATAACTACTTCTTTTGTGTATTTCCAGGCTACATGTGCCTCAGCAAAGTGTGCAACTTCAAGGGCGCGCGCGGCAAGTGATTACCTCGAGTCTCGGCACCTACCGGTGACGGCCGCTGGTGAGCGGGCCACCGGCCAGGGCGCGGTCTCCGATGACAGGAGGTCGGCCCTTTTTCAACAACGGAGGCCGGCGGGCTTGGCGCTCTGGATAACAGCTACAATAAGGAAATGGAACCAGTGGGGCACTAACTACATCCACGGGAGGAAGCGATTGGGACAAACATGCCCTGTTTGGAAAATTTGCCTTGGCGGAAGGATCTGTCAAAAGAATGCGAGCAATGTCAGAAATTAAAACATACCACTATCCGAAGCGTGTCATTTACCAAAATACGTGTATGGTAAATTTAACAGACACTTGCGCATAATAAACCTAAATCAATCATCCTCGATCGGAAAAGTCCCAGCAATTGTTTTTAGGTACACGATTGTTAGTATTGAAATTCGAATTCAATATGATACAGATTAAGACGTGGAGATTATTTGCGGACACATAGAGGCTGGATATAAAAGTACCTATCGTAAAAGGTTGTCTATGCATGCAGGTTGGTGTCGTACTTTCAATGCTGGTTTATATAACCCGTGTTCTGTAAAGTTGAATGCAACATTAGAGCAAGCGAGAGCTGGTTACTCAATCTTTTGCATCGTTGAACGTAACGCTTCGTCGAAGTCGGTTAAGTCAGCTAGGGGTCAAGTTTGAAGTTCAGGAAACTTAAATGTTAATGTTTGAACTGTAACATCGTCTATGCATAGGTTATCGTAGAAACATGTGCAAGAAATCTTCATGTTGTCATGCTTCAGACCGATAGGACTAAGGAAGCAGCCTAGGAATATTTTGCAGCACAATTATTTTTTGTGACGAGCATCTTAGAGTATTCCCGATGCTCTACTACCGAACTGACGGAAAGCGCCAAACGGCCGAGGTCTCACCAAACGTGTCCATCAGTGCGCGGGCCCCGCCGAAAGAGGACGCATGGGACGCGCGCTCCTGTCAATATTTCTCGTATAATAATACGTCTGAACGTAAAGACTCTATTTCGAGCGGCGTAAATCCTCCCCGAGTGTCTCCTCCTGACGGCGCCCGCGCACCAGTGTTGCTCACCCCACTCTGTTGGTCATATTGGCTGACAGGAGTGCAGCTACGGGTGACCTAATGTACCATCTCCGCACCGGGTCTTTGCCGAATAAATCATGTGCAAAACAGTGCCTTTTTATGTTAAGGCGAGAGAAAAATGAGGCGGAGTGCCAGTGGTGTTTGAACACTAGTTTGCGGTATGGGTATAGTGAAAAGTACAAATACGGCCAATTCAATACACAATGTGCATCGCCATTCGCCCCCCCACACACACAAAAAAAAACTTTCAAGCAAAATACGTGAACAATTAGGGTAGAAACAGCACATAACAGCTGTGTAAAACGTCAGTTAAATATCACGGTATGCATAAGTAGGCATGAGGAATAGCACGCCACGTTTTTAACCTATCACATCCAGAAGGCATTCCCTAATTCCCTTCGAGTAAATCGAGAAATAAACGACTTTAGATGAACTGACAAATGTAATAACTAAATTCAAAAGATGTCAGTTTCCTGCTGTTCTCAAAAGTTATCCCTGTTACGATAAATGAGATACATTAATCCTCAGCTTTGGAATGTTCAACATTGCAATGAGATAGAAACCAGCAACGAACATAAGCTTCACTACATCGTGGCCGTGCACTGAACAAATCGGCTCAAGCGTCTCCGATCAACGTTATTATTCAAGCAGGCGTTAAAAATGGAGCGAAGAACTTCATTCCCATCGAGCGAGAATCTCCTATAACTACCTACTGCTAAAATACAGCAGGGCTGGAGTTCGGGCTGCTAGGGTCGTGAACCAATGCTGATTCGGCCGTCCGCCACCATACACGTGGAATCTTTTTATGCACCACCAAGTGGACTGCTCTGGTGTCATCATTAGCGAGTGCTACACAGGTTCGCTATCATGTGTCGAAATCGGCCGCCCCGGGTCCCTAACAAGGCTGTCACGAAATATGTGGGCTCGTGGCTCCACGCTCAATGTGGGCGCAACAGCCAAACAAAGGGCGGTAAGACGGGATGCCAATGACACCTCAACATGACGTTCAAAATGAAAATGCTTCTTAAAATTTTAGGTCCATTCGGTAAAAATAAAGAGAATGTCACACCTAACTTGTAACGGCCTCTAGCGACTGAATCAGAATGGTCCGTTTCACGGGCGACACTTCCCGAAATTGGTAGGGCTCTAATGGGTTTAGGATGCCGAAGCCATTCTTACTATGCAGCGCCATAGGATTGATGTTAAATTTCTGAAATTATTGGGAGGGCTCGAACCCTATCAAGCCTATAGAGAACGACAGATCCATGGTCCGTGTAACTGAGCAGGGTAGACTGGCCCGCACTACATGCATGCCGTGCGGGTCAGCCTACCAGTGCAGGCAGCGGAGCGGCACGGCCTGTTTAAGTGTTTAGTCGCGAGTCGGCGTCACAGGCGAGATTAGAGACGTCACACATTAGGAGATAGCGTGGCCTGTGGACGATAACGCAGAGTTAAACTGGTTCGAGAGGGGAGTATGTGGGCAGCAGGGGCGGCGCCACGGGTTTTCGATAGGGGGGGACGGGGACGGGGGCTTGCCTGACTGAGAATCCCAAAAGTAGATACTGATCGTGTATGCAAAAAAAAACGAGGCACGTAACGCCGCGAAACTTGGCAAAGCCCAAAACACATCGAATGGTGCATCCCGTTTCCAAACTTATCATAGGACAACTATAAGATCGATCACCTTTTCAAGCATCCTTGCCTCTAAATCAAAATTTGCAGTCTTGCCAACTCAAAGCTGGTTTCCTACAAGCTGCGAATTGCTTAGGTATGAGTAGCAGTGCCAACTACTTACGTTTCGTACTTTCAAATTTTCGATCTTGCGTCTGGTCAGCTTCATGGCTTCATCATCATATAGTCATGGAGGAAAAGTGGGAATGTTTTCTGCTCTGACAAGTGCGCCAAAACTGCAATATAATTTCAGAATCATGACATCACCACCTGATCCATATGCAACGGGCAGGGTGCAGCTAATGGCTAGCCGTCAGTGGTCATGTCATCGGTGGTCACTCAAAAGGTCATGCTAGGTCATGGAAGGTCACCAGCCGTTATTTGATCACACTTTCTGATGGATTTTACTTACCAAGAGCTTCAAGGGAAAAACGAGCGCATGCCGCATGCACCGTTGAAAAAATTGAGTGAAAGGGTCTCAGGTCCGGCGACCTCTGCAGGTGAAGTGCCCCAGGGTAGGATTCCGGTCCTTGTTGATTAACTTCGTCAAAAATTGCGGTACATAGAGCTGTGATGTCGGCACCATTGTGTTCGTCATGATCGAGCTGTCACGACCTGCATCGTTCTCATATTCACCCTCCAATCGTAACAACTACAGCAGGGATTGGCAAATGGCGTGGCACCCCTTTGGGAGGTAATGAAGGTCTCTTGAAACCTCATCCCTCATCTCTTTAGCATCAGTGGCTCTCCTTATGGAACAGGTTTCTTGACTGGTCTGTTTCACCCCAGAATTCAAAGACTAGTCAAGGTAAAACCGAGCGCACCACAGTGAGCACAATTTGATAAGCTGGTGTATCTCAATTTCATGTAGAACCTTTCACGTATCACGTACCTAAAACCCTTTCGTGCACTCATGCAAAAGCAACTGCCATGTTTCAACAGCTGGTAATGGCATTTTCACAGCCGCTGACGTAAGAAGGGGAGGGAAGGGGGCTTGATTAGACCCCCAGCCGTTCGGCCGCCGACCGAACTTAGTTTTGCAGAAAAAAAACGAGTGCTATCGAACCCCTTGACGAGAGGGTGCCGATGCTACCCAATTATAAGATCTTGGGCTACGGCGTGCTTTTTTGGTCCTGCCTGTGATCTATCCGAACACTTCTGCCCACAAGTGCTGGGTTAAATGGCATATATTTCAAATGGTTCCTGTGGTAGAGCTGCCATGCTTGAATTTGACTAATTAGGAATGGAAAATATCCATATAGTAACGGAAATCTATGGAATTTCAGTAAACTTGGTTTTGTCGGCAATGTGGTCTGGCAGTGGGGTGGGGGAGGTAATAAACCCTGTCTGGCGCCCCAAAAAGGGGGGGCACGATCCCCGAGGCCCTGCCGATCACCTTATGACTACAGGCATCACAGCTCCACACCTTTTGCAGATGGCCAGGACCCCCTGCGATACATCCCAACAGCAATCTTTATTCAGAACCTGTCTTGATTAACCAACGATGCATTAAATGCGACGGATAACTCTACAATGCATTATTATCAACTATTGAACGGACCTCGCCGATAGGGGGGTACTGTACCCCCCTAACTTTCGATAGCGGGGGACCTGTCCCCCCCGTCCCCCCCGGTGGCGCCGCCCATGGTGGGCAGCTCTATACAACAGATCACTACGCTAATACGACAGTCAACGACAGTAGGATCCGACCGAGCGGTTTTCCACAATCGTTAGCCGTGACCTGAGACGTTTCAGATATTTTCAATTGCATAGCAAGGAACCAGAACGCAAAATCCAACCAGATTTCAGATACTGGAGAACCATTTTTGGCAGTGTACCCCCGCAGTGTTTCAAACAACGTTTTCGAATATGCCACTGAGGTCTGAGGAGCGCGAAATTATAGGCGATCTACGCTAGATACGTTAGACCTCACGTACCACTCTACTTGCAATAACAAACGACTAAACCATTCGAATTTAATGAACAGTTGCCGAAACGGAAGCCATAAACGATGATCAAACCTCATTGATAAAAGCGCTAACATTTACACCAAATATATAATAAATAGTAACAGGTAATCGTACTTTCAAACCAACTCGTCTTGTAATTGTCAACCATTCTTCGCAAGCGCCACATTTCTGTCCCGACGTTTTCCGTCAGACGCCCGCGTATATTGGAGAAGTTTGAAATTCGAATGCCTCCGATGGGCGATGTCTTGACATGTTTGGGCTGAAGCTCCTCATCCTTTTCCGGAACGAATTATGCAAAGTTCAACTGACTTCGAATGGTGTGTATTGTTTAAGTTAAAATCACATAGATAAATGTATATAATCACTCATAGACACATCGTGTCGCGTTATTGATCGCATTGCGGTCTCGGCGACTACACGACCGTCAGTCGGTGATATTGCGTCAAACATACGCGCGATCACCGTATCTTGTACAGCGAACGCTGCTCTAGGAGGTGAAGGCCGTTCATAGCTAGCGAATAGCATCGTCTAGCCAACGACCGTCGTTCTCTAGGCGGTGTACTATATCCTCTTGCCAGCGAACGTTTCAACAAAACGTATGTGAATCGAGACGGGACACGCGACAACAGTGACAGATCGTTCGACACGAAATCGAAATAATATATCTATGTAGTTTCACGGTATGCTGTTTAATCATAGTGCTATCTAGCTACAGATCTTGCCACGGTATGCTGCGGGCAGTCGATTCCTGCTCCTATACGCGGTAGACAGCACACCAAACTCATGGCCATGGCACCGCAGACGCTCACTCGACATTCTAGCAATCACCTCGAACCGTCCCCACCCAAGGATCATCACAACCTCCCAGTCTGGGGAAGGATCACACAGGATTCGCCCACACACAGTTATCAGCTATCCTTGCAGCAGCACATCCGTCAAGGAGAACACAAGGTCTCTTGACGGCTTTTTCTACCGTTTTTATCACACTACCCAGTGACCAGAGGATAAAACTCGAACCTAGCTAGCGCGCCGTACAGGAGTGAGCCACGCATGACCGCGGTGCGGCGATGGCTATTTCCGGCGCCCGTCCGCGACCCCCGGGGCGAGTAGCGGTGCGCGGCGACACGCAGGCGGTGCCGGTACGTGGCCGGGACCGTTCACTGCTCCCGGGGGAGCGGCACCAATCGGCGGCGGCCGGCCGGCGCCCGATCACGAGCGCCCGGCCCGGCCCCGCGGCGGCCGGCGGCGACCGAGAGCCAGCGGGGGCCAGTGTGACGCCAACGCGTCGGTGTGCGGAGCGCGGTCCACTCAGTGGGTGATGCAGGTGCAAACTGAACACTCGAGGGGTTAGTCACTGCGCGGCGCACAACACACACATAGCCTCTACGGCGGAGCTCGATAATATGCGATTGCACCGACCATCTGAACAGCGTTCTCGTCATCCCGGGCGCTCCTGCCCAGATCCCTCCTACCCCCCCCCCCCCATCACGATTTACTACGTCCCCTCTGCGAGAGACGTTCTAACATTCTCACCAAGGAACGAATAAACGCCCTGAATGGACGAAATAGACGCCTACCCACCGCACCCCTTCTACGCTAAAGAGGACGTTCACCAGCACATGGGCGTCCCCTGTTCAGACATCCGACCCGATCGGTCACTCGAGATCGGACTCAGCGTGACATGGCAAATTGTAATCTACCAACATAGAAACCGACCAGGCTGCTTTATACGATCACCGAGTGCCCAGGGAGGTTAGCAGGGACGACCGTCTCACCCACTGCGGTGTATATTCGGAAATCTAGGTGCCGATACGGCGTGATGTCTACGTGTAGATTTCCTGCAGACGTTGACAGGACGGGGTGCCCAGACCCTGCGCCTTCTTCAACTGGCTGCTGTCGCCAAAACTGCGCGCTCGCCACATCATGTTCTCCTCTGTGAAATCGAGAGAGATGGTAAAATAGGGTATATCTGCGGCATAAAAGACGACTAAAACACAGCCCTGTTGCAATCACCTCTCTTGATAAAGGACCAATATCATTCATGGGCATTTTTTAACGCATTGTTCTCAGTGGTAACTCAAATCCCATTAAAATAAAAGTACGTACTTGTGCGCGCCCCCTATCCGGCCGCGCATGCTGCGCCCTAATACAGGCCCATTCCAGATGAGGCTAATGGCTCACAATACCTTCCTGCGTCCCACCCAGAGCGACAAGTCCTCATGTGACCCCTTCCATCAGGGGTGGGTCCTTCTCCTCTCCCACTCTGGCATTAGCGCCATCACCGGCGACCCACTCCCCATCCGGGCCCGACTGAGAACGTACGACCCACCGGCCGCGCTAAGACACTGAGCGGGCGCCGCTTCCGTCCCTGCCGCGCCGCCGAGTGCCGCCAGCGATCGCAACAGTCAGCTGACGTTAATTAGAACATTAACGTTGCGTCACGCTCGCCGCACTGAGGGCGACCTGCGCCGCAACTGACGCCGCTGGGACAGAGTAACACGCAAACGCTACTGAGATCGCTACTGGCATCGGAAGCGGCGACGAAAGCCTGGGCCGTTAGGTGAGCGATCATGGCCGTTATATTGGCCAATGTAAGCCTGCTCGAGAGCGGTAAAAGCCGCGGGAGGGGAGGGTGTGGCGGCCGTCCATGCATTCATCAGCTGGCGCTGGTGTGATACTGAGCAGGGCTGCCACGGCCGACAGTCGGAGTTGGCGCAGCGGAACACACAAGGTACGGCTCAGACCGAAGATGTAGGGTACGAGGGTCGGGGATCTCGACTGCCAGTGCCCTTGGATACCTGGGTACGGTAACCAGCACCCGGGCGGTGGCTGAACATTGAACAGCCGGGTGGCAATAGGCCTGAGGAAAGACTATGTACTATGTAGTGTAGGAAATGTCATATGAAGGGTAAAGCTCATGAAGGCGAGAAGAGGATGTCCAAATCTAATGGCATAAGGGAAACTGAATCCGTAAACGAACCTTTCAGTCTGCATTTTCTGCTAAGCAGCAAAAGTCCTTCTATACGTAATAAGTATGCTTTCTATACGTGCGTTATAATATGTGAATGTGGCACCTTCCGGTGACCGACTAGAGAAATGAATGCCAACCAATTCCTCTCATATATGTACATTTACTGGAACCACGACCGCACGAAAAGCTCTGCTATCAATAGTTAAACACCATCACAGAGATAGGCGATATCGAATCTCATCAATATTTCAAAACGCCTGACTGTATTCTTGGGTCTTGCGGCTGACAAACAGACCAAACACATACGATGGTGCGACAAAACTATCCCGGAAACTTCACTCTGAGCTGAACGCACGCCTACAACTGTGATTCATATCCAGGCAGTTTCATTCGAGAAGTCTATTGTTTTTACACTCATGAGTTGCACAATCTTCGTCATCATGCGGCGCGACTTTTAGTCGCACGAGATCATTAATTACTGCCGATGTAATTAGTATAATTGTTCGTAACACCTTCGCGCCCTTAGCTGTATTATCGGAACACAGAAACTAGGTATCAATGGCAATACGTCACAGTGAATAAGCATAAATCAATGAGTACCGGCAGAAGAATGGAACTAATGCAAGTTATTACCTACCAAATGATATAAAATACTTCAGTTGAAATAATTTGAATAATACACACTACACAGCCTCTAACAATAACTAAATAAATGCACCTATCGCATTGGCGACATGAATGCAGGCAGCATCGTGAAAAACTATGCTTTATTTATGAAGGCCACATTTTGTTGCCCGTAGTGAAGCATGATAAGAAGACGGAGGTCATAATCGTAGCCTTAAAATACGTGAGTTAATCACAAATAAATAAAAAAGTTCCATTGCCTCGTCCTAGATAACAATGAAGATAATGTTTCAGTTTCACGCTCAAGCGGATGCAGGATGTCTGGCGATGAGCCCATCCACTAGCATCTGAAGTGGCCGCCACACAATGCGTTTTTACACCGTCCTTTTTACTTGTAACAATCCAGCCCAGCGTCTATTGATAGTCACCATATGAAGCAGCCGCAAGCCCTGCATTTGGCGAGCTATTACAGCGGTCTCAGATGTTCAGCCGCTCGACTGGCCTCATCCGACTCCAAAAACGAGCGAGGGTGGACTCAGTGATTACCACGGTGGTTTATAAGTCACCGGCCCAAGGCCGGAGTAGGGTAGGGACTGGGGCGGCGTCTTGGCAACTGCCATTGTTACCGACAGTGACCAATCATGCTCATAGGGTAGCGAGAAGGTCCAATGCCCTTGACAAAGTGTTATACCGATTCGTATAGCGTACTGGCATCGCGGCACGTCACACGAGGACCACTCTATTAGAGATGTGCTACCGGACTTTTACCAACTAAAAGTAGTCGGTTATCCAATCCTACCGTCGAAACCTCGTAGTGAGGCGCAGCTATTATTCGAAGCCGACAGAACTTAGTAGTTATGAATCAAGTTCTGTTTAGCACTTCTCACTCACCAACCACATCCCTTAAGTCCCCTTTGACCCAACCCATCTCTTCCCTCCCCTTCCTTTTCCCCTGCAGTCACTTACTGTAAGTCCTCTCCTTGAGACAGGCGTTGCGTAGCATCCGTACATACTCTTCTTCGACCTCTGCTTCTAGCCGATATAGGCTTCCCTGGTATTCCGTGCTAAAGTCGGGCTTCACGTAGTAGGGCACCTTGAGCGTTCCCGTCCTGCGCACCATGCTGTACTTGCTGTTGAAGGAGACGGGGGAGGGTGTTAAACGAAGCGGTAAACTCGGCAAGAATGATGGTGGTGAGGGAGGTTGGTGGTAGCTGAACTCACCAGTCTTCTACGTGAACTGGCCTTCCACGAAGTCCCAGAATAGACCGCTGGTTAGTAGGGCTCCCGGCCGCCATGTATCACAGCAGGAAGGCCCGGTAATGTGTGTGGGGGTGCCATTGTGTGAGCGTTATGGGCTCGGAGGCTTAACGACTGGCGCACCACTGCAGCACGGCAGACCATGTGGTTCAGCAGGAACACATTACGGCATTTCGTAGAGGCTCTGGTGGGGAGCTCCAGCGGCCACATGGCTTACTTTTTAGGAATTAGTAAGTTCCAACGCATGTCGCGTATGCAGCATTTTACCCCAACTTCCAGTCACTCTGATTGATAATCCTCAGACATGATACATTATAAAAAACGCAGCGAGACTCAATACAAAAATATGTACAAAGCACATTCTCAAAACACACACACTTCAACCCACACACTTCTGCACAACTATCGATACAACAATGGCCCAGAGATCACCCGCAGCCTCCTAGCAGTTCTCATGGCTGACCGACCGTCAGAAGCTCCCACTGGAGGGCTCTGGCCTGTACAGCAGGTCCTTAACGAGCCAGCTGGACGTCACGGCCTCTCACCTGGAGGGCTGCAGGCTGTACAGCGGGTCCGACACGAACCAGCTCGACATCATTGACATGAAGATGAGTAGCAGAATGGGCATCAGCTGCAGCACCAGTGAAGACGTCGGCGCCTGCGGGCAGGACGGCGCTGCCGTTCAGAGCTACAGACACATACGATATACATGGCGTGGAAAATATACAGTCCTCACATTCGACAAGGGTGAATTCAATGGTATGCATCAATTGATACACAATCATAATGAGCTTAAGCATAACTTATTTGTCGAAACAGATAATTAGATTGTCGGTTAACTTACTCATTCATGAAAAGGGAAATACTACGGCGGAAGTTTGGCACCAAACAATATTTCCTTACATCAAGAAAATATAGGGGATTCGTCGCAACAGTTAATTCATGTTTTCATTATGGTACGACTGTCCGAACAACAACTGTGAACGAAGAGTATCTGCTTGAATATTTTAAACAAAACAAGAACGAAAGCAATTTGCAGCGCCAACATTTGCAAACCTAGGCCAATATTTATAAGCTTCGCGTATCAATTTGAAACATGGATGGACGTGGCAGATGACAAGCACATTTGTAACGAAATAAATCGTAGACCCTGTGCACTGCAGTGACGGTATTTTATAAATGACGGACAAGCAAACATTACTTTTGTCAATATAAATGTTCAACGCACAGCGGCAGTCGAAACAACAAAGCCCGCGTACACGGCCATTTTATTTTTAAGCTGGCAAGGTTAGTATTCACAGCTTAATGGCTCTTTTATCCGCCTACGACGACTCGAAATTGGCTTGATCCTGTACAACCTAACAGTACGCAATTTAATAGCCGTCATTTGAGCAAACTGATGAGCTCTTACTGGTCCCCTAGTGACGAAAGGCAGCTCAGTTCCATTTGTGCCAGTATTCTCCGGTAGTATCCGTCTTAGCTCAATGTAACGCACATCAGTTTCTGGAAATACGCCTGTCCGCACACGCGACACACACCTACAGGGAATCCGACACTCACGGGCGAGTCGTAGGCGGAAGGCGGTGGCGGTGGCGATGGCGGGGGCGGGGGCGGGGGCGGGGACGGGGGCGGGAGGACGTAGTGTGACCCCCACAGACCGGTCACCGTCACGTCCGTCACCTTAGCGTCATCACTAATCACGACAGCCGAGCGCGCCGCACGCGCAAACATCTCAGCAGGGGCTCCAGGGCCGTCAAAACACCGGCATCCGCCGGACACCGGCCGAGCTACGGCCGTGTTCGTTTTCATTAGCGACAGGAACCGCCGGCCAGTCGGTGGCTCTATATTGCGCGCCGGCCGACAGCCTTGTCACAGAAGGGATGGCCTCTTTTCTAATGGGAGCCAAAGATCGCCGGTTAAATTGAAGCTATCGTTCATCGCGGCACGTGAGATGACACGGGGAAAGAGAGATCGTTTGTACCGGTCCCGGGACTCGTTTTATGAGGTGGTTGATAACAGGTGGCGGGGTTCACACGCGTGACGATCAAAGATAGACGCTGCTTTCTGAATGAACAGTATAGAATGACGGGAATCTGCAAAAAGTACCACTAAACATATACAGCTTTCGTACGGAAGAATCGTTCAAATCATAACCAAATCAGGACATTCGTTTTTCCTTCCTTTCTTCGTTCCTTCTTCAGTATTCTCTACACCATATGCTCGACATTCGACAAATCAGTAGATAATTCGACTCTTGAAATAGCATCTCTTTTCATCAATAATCGTGTCAAATCCACTATACAATGGCCAGCAAAGGCAAACATAACTAAACCGACAGCTACCCATCGCAGCCCACTCCTCAGTCCACAGTCCTCAATAGCTCATTTCTTCGGCGGGCGGGCCAGCTCCTCCGCCCGGACCGACCAGTTTTCTCACCTCTCCCCCAGACTTTCTCACAGTGTTGTCTCACATCCCGCCCAGACACTCTCACAGTTGTCCCGCATCCCGCCTGGACGTTCCCCCCGTTTTCTCACCTCCTCGCGCTCCTGGCGGGCGCGGTGCTGCTGCTGCGCCCGCGTCCATCGTCCGTTACGACGCATGTAGATGTTTTGCGAGGGCATGCCACCACCGAAGAACATGTTGAACAGCTCCTCAGCAGTGACGTCGGCTGAAACATAGAGGGGAACGGTCATAACGGGAGTTACGCACAGCTTTGCGAGGTATTACGGATATATCCACTCCCTACCACAACGCCAGGCAAAACAGAGCTATTATATGTCGATAATGATGTAGTCATTCATCTTTATCGTAATACTGCTGTGGCAGGTAGCGTTTAACTCCAACGCGACAAATGGTTACCATAGTGATCAACACAGGTCACCAACCGACCTTCGAGCCAGCCCGATTGACCTTTACTCCACCCCACTGACCTTCGCGCCCGCCCGACTGACCTTCAAAGCCGCCGTGCGTGGGGTCATAGTGATGGTGTCCGCGGCCGCGGCTCGAGCGCACGTCCTCGTTGCCATACAGATCGTACTGCTTCCTCTTCTCGGTATCAGAGAGCACCGCAAACGCATTGCCGATGGCTGCAACAGCGGTAGAGGAGAGTTGAACGGCCGAAAAACGGGCCGAGGGATGCAAAAAAAAGACATGCGTATCACCCAGCAACGTCCAGAAATAGTACACCCCCTGACTAGTCATGTTACAGCGACATATGTCGGTAATGATGGTACGACAGGGCGGCACAGGTCGAAATATTCCAGCCGGGGAGGTCCACATCTTTAGGGCGCCTCCCCCACCGTCCGTATCCGGCTACATCATTGGCACCATCAGACCCTGTCGGCTGCCGGATGAAACCAGTGGCGACGGTGACAGAGGAAGGGAGGGAAGAGGGGAGGCCGATGGGTGGGAGAGAGGATGGGGAGATATTGGAGAAGAGATGGTTGGATGGGCGGCGAAGTGGGACCATGAACACAAGAACGAAAAAGACAAACCGTCGAAACAACTTGTTCACTGAAGGCAAATAGAGCCACCTCTGCTACCGCGCCTTACCAGTTGTGCATGCAAACATGCTTGCTAATTATAATTTCCTGACAAATGACGGGACAAGATGTTTGCATATAAGCCAACTGACGGGCATGGTTGCGGTTGGTGGCAGGCTGTAACCAGGCGAAGTCAGTGAGGGGACCGGCCGTGTGCGGCTATGCGCGCACGTTAAACTTCGGAACTCCAAATTCTGCCATAGAACCGGAATTACGCGATCGGAGGGTAGAAGGCAGGGACAAGGCAACAAGCTCAGCTTAGCGGGAGCTCTGTCCTTGTGAATACTTCCATTCAAAAGGTTCGGATTACATTCATGAAAAAAAAACAAGCGTCACTTCATCATCAGTTCAAGTTCACTCGCGTATGTTGCTCATTGCCAAAAATAAGTATTTTAACCGTAACAGAGTCATTTTACCCGTCATGTATCCGTATATTATAGGAATCCAGTCTGCAAGGAACATAGAAGCCATCCAGTAGCGGCGGAACACCTTCAATTAGGGGGGGGGGGGCACTGCCGACTTTTGGTCCCATTCTTTCCATGCAACGCCCATAGGGCTAATGTTAAAATGCCAAAATCAAAGGGGGGCACGGTGCCCCGGTGCCCTCCCCGTTCCGCCGCCTATGAAGCCACCACTCTGGAAGCGTCAAGACCATTCCCGGCTAAAAGCGGAGGAAGACGGAGGAAAAAAAGAAGAGGAAGACGGCGGACAGCGGCACGAGCCACACAGGACACGCTCGGACAGTCCGAGGTCCCCGGTAGGGTGCCGTTTCCTGGTCGAGTGCCGCGCGAGGGCGGGCCACTCGGAGCCGCGTCCGGGGAGCGTGCTCTGGAGGCCCTCCCCCAGAGGTGTGCCGTGCGCCGCGCAGGAAATGGGCTAGAGCGGCTGCTGCCGTCCACCGCCCACCGGCGGCGCTACAGACGTCCGCTGACCACCACCCACCGACATTGTCCTCCGCCCACCGTCCACCGCCCAACAACGCGTCGTCCACCACCCACCGCCCTCCGCCCACCGGCGCTGCTACAGTCGCCCACCGTCCACCACCCACCACCCACTGCCAGCCGCCTACCGTCCACACCCACCGCCCTCCGCCCACCAGCGCTGCTAACCACCGCCCACCACCGTTCACGACGTTCACCGCCTCAGTCGTCCTGCCTTCTGCCCACCGTTATAGTCACCCGCCGCCCACAGCCATAGCAGCCCGTTAGCACGTAGCTGGGACTACTAACGCAAGTCGGCCAGACACGTAGTGCTACCTTTCCCTACAGAAAAGCACGGGCATCCCTCGGGAAAAATTAGCCGAAAGGGTAAGAGAAACGTCCGACTGGTAAACCATCAGCCGCGCTCACCGCCTTTGTTCTGGCAAATCCCACAAATATTGGCAATATATCAAATATTTAATCAATATAAAATTATCAAAGGCACATTCAGTTATGTTGATAATGTGGAATGTGGGTGGTTACAACATGTGCAGATGAAGCCCAGAGTAAGAACAAGTTGAGAAACGATGGCTTCCATCGCAATGTAGCCACCCGCCCACAGCCAGCTACTACAGCCATACCCACATCAAAAGAACAGTCGGCTTCCATCCATGGCATTTGAGCGTGCGAGCAGCACGCCGCTCATCTGTTCTCTCTGTGGCTTCAGCGGCTAATTCAGAACTGAGCAGCCAATCAGCGGAAACGGTGCGGCGCTATACGGCACGGGAAACGACAGCGAACAAAACTGAACGCCTGCCGCGCCAGCTGCGCCGCGGGCGTCAAATTACAACAGACACGCAGCGCACGACAGATGACGGTAGAGCGTCAGCAAGATTACTTTACTACTCGAGTGTCATGGTCTGTCGGTCTCGGGACATGATAAAAAATGACGATACTGGTTAACGTTCATGAGCATACGATACTGGCAGGCGTTCAGAGCACTACATTGGCTTACAAATTCACAACAAGTTAATGAATACGAATGGTTTACGAATGTCGTTGGTAAGAGGTTCGACGAGTCAATCCAACACATGCATACAAAACATTTGTGAGGTATTGGTCCGTCCACTAAAAGTTCAGTTTCCTCATTCCTATGCCTACGACATCGCGAAGAGCCAAAAAGAAAAATCAGCAGCAGCAACAGCCTATATCCCTCGATCGGCCTGGAATCTTCAGGTACGATGACCGGTGAGTGTGAAGTGTGAACACTCTGGAGTGGGGGTTCACTACTGACAGAATAAAAACGTAGTGCAGTCGCCTATCGGCTATCAGTGCAGCCTCCTTTAGAGCACGTGACAGGCTGTTGACATCCGGAGCCGTGCTGACCTTTGGTATGGACATTAGTATCGCCAAGACACCATATTTACGGAAACCTTACGCTCAGGAGCCGAGAGAAGCCCGCCAATGTGACAGGTATTCTGCAAATGAGCTTTAATGGTTCACGCTGTTTTTCTTTCAACATTTAAAGGTAGTGTGCCAGCTTTCTTGGACCGTATGGAGTTAATGGCCCAGATAAGGAGAACCGGATTTTTAGAACTTATCCATACCTTCAAAACTCATGGAAACGTCTTAAATTCTTCAAATTTTGAGTACCCCAGTGCGAAATTCGCCCCGACGGGTTGTCGGTCGTACCCCAACCACATTTCACACCACTATGAACAATAAATGCACACACTGAAATCGCTATTACCGATATGCTCATCCAATCAAGTTTCGATAAACCCGTTCATCATCAGCTCCTGCGGTTTCGAACACGCCTGTTAGTTGGCTTCTGATGCTCGTCGAGGTCGGAATTTCCAAATACGCGTGGTGCGTCGGGCCGCGCGCTCTGACTTCGGCCAAGAAAAATGCGTCAGCTGATCATTGTCATTTCTGCCACTTACGTGTGGTGAAATGGGGTCATAACTTATAAGACGGCTTTTTCATATCAATTATTTTACATAAAATCATATTTCAAACCATAAATAATGTTCGACAGCCAAATAAAAGAAACAATACCAATACGGGCTTACAGTTTAAGGCTCGACATTGTGTTGTCTACGATTAGACAGCTGATAACTCATTCCCGTACGTCGTATAGTCGTAACACTATAATGACCTTTGCTTATTGTCACAAGTGCGCCGCATTCGCGATTGTTGCCCGACGCCTGTTTGCAGGTGAGCCCACTACAGTTGTTATACATATCTAAAAACCGATAAACTTTTAGGCGAAAAAGGCACTATTCCAGGCCCATTTTTGATTTTTTTTGCGATATTAGGTAAAAACAGAAGCTTCTTATCCTAGGAAAAATAAAATGGGAAATCTTTCAAAGGTGGCACACTACCTTTAAAGAGTGACAACATTTAAAGGTGGGGTCACGCTTCTGGAAATCTGTTTTTGTGAAGTGACTTGTCAACTGATCTCCTTAGCTGCAAAAAAGTATGCATTAACCATATTAACGACAAATCTATTTTCAGTACAATTTTGGTGACTAAAATGAGAGTTGCGCTGGCAGAAAATACATCTATGAATCTTTACACCCTCACCAGTTTGACTCACCCCGCTCAGCTCGGGGGCACACAAGGCGGGTTGCAGCGGATCCCGCAAAAGTCGGTCAGACAGACAGCTCACTGCTCCTCTCCGATTGAAAGCGAGCCCATGCATTTAAATCGGCCCGCCACACACGTCAGCCATGTATAATCCTGATTGCGGCCGGGACGATCACCGGAATCTGTTCTGTTCGACGGCGTCCACAATGTACCAGTGACGGACTCGGCGGCACGGCACGGCACAGCACTTACCTTTGAAGGCCTCTCCGGCACCCGGCGTCTTGTTCTTATCCGGGTGAAACTGCAGAGCCAGCTTCCTGTATTTCTTCTTCAGTTCGGAATCAGTTACTTCCTTACTGACGCCGAGAATTTCGTAATAGTCCTTGCAAACTTTTATCCTGGAAGATACAGACCGGTTTGACGTAAAATATGCATTGCTATGCTGCGTACTACGCTCAGTTTGGTTGCCTGCTGATGCATGAGGCAATTTGGTACCGACTGCTGATAAGGTTCATGAATTTAAGAAAGGTTGTGGGGGAGGGGAGATGAGGTGAGTACTACTTGGGTTCGACACAATCGACACGGGGTCGTACTAAAAGCTTCAGGTGGGCGTTCACCACAAAACTTGGGGAGTTATAGTCCGTTTTATTTCAAAAGGCGCACGGCCCGAAAATCGATTTTAGAATTGTCACGTGCAAATTGGTGGTTTTGACAAAAATCAACGAACACCGGCTTGGCATGTTTCGAAACGGCTGGTCTCTGATCCTCTGATTTACGAGTTTTGAGAGAAGTACAGACGTACGGCTCATGAGGAAATGTGAATCGAAAATGCTTCCACACGGGGTCTAACCATAGGCACTAAACAAATGATTAAAATGATCACGTGGATGACCTGTTTGCAGGCCTACAAAAATAACACACGGATTGACATTTTGTTTTGAATTTATTTCTGGTAAGTAAAAATAGAAACATGCGCCAGCATCTCTGGCGACCTATTACAATAGGTACTGATCGATCGATTTCTGCACTGGGAAAAAGTCGGGTATGCGCCTACTAAACCTGGAAGGAGTTATAAAAAGGCGACCGTGACCGAAGTTTGTACTTAGCATGCGAAAACACAATGTTAGACAACAATATAGAACGTCACCAGCTTCAGCGTCTCACAATGACATGTTTTCCATGAGCCTGCCGTTCAGAATTCTGGCCCCCGACAGAGTCTTGTGCAAAAATTATTGTTCTGTCTTGATTGTTTAAGGATTTGCCGCTTGCTAATTCTCAAGTGATGGGCTGGCTGTGGAATCAAGGGTACTCCAGGAGTGACGTTAAATTAGCATGCAAAATTAACAGAATGGCTCAAATTTATGAATTTACTAACATTTTGAAACGTGGCACAGCTTGCCTTATAAGCTAAACTGAACAACTCGCTCCGTTGCACTGCGGCACTGCGGTTATCTTTCAAAAATGGCCGAGAAATTCATCTCGGCTTGCGTTATTTTCTAGCGTCACGCACGTGCTAACTCCAAAATAATACTTCGGGCTATAAGCCTTTTGAAAAAAAATGGACTATAATTATATGTAAATAACGCTACATTTGTCAGCAGATGTTTATTTCCAGGTACAGGTAAAACTTTGCCTAAAGTATTTTGTCGCAGCTTTCGTTCGAATAAGTCAAACTATGTCTTTAAAACAGAGAAGTTAGTGAGAATCGACACGCATCAGATGAGCCCAACATGGTCCAACCAATCACGCCCACCGACGAACCGTGTCAAACTCAATTCAAGCCCTCTCGAGCAGTCGGGTGTGGCTACCCAGGTGATATGGCACTCGTCAACAGCGTGCTGAGCAGCATGAGATGTGGCATTATGATCAATTATTGCTGGCAACTTGTGTATACCTAATATGATGCACACCAATTTACTCAATCGTGACATCAAAATGAAACATAACTCGTGATACGTCCGTAAAAATTAACTTCCAATGCAAGCGAGCGCTGAAATATATGCCGCACATACTAAATCCGGAGGCACTCTCAGGTCACTCTCACTCTCACCACAACAAGTGTTTTGTACGGCGTACTCCGAAGTCACTCCACCCCACCACCTGTCCCTCCCATCCCCCGTCGTTACTGACCTGCGGACCTCCTCCAGCTGCTCCTTGGTGTAGCTGGCCTCCTCCGGGGCGGCGCGCGGCTCCTCCGTCTCCGAGCGGCGGTGCTGCGCCCTGGCCGCCGGACGGGAGCGAGCGCCGTCTGGTGTCGACTCGCCCAGACGGTTCAGCAGCTCGAGCAGCGCTGTAAGCCCGGGCAGCGCCGGGCCCGGTCAGGGCAGGGCATCGACGGTAGGCGCACGGGGCACGAAGGCGACAACGGGAGTATCTAGGCTTACAGAGCTTATCTACAATCCATATGTCAAAGCACATTTATTCAGTGTAGGTTACAACTCAAAAGTAGAATAGCAAATCAGATACAAATTGAATGGAAAGTCCAGAAACCGTGTGTATGACGAAATAGATCGGAAATGCCCTGATATTTCCTGTTGGAAAATATGTTTTGGGAGTGATAAGAAACCAACAAGACATTTACAAGATAAACAAAGAGTGAACAGTACACATGTCCCATTATATAACCCCCACCCTCACAGTCACATGACTGATGACCCTCTCCCTCCCCCCCAGTCCCGAGCTCAGAACTCACACTGGGCCTTCTCTGTGGGGTACATCTTCTCCGCCTTCCGCAGCAGGCGCGCCGCCTTGTCCCGCTCGCCGGCATTCATGGCCCTCTCGGCGGCCTCCACACACCGCTCCGCCTCCCCTTTATTGGCGTCCATGGTGCGGCGAGGCTCGTCGGGACGTGCTGCTGCTAGGTCTCACCAAACACTGCAGATAAGACGGTAAGAGAAGTTAATATCAAAGTCAGATGTGTTCTAACCACAATCTCTAGGTTAGTGTGAGCGAGTGAAGCGAAGTTTTTCCAATAGAACGGAAAAATCGCAGTAGAGCGGCCTGGCCCAGTCCGGTCTCTCACGCTTTAAAGAGGTTTATATCTCAGCAGCTGCTGCACCGATTGATCTGTGGTCATTTTATTGGGTAGCACCATCCATTCCCTTCTACCCCAAAATTGACTACTCTTGATGCATCTAAGTCACTGTCATGGCACGTGCCACGAAGAAAGTCAGGGGTGTTCAAGTTGTTCTGCTGAAGTGGCTCTTTGAGAGGCCTATATTGCTGGAACATTTGAGTTATGGTAATTTATGTAGGGTAGTTGCATCCCTTCTACCAAACATCGGACACTCTCGATGCATGTGGGAGACCCACACTATTAGTGCAAAATCAAAATGAAGAGGCACAAAGTTTGTTCTAATTACAAAAGCTCAATAATTACTTGGGCAATTGTGCTGAAACTTATCATGTGGGTAGGCACTTACCACTGACCACTCATCAGGCTATGTATATCCATATGTCAGCAGTCAGGTTGGGGACTGCAGTGCACAGGCAGGGGTTATTTAGAGCAGATAGGCATGCGCATGTGCAGGGTGCTACTTTTACATCATGAGAATGGCTGGACTAATTGCGCTGAAAGTTGGTACACCCTTAGTAACCAGTAAGTTAGGGTGCCAGGAAAACCATGTCTGTTCAAAGTAGACCCAGTTTGCAAGTGCGCACATGCAGAAGGACCAGTGTCCCAAAATTGCATTCTGGCTTGGGTGTCGGAGGGGAAAATTTCTCAGCAAAAAGGGGATGTGAGTGGAAAATTGCTGGCCAGATAAGGCCCAAAAAGAGTGATAAAAGGATAGGTAACATAAATTTCTATACGGGTGTGGTAAAATGTGCAATGCAAAATGGCCATCCCAACAATGCTTTTCTCGGTTAAGTTGAGAGTAGAAAATTGTTCTGAAAAGTTGGAGGTGAGAGTGGAAAATGACTTTCAGCTGGATGTCATTTCGCACCCAAATCAACAAATTTTGGGACGCTGAGAAGGACGCTTCCACATCTTGAAAACAACTGAGCCGATTGTGCTAAAATAAAGCGCAGCGCGAGAGACCAACAAGAAGGGTGCAATTGCAGCTTGCAAGTCAGCTGAAAAAGCCCCTCTAGCACTAGAGCAGTGCAGTTGCACTCTCTTGTTCAGGGGATGGATCAATCAGAGGGGATGGGGTAAATCAGACCCCAGGTCCAGTCAGGCCTGGAAAGCACAATTTAATCCTTTTGAATTACAGTGGCCCAAAATTTGCCAGTTTGGGTGGGAAGGGGCATCCAAATCAAAATAATTTTCCACTCCCACATCCAATTTTCCAGAACAATGTTTCGCTCCCTATTCTACCAATAAGGAGTATCTGCATGCATTTTTTCCCTACCTACATATTCGATTCAATAATCTTATAGGTAAAGCAGCTCCTACATCCTCCAAAGTCCAAAATTCACAAATAAAACTAATGATCTCTGTTTTCCGCTCTTTTTGTGCATTTCTGACTGGCAATTTTCCACTCTCAGTCTCAGCCCTCTTTGTAGTGACGAATGTTCCCCTCTGACACCCAAGCAAAATTATAATTTTGGGACACTGTTTTGAAATCACTTCCTTTGAAACATAATAACCCCTGCTCGGGGGAGGTAAATACAGGGCACGTATTTAGACAGTGACAAATTATGGCACTTTTTAATAATGCTATTCCAAATTCTGGCAGGTTGTTAATTATTGAATTATATCAATATAGGCTTGTTTTTTAAAACAAATATTGTTGATATTTGGGTAATTCAGGCACACTTCTGTGATTGTGAAATACACCCTGCTCAGTGGCTGCAGCAGGGCAGAGTACAGCAGGGCCTGCTGCAGCCACTTCTCCAAAACGGTCACCCTGCTGAGCTATCCTCCTGCTGCGTTAACTTAAAATACAGTATGATACAATGCCCTCAGGTGAAATAACTGGAAAAAGACAATAATGGATATCAAAATGAGTAAAAAAGAGGCTCTTTTGTCATTTTGCTCAATTACCACCCATCGTATAACAATGATCATGCAATGCATGCAGCATTAAAACTTACAACATGTAACTGCAATCGAATATCCTTGGAATAGCTCAAAAGATGATAAAAATATGAAAATATAATTGTACTATTCAAGATATATGCCGCAAATTGTCGCTTTTGCCTTTTGACGGGCTAGGGTTTAGATTATTCGGTGAAATGCTGCATACGCTCTTGGGACACCTAGCGGCTTGATTGGAAAACCTATTTAAATTTCTCATTAATATGGTATCATTTGATCAAATATTCAATAATTTTTCATTCAAGTTTTTTATAAATATATTTAGCTCATCGATACATGAAAACATGAGAAAAAAGCATTGAAATAAAGGTAAAAAGCATGTTTAAAAAATGCATGCTACTGCTACGTCAGTGACACGTTCAATTGGTTCATTCCTGCCATTACGTCATGCTAAACTCAGGTTATGATTGGCTCACTTCCGGAAAGAATACCCTACATCGACAGACTGTGTGAGAATTGAACATGGACAAAAATGTGATGTTTGTTGCGCCACTTTTGTGCTTAAAGTTGCTGAATAGCACGAATAGCACTGAATATGAGTTCTCTATATACCGTGTGAAAATGAATAGGAATGAACGCTGGGATGAATTAAATTTGGGTGGGTTAATTGTTTTGTACGTTCTTTTGGCGAAATATTAGCCATTTATATTGCTGATGCGCGGAAGAATTAAATAATCTGATTTCTGGCCGAGCAGTGAAATCAGACCATTTTGTTTCATGCCAGTGAGGTGGACTTCAGGTAAAGGAGAGGAGCTAAAGACTTCCAACATACAAACCTACAGCGCCTCTCCTCGGTTGGAAAACTTTCGTTTGACACCTGCTCTACTTATGCCAAAACCTGCAGGAAACAACAAGGACAACCTGTAGAGACATACCTATGCACTCTACCATCTGACCAAGCAATAACAGTTTGCATTAGGAGAATTTCAACCAATAACAGCTCAATGTGAAACTTAATGACAATGACACCAATTAGTTAGGTTTATTTAGGTTTTGTTAGAAAGTAGCACCTCCGGGGATAGCGCCTCTCCTTGGTTGGAAAACCTTCGTGTGACTGTGAAGTCTGCTCTACTAATACCTAAGTTTTTGCTGCTAATTTTCATAAATTTTTAGCCAGGCTAGAAAAGTCCAGCTTAACCCTCCTTTGTTGACATTCCATTGCTGTTTTTTGTTTATCCATTTGATGATTTGTTCTTTTAATCAAACACTCTGCCTGAACAGAGGCAGTGTGCTGGTTCCTAAGATGTGTACAGAATTAGAGCAGCCTGTTTGATGTGACCACCACTGAAAACAGCAGGGGCATGCTGGCAAATGAGCATGAATAATGTTCTCTCTCCCCTCTCTCTCTCTCTCTCTCTCTCTCTCTCTCTCTCTCTCTCTCTCTCTCTCTCTCTCTCTCCTCTCCTCTCCTCTCCCTCTCCCTCTCCCTCTCCCTCTCCCTCTCCCTCTCCCTCTCCCTCTCCCTCTCCCTCTCCCTCTCCCTCTCCCTCTCCCTCTCCCTCTCCCTCTCCCTCTCCCTCTCCCTCTCCCTCTCCCTCTCCCTCTCCCTCTCCCTCTCCCTCTCCCTCTCCCTCTCCCTCTCCCTCTCCCTCTCCCTCTCCCTCTCCCTCTCCCTCTCCCTCTCCCTCTCCCTCTCCCTCTCCCTCTCCCTCTCCCTCTCCCTCTCCCTCTCCCTCTCCCTCTCCCTCTCCCTCTCCCTCTCCCTCTCCCTCTCCCTCTCCCTCTCCCTCTCCCTCTCCCTCTCCCTCTCCCTCTCCCTCCTCTGCCCCACTCTTCCCCAGCAGGTGGCCATGATCACCGTCCTGCTGCCGGAGGAGCTGACAAGGCAGCAGCAGGGCTCGCTAACAGGCCTGTTTGAACGCGACCCTCGCGACCCTCGTCGCGCCGCCTTGGTCGTCACGGGCCTCCAGTATCGGCTGCCGGAGGCGCGCAGTCTCGGCTACCTCATCAGCCCGGCGGACAGCCGAGACTTCTCCGGCGCCGTGTTCGCCTACCTGCACAACTATGTGGTGATCACGAACGGACGCGTGCCCCGCGTGCTGCGCTGTGTCATCGACGGCCAGCCGGTGCCGGCCGAGTCGGTGACGCTGGCGCTCTACAGTCCGGCGGCGGTGCGCGGCGCCGACATGCTCCGAGGAAGTCTGGCCGGAGTGGGAGCAGCGTGTGACGCGGCTGCTGGTAATGCTCAGACGAACCACGCGTCTGCCGACGGTGTCGCGAACGGTCGGCGGGCCCCGCCGGCGCCGGACGGCTCGTGGGACCCTCTGCAGCTGATGGTGCGCGCCGTGCTGGCCGCCGAGCCGGCGCCGGCGGCGCGCGCGCGCATGCCGCTCGGTCTCGGTATCGGCTGGCTGCAGTGGCTGGTGCTGGAGCTGTGCTCGCTGGCGTTCGTCGGCCCGCCGTGGCCGGCGGCGGCGGCCGGCGCGGCGGCGCTGCGCATCGGCTGGCTGCAGTGGGCGCTGCTGGAGCTGGCGCTGCTCTGCCGCGTCTCGCAGCTGCACCGGCTGCTGGTCTGGCTGCGGGTGGACGTGCGCAGCGCCAGCCGCTCGCTGCTCTCGGCGCCGGCGCGCTGCAGCAGCCTGCTGGCGCAGTGTCTGCTCCGGCTGAGCCAGGTGGCGCGGCTGGCCATGCACCGCGGCCGCTCGGTGGTCTGGCTGGGCTGCGTGTGCGCGCTGGTGTGTGATGTGGCGCTGGGCGTTATCCTCACTCGGCTGGTGCAGCGTCGGCTTGACTCGGCCGCGCTCCTGAAGACGGTCACCGAGCTCTCCACGGTGAGTCGATCGGACGGACGCCGAGGGGTGTCTACGGGCTCATAAAGGAGAGGGGCATCGCTGTTTTTGCAGTTAGTGAACGTAAGCGCATCATCGCTTCATTTTGCGCTATTTCAGCGTCGGTCCTTTGAGTATCATTGAATGTAGAGCTCTACTGCAGCTGAGCTCGAGAAACTAAGCTGGCTGAAATTATTGACCACTCACGTTAAGATAATCTTCTAGGTACCATGTGACATTTTGTGACAATGTTTTACACTCCTCAGTTCGTTGTTTGGCTCTAGATGCCAGCACAGCATCTGAACACCTCTGTCTCCGCTGTCCGTCTGTCCAGGGCGTGTTGAACACCCCTGTCCGTCCTTCCATCCAGGGCGTGATGTTGCAGCTGCAGTCGCTGCTGCAGTGGATGATGGGCGCGCCGGCCGGCCTGAAGCTGAACACGCCGCTCACCACGGCTCTGGGAAGCTTCTTCTTGTACCACGTGCAGCTGTGGGGCGCCTTCATCACCCTGGTGACGCCCACAATGATCACAGCTATCCAGCTGCTGCTACCAATGGGGTGAGACGGGGCAGGATGACGGTGTCTGTGGGTTTGATGGGAAGGGGCAAGAATAACTCGGTTTAGGTAAGCGTAGGCAATGGGCATTGAGCAGTGAGCTCTTAGGATATTATCAATGGCTCGTGTAGAACGTTAAGCATTGGCTCGTAATATAATGCATATTTATGGGGCGATTGAGGACATCCCTACGAACAACGATCAATAGTAAATTGTAAAATCAAGATTTCAACTGTGTGTTTTGCAGTGAGAAATACTTAGTGAAACTTTGTTGCTCAAAAATATGAAAAATATGAATCTGTCTTCTACCTGAATAGGGATAACGTACTATATTAGCGTTAAAGAGTTATTCATCATTTGTCAGTCGCGTTCTTTTCCCCTTCTCCGATAGTTTCTTCACGTCTGATTATTGCGCACATTTCACACTCTGCTACATAAGCATGTTTCCTCACTAGCATATCATCCATTCTCCCTCCCCGTCCTAGCCCCGCTCGGTCTTTGTCCGAGCTCCCCCCTCCCCCCCCCCCCGTTGACCGCAGTTGAGGCCACCCGTCACCATCCCACCTGTGTGACACCTGTCTTTGTGCCACGGATGTGCGTGCCGAGCGGGTGACGGCCACGCCGGTTTGGTATTGATTTCACCGCGGTGCGGCCACCGCTGCGGACTGAATGTGACAATAACACGGTCTGTTTCAGCTACCTGGGAGCGTCGTTTCTGTTCAGCCTGCTGTCGGATCTGCTTTCGCTGGCCACATTCCACGTGTACTGCGTCTATGTCTATGCAACGAAGTGAGTTTTACCTATGCGATGCATGCTTTTACTTGGGAAAAATAACAAAAATTGATTGTACGTTAGACTTTTAGGATAGCCAAGATCTTGAAGCCAAATAAGATGCGTTTTTCATCCCAGATGAGGCGTTAAAAAACGAATGTTTATTTCCTTGCTTCGGCTGTGTTCAGGGCCTCGTTTCATAAAGCGAGTCCGTAACTTACGCCGTTTTTTGGGCATGTATTGCAAGCGCATGTGAAGCGATAAATTTATTTCCCCTTCTCCCTTCTGTTCTTGCTTGCAAGATAAATAAATGCAACGATTCAAACTATCGCCATCGCTTCACATGCGCTTGCAATACAAGACCAAAAACTGCCGTAAGTTGCGGACTCGCTTTATGAAACGAGGCCCAGGTCGAATAAAACGAATGTAACGACGCAACATTTTATTGAACGCGGCTGCCAGACACTGAATACCCTGAGAAATACATGTTTTAATATATCCTGACCTGTATGACTGAAAAGCCGACTGACCGTTTCCGTTTCTCAGGCTGTACCAGCTGGAGGTGCGGTGGCTGGTGCGACTGTGGCGGCTGTTCCGCGGCCGCCGCTGGAACCCCGAGAAGCAGCGCGTCGAGACGTGGCCCTACACGCTGGAGCAGCTGTTCCTGGGCACGCTCTGCTTCACGATCCTGCTGTTCCTGTTCCCCACAGTGCTGCTCTACTATGCCGTGTTTGTCGTGGTGAGTGAGGGGTGCTGGCGGGGCTGGGAACTCGAGTTTGTGACTGGCTGGGTGGGTGGATGAGACGCCCTCTGCCTCGTACATTTTGATGTTTACTCCAGCGACTTTATACTGTCAACTGTTTACGCAGTTACAATATGCTGGACGCTTACGTTGTGTGGGATATCCGTTTGGTTTTATTCCGCTGGCTGCTATAGCTGGTTCGTTTTTTGTCATCCAGCGCCACTCAACATTACTTATAGCATTGTGATTGGCTTGTGTCATCGCTGCTAAGCTCTATTAGCTAAGTAGAGTGGCTGGTAGCTGCCTACCTGTAGCTGTAACGTCTCTTCAGCTGTAATATCGGTGCTGTAAGCTCCTGTTAAAGCTCCCCCATTCAACTCCCTCCCCCGCGCTGCGCCGCCGCAGCTGCGTCTCACGGTGCTGGCAGCCGTGGGTCTCCTGACGCTGCTCATCTACGTCATCAACGTCAACCCGCTGCTGGTGGTGGTCAGCTGGCTAGCGCGCGCCAACTGCGTGGCCGGTGAGTGGTGCGGGGGAGTGGAGGGGCGGTAGGTGGTTCTAGTGTTCGAGAGGGGTGGACGATGAAGGATGGAGGAGTCTGTATGAGTGTGTCAGTGTTTATGTAGATTGCTTCTTCATTGGTTATGAGAGTGTCGGAGTGGAGAAATGTTTTGATATTTGTGGTAGTTTGATAATATGAGGGCCAGTTCCAAGTAAATGTTGTCACATGGGGGAGTTATAGCAGCATCTCGCTCTGGTGCCTTTGGACGCCATTTTAGCATGACCTCACGCCGTCTCACAGTCCCGCAGTTAATGAAGTAGCCCATACGATGCCACTCGCCCAGCTGTCCTCTGGTCATTACCTTCCCCACTGACCGTGGTCCCGCTCTCCACCTTTAGGCAGTCTTCTGGTGACCGTTCTGCGCCAGGACCGGCGCAGTCTGGTCACCCGGGTCGAGCTGACCACTGCGCCGCTGGGCGACACTCTGCGGTGGTTTTGGTGTCCGGCCGACCCGGGCCTGGCGCCCCTCCGCTGGGGCCAGCTTCTCGACTCGCTGGTGCGCGGAAACCTGGTGTACCCGGTGTGACGCGAAGGAACACCAAGGGGAACCGCCGCTGATGCATGCATGCTGTGATATGGTCAGAGAGACTGGCAGACGTCGCCAACAGGTGCGGTAAGCTGCCAAAGTCGCGGGGGAGGGCTAGGTGGAAGTTGACATGACAGACATTCACGGTTTGCGTTTGTATGGGAAGTGTCAAGGCGGGTAGTAGCGTTTGACTCCTACGTTGCCTTGGCCGGTTTGGGATAGAGCTGACGCAGCCTTACGTCAGTTATGTAAAGTTGATAGTTCAGCTCATCCAGTGCCCGGCCGGTGGGGTTGTATTGCTGTGCTGTGCGGTGCCAGTCTCGGATTGTTCCATTCCCAGCGGCTGTCGGGGCTGTCGAGGCCTCACCCGTCGCGCTCAGGGCTGTGCTGGGTCGTCCCGGGTGACTCCAGGAGCCATCTGCCGACGTCTTTCATAGGCGAGCGACTCTATAAGTCATACTGAAGATGAGGTGTGGGTGGACAGATTAAGCTCAAAGGCAGAAAGTAGTCGCTGTGTCTAGAAGGAGTTTGAAACTGGAGATTATTTAATTCAATGGGAAGAAAACAGTGGCCAGTGGGGGTGGGCTGTCTCCGGGACGAGTTCAGACAGTCATGGTGCATAGAGTTAGAAGTCCTGTCCTTCGAGTCAAACCGCGCCGTTCTGAGTCAGAATTCGTGCTCGTTCGAGTCAGGAGCCGTGCCGTTCTAGTGCTGAACCGGGTAAGGTGGAGTGCCTAGTCTGCCGCTGCTCGCCCGTCGCCGTTTTTGAGTGTCGTGAGTTTCCATTCACGAGAGGCTCAGACCGCCGCCTGGGGCCTCGTCGGCCCTCGTAACGTCGAGTGTTTGTGATGACGCGGCACCTGGTAAGTTTCCAGTGGCGCCGCGGGGCGTGTTTCCAGTGCTCCTCAAATGCACACAGGGAGCTGTGTGTAACTGCTGGTCGGTTTGAGGTTTACTGGGCTGTTCCGCAGTGATTTATTTGTCTTGACATTATGCATATCATTCATTCATCATTATAACCGCATTGTGCGCAATATAGTTCATTCCATACATATTTTGTGTTTTACTCGATTCTATGCACCGTATTTCCTCTTTCCCTCCGCTTGGGTCTGTCTCGGCACGTTTGGGCGGTGCGTCGCCCTCGCTATCCCTCCTCTGTCCTGTGTCGCACACTGTTCCGGCTAATCGGGAAGTACCTCATTGCCGACAATTGCGCGCGCCGGCCGCACGGAGCGCGCGCCGGCGGCCGCTGCGGGCGCGGTGTGCGGCCCGAGTCCAGTCTGTCCTCTCCCGCCCGCCCGTCCGCCGCCGGCCGTACCATGAGCGCCCCTCGCCGCCGTCCGCTGCTGCCGCTGCTGCTGGTCGCCCTGCTGCTCCTGCTCGTTTGTGAGCCGACCGAGGCGAGAAGAGGAGGACGCCGCCGGGGAGGCAGCAGGAGGAACCGCTTCGGAAACGTGCCGATCGACGGCATGTACCGGAACCCCTCCGCCAAGACCTACTACATGAACCCCAACGTGAGTGTTTCGCGGGGATTCGACAAGGTGTGGAGGGCGGGGAACCTGTGGGTTGTGCGCTGGTAGGTAAGGGAAATAGGCGATGAGCTATCGCTACTGACATGATTTCTCACCGATTGAGTTATGAGTGGTCTGACAATGTATTGTATCTTGAAACCTTGATTTTAACGGTGCTCGCCCTTGATTTAAGTTTTGAATAGTTCATTGAATGATATTCAGCGCTTTCGTTTGCTGTAATGCTGGTGTTTTGGAGCTTTTGTAAAAGTAAGTGACGTTTAATTTGGCTTTCAATAAGAAAGTCACCTTGACTTCACTGCATCAAATAACTTCGTCAACGCTTTTTAACTTTCACGCTTCTGCCATTATAGTTTCCTGGCTTTCTGTAGCCTTTCGTCGCCCTCCATATCAATCTCGCTGACTGTTCCACCGTTCCTCAGGGCGCCCAGATCAGCAAGTGGTCTCACTTCGAGTCGGAGTACATCCTGGGAAGCAAGATCGTCTTCATGTGCACCGCCACAGGGAAGCCGAGGCCACACATCTCCTGGTACAAGAACGGCATCGAGGTGTACGCGCACAGCTTCTTCCAGGTCAGGGTCGCGTTCGGGAGGGTGGAGTCGTAATAGGTCAAGGTCGCGGTTGGGAGGGTCGGGTCGCAATAGGTCAGGGTTGCGTCGGAGGATGGAGATCGTTAGGTCAGGGCTACATCGTAGGCTGGGGCCGCCATAGGAATGTCAGGGTCACATTGATTGATGCAGGTCTCTGAGAGTGTAAGGGTCACATTGAAGGGTGCAATCACGAGAGGGGAGCCAGATTCAAGGATTATCGAAAAGCTTGCCTGAAACAGATCAGCCGAAGCCGAATACACGCCATGTGCCAATGCACCTTTTTACGTATTGTGTGTCTGCTTTGGTGTTGTTTTGAAATGCGCTGTGGATACCGATTTCTTGATAGCTTAACATCTCAGTGTTATCGTTAACCCGCGCCCTGCTGGGGGGGGGTGTTTGAACACCCCCCCCTGTGGTTTTTCGCGAATATCTCAAAAACGGCGGCGCGGAGCGCCGCCGTTTTTGGTACACCTTATCATACATCAATTCTACACATGTTGTGAAAATTTCAGACCAAGGTCATTCAAGGTCAGGTCACCAGGTCACTCGAAGTGACCTCACCTCATAAAAAGTTTCAATGTCAGTCATAGCTACACCGAGTGACCGATCGCTTTGAAACTTTCAGCGATTGCTAAGAGCATTAGCATGTACAAAATGTATATCTCAGAATTTTGATATCGATGACCTAAGGTCAGGTCAATTTTGCGACCTCACCATTATAAGTCAATGGGAGAAAATTGAAATGCGCCTGTTTTGGACGAAAGACATTATAAACACTCCCAAACACTGAATTACAAGTGGTTTAGACACACTGAACATGAAAATGGTGTCTGTGACCCCTGTTTATGCCCTGAGGTCATCTTAGGTCACGAATGGTATCTAACAATTTTTCGCAAATAACTTTTGATAGAGGCATGCTAGAGCGATGAAAACGCCTTAGATGTGTTCAGCTCGACGATACGGATCGACTGATATGCAACATGACCCTTTCCGGTCAGGTCATGACCTTGACCTGAGGTCAAATTTTCAAGTTGACCTTTCAAGGTCAAATTATAGTTCTTTCGATGCGTCTTGACGAGAGGAACACGATGCCGGTAAAAGTAAGCTCGTACAATGCTTGGGTCAAAAGTTATTGCAGAAAAACTGTTTCCGAAAAAATCGGCTATTTTTGCAGTTTTTGCCCCCTGCAGGCAAAACCGTTGACGTTAGGTCAAATCTGAGAGAATTACTCAGAAAGGGCGTTAATAGGGCTATCGAATGCGCTTTTCCGCGGCGCTGTAGCTCTATTGGTTCCCGAGTTATGCGTTGGCTTCTTGGAAATTTTCGACATTCGACCTGGAAATCGGCGAAAATTTGCCTTCAATGACCTCTGGTGACCTGACCTTTGACCTGACCAAAAAATTAACCGAAGTGATTTCCTCATTATTTTTGACGCTCTTTCGAACGCCGCCTTCCGCGTATCGCTACGTGGCCCAGGAGCCGAGTTAGAAGGGGGGGGGGGTGTTCAAACACCCCCCCCCCCCAGCAGGGCGTGGAAATCCAGGACCCCCAGCCGGGCGCGGGTTAAGCTAGCTGACGTGCTCTCTGATACGTTTTAGGGACTCTTTAACCCTAAGAATTGGATCCCACCCGCGTATTATTAAGCAGCATTTCTGTCGCGCAAAAAAAAATTGCGTGTAGTTTTTGTGGCTTGGTATCCGTTGCTCCAAACTGAGAGACAGCTAAGCTTGCATGCGAACGTTATGTAGTTTTATTTCCGAATGCATTTTGCTTTGATCCTTGCCAGCAGCTGGACGAAAAAAAAACCAGCACATCTATTAACCTCAGAGTGCAGTTTTAAACCTCACAGCAGAGCAGAGTGTTATTACCAAGGAGAAGATGAAATCCACATTGCCACGGTACTATTCCCGTAATATGGCTAAACTTTGCATTCACGATTTTGAATACTGAATGAATACTACGCGGCTCAAAACTTTTACATATGTCCGCTGTCGCTGCATCACGCTGGTGGCTGACACACCTTTCTCCCGGCAGATCACCGAGTACAAGGTGGGAAGCAACGTCACCGTCTCTCGGATGGAGATCACCCCCGCCAAGCAGAAGGACGCCGGCTTCTACGAGTGCGAGGCCGACAACAAGTACGCCGTCGACCGGCGCGGCTTCCGAACAGACTTCATCATACAGATGGAGTAGTAGACGGCAGCGGTTCGGGCGGATACTGCGGCGTGTCCCTGAGACTTGTGTGGTCTTCCCAGTCGTGGATGGAGGAGAATGTGATCTGGCAGTGTCTCTGGCGCAGGAATGGCACAGTGTGTCGAAACCCTGGCCTTGATTGTCAGTAGGGAGTAGACATGGGTTACAGAAGTTCTTGGGGACGGAAAGGAGGCTTACTGGGTCGCCAGTGGTTTTTGCTGTTCGGAAGTGGGAGGAGCGACCGAAGTAGATCAAAGGCACCGCTAGAGGTTCCAGCGTAAACAATAGTATGGGATCGCGGCATCGCGGCTCGAATAAAGGTCGATGCGAAATAAAGCTCTGTTTAAGGAGATATTTAATTAGGTACGCATCGATGATTGCTGTCCCGATAGATATTCAGTAAGAATTGAATGATTGCTTAAAAATTGGCAAACTGTTTTATGTATTTGTCATGAATATGGCTTGGTGTGAGGCATTGAATGATCGATAATATACCAGCAGTGACATGCAGTGGCCTTTGATAATCCTTTTATTCTCTATACAAGCCTTCATGATAAAAGAAAGTGCGTTTACATACCCTATCCTTACATTAGGTCATGCTGATGCGAATTGTCCAAACTGAGTCATCAGACCTTGTTAAAGGGTCTTGCGCAGCCTAAACGCTTTCACAAGATCTTTTACCGGAACAGACAATATGAGAAAGGAGCCGACATTGGGAAATGTGTTACTGTCACGCGAACAACTTCTTCCAACGGCTGAGTGCTCATTTAGCTGATGAGGCTGATCAAGATGAACGCCTCTGACAACGAAGCAAACAAGACCAAGTAGTATTGTCCTATTGCGTGTCTGAAAGGAGTGTTACGGAAAAGGGCGGTCGTAGACATGGCTCGAACATGCCTCTCGGAACGTTCGCTTGCGTGACAGCAAGTAAGCCAGGCCAGCGGCACAGGGGGACTACCCTAACAATAACATGATTGTTTTAGACGAATGTTACGTGACTTGACTTTTATCATGCTTTGTTTTATGACAATGTCAATATAGAGTAGAGAACAAATAGTTGTGCTAGCTGAAACGAAGACTTAACAAGACGCCCAGACTGTTTCACAGGCGCCAGTATCCTTGGCGACAGCAGCTCTAGATGTCGTCAAGGCCAGCGGCACTGACACCGGACGGGCGGGCGTACCCGGCTGCCGGGGTGACCCAGGCCGGCCGACCTCTGCCTCCTGGCCGGATGCGTTAATAAGTCAGCTCTGCCGTCGCCCGGGCCGGACCAATGGCGACCCGTCGGCCATCACCGTAACGACCTGCCGGCGACGGTCGCTCTCCGGCAGCCGCCGCCGCTGCGGCGCGCTCACAAGGCGGTGGCGGTCCGGCCGCGCCATGGGGCTCCGGCGCGAGCTGGTGTTGCTGCTGCTGGTGACGGCCGTCCTGCTGCCGCAGCCGCCCCGCGCCGACGCCAGCCTGCCCAAGTACTGGTTCAAACTGAAGCGGAGACTGCGTAACCACGTGTACAACAACCACCCGATCGGCGGACGGTACCGCAACACCGAGACCAAACACTACTACGAGAACGAGGACGTGAGTCGATGTGAAGGGGAGAGGGGCAGAGCCTGGTCGGGAATTCAAGTGAGTGCGCGATGACAAGGGGTTGTGGAGATCTAACGTCCAAACTTTTCTTTCATTCTGGCTGGATGGGTTCAAGCTGTACCACGGTGCTAATGCAACGGAATTTCTTGAACGTCTTTGTGGCTTATGCTGCGATGTATTAAAGGGCCAAGTTATGTAAGGCTTATCTTGGATTGAACAGTGATCGTTGGTGACGTGATGCCCCTATGATTGAGCGTACCCCTGAACGGCCGGTTTTCAGAAGGCGCACATTGTGAAGGCGTCGCACTTTGAGTCGGTGTACGAACTGGGCCACAAGATCTCCTTCATCTGCGTGGCCAGAGGCAGTCCTCGCCCAACCATCACATGGCGTAAGGACGGACAGGAGATCCCCACTCACAAGTTCCTCAAGGTGAGCAGTGTAGACGGTGGTACGGGGACCCACAGTTGCTACTGTACAGCGACCCTGAATGAATTGTCCCAACACCCTCACAGGGAAGAACGATAGGCTGTCAGAGGGCACGTACAGAAAACCTCAGCTGCTCTTGTACAGGGACCGGCAGTCGATATCAATGTTATCGGTTTTTACTGTACAGGACAGACGGCTCGAGTTGGGGTTCGTGTACAGAAGCAACTGCGGGTCCCCGTACTATTTTACTTTTTTAAAGTCAACTCAAGGGCATGTCTGATGTAAGTGATCTATCGTAATATTAGGATAAGATTTGCGCTGATTTGTTGATAAATGTTACTCAGGCGCATTTTATGTTGCCTGTCAGGGCTTGGGAGTGAAAACTCGCACTGTTACCGCTCAATAGTTGAAACTCGCACTTTATGTCTGTTATAGCTCTGGGAGTTTATGCTCACTCTCTGTCTGCATTCTGCAGCTTTGAGAGTAGAAACTCACACTCTGAGTCTGTCTGCTGCAGCTTTGGTAGTGGAAACTCTCGCTCTCTGTCTTCTATTACAGCTCTGGGAGTGGAAGCTCACCGGTGACCGTCTCAAGTCCAAGCTGGAGATCGACCCCGCCTCACAAATGGACAAGGGCATCTACCAATGTATGGCGGACAACCAATACGCGATCGACGTGCGCGCGTTCCGGACCTCGTACGGAGACAGCTAACGGGGAGGCCTTATAACACTATTTTCAGTGTTCGCTGGTCACAAATTTTGATATCTTCCTTGTTTCTTCGATGCTAGAGACTACAATAGTCGAAATTAACCGGTTCACATAAATTCTTCAATGGCATCATTAGAGTAAGACATTCAATCTATTGTGTCATTCGGTTTTAATCTGGAGCGTAATGCTCTACGAGAGAAGAATTTCGAAGCTAACAAACTTTGTGTCCTCTAATGTCGAGCTAAGATGTCGTTTTATTCACTATGCAGATGCATAGACTGAGATGTAATGATATCCAATGGATGAGATCCAGAATAATAAACATGCTTTAAAGGCAGTTTTTTTTTTTCATTGATCTAATTTCCCAGTATACACGAATGCTATATGATTTCAATTGAGACTGCAGCCTACACCACTTGCAAATGTTATCAAGGAAAAGTACATTGGCACTTGTCGGCTACAGAGGCTGCTGCGACATCTAGATAGCGTGAACTATTGACTGCCTAGAGGGCGGTAGCTGTGGGCTTGTTAGACAAGAGTTGAATGGTATTATTAGGTGGGTGGCCGTGGGTTGTGGGAGACTGCCACGGCGCTCTTGGCAGGGCTCAGTCAGGAATTAAAGGGAGGGTGGAGGGGTTGAAGAGTTTTGCTCATTCGTCTAAGGAACCAGTAAGCACGTCTTGAAATTGAATCGTGCCTCGCAGTTGATGACTAGTTAGGCTTAGAAATGTGGAAAATGGAGTAGGTAGCTTGCAAGTTAAAAGTGTTTTTACGGCAATATTCCTCTAAAATCTAAAGTCCTTACGGCTGTTTGCTGCGACATGCGTTTTTGACGGGCTAATTCGGCATAAAGCACTTATGCTGAGTAACTTTAAAGGTAACAGTTTTCATGTTTCCTGTGGAATTAATGTGTGGCGGTAATTTTCTGATGCGATGTACCTAATCGTAACGTATACCTAAACGTTATGTACGCCGTGCACCGACCATTTATCTTCTATCATTTATGCCCAGGTATTGTCTTCTCCATAAAAAATAAGGCTACGTTGCAATTCCATGAATTACTATTTACGTTTCGTGTTTGCGCATGCCTTACTTGGAAGATGGAAGGCCCGAAAAGTTGCATTTTGAACGTAACAACTATGTATGAGCGGCTAAACTATCAGTTTGATTGTTTGACGTACCCAATTAAGTTGATTTTTACTCGCTTGAAATCATTAATCGATTAAAAGAACCAGACCTTTTGTAAAAATGTGCACCAGAGCTTCACGTTTCGGAAATTTGGTGGCTGAGCTGTTTGTTACTTATTACAGTTATATCTTGCAACCTTCTTCATATTACGAATACACACTCGCCTGCTCACCAACTCTGACCTCGTCAGGTGTCCTACTGCGCCGCCTCAGGTCTCGGGTCACAGCCCACCTCCTACCCGGCACGTCCGCTAGTTCAGCGGCCCCGTCTCTGAGCTCTGCCGGCACCAGTTCCCACGGCTCCGGGCTCAGTGATACATCGACTCCCGACCCACAGGCCTGCACGGTTCTCCGCTGCCGATTACGGCTGTGATTGTTCTTCAGAGCGAGGACCCCGGCAGCGGCCGCCCGCCCGCCCGCCTGTCCATACCCAATTATTTATCGATTCCGCGATATTGTTTCCCAGTTGCAATCGGGCCTATAAATTAGCCGCGCACGGTCGGCGGTCCACCGTGGCCGATAATGCAAATATTGCCGGAATTTATCGTCCATTAGTCGAGCTGTTGTTTTTGCTGACTGGGCATTGTTTTAATTCGGTGGCAAAAAGGGCAGCGCGTGTTGAGCTTGGTGCATGGAGCGAGGTTTGGTACCGACCCGGGGAGGGACGCGGCTGCTCCGATCAGCGCAGACCGCCGACTGGGGGGGGGGGGGGGGCAGGCCGCAGGATAACACGCACGGGTCGGCCGATTGGGCTCCTGCGTGGTTCGACCTGATGCACACGGTTATTGCTACTCGCATGGTATAAAATGTTGGAGATGGTTCCACCCTAGATCAAATCAGTTATGACTCAAGTGACATGAATTGTTTATTCTCGATAAACACGAGCGTCGAGCACTGATCAGAAAGTTGTTTTATTTTTACGAAATAGTGACGTGCATTTGTCTCTGAGCCTCGATATCTACAGTGCTGGAGAAGTCATGGTCTAGACTCTAGAACTTCTTTCTCCTCCCTCTCCTTCCCTCCCTCCCTCCCTCTCGCTGCTCTCCTCTCCAAAAGCCACCCAGACAGAGCGGCGCCTCGGCCGGACAGGCAACACCACGGTATCTCGCTCAGCCCAGTGAATACCCTCGACAGGTATGCCGCCTCTCCCGTCTCCCCGCCGCCCGGTGGGGAGGGGAGGGGAGGGGACGGTTCCCACGCGCTCCTCTCGGCGACGGCGGCCGCCTTTGAAGGTGCCGCCGCCGGGTCCATGAGACGGCGACACGCCGGTCGGAGGGGACGGAAGCTGCAGCGGGGCTCCGGTGGGCTGCACGGTTGGAAAAGGTGCGGTGCACGCGAGTAGCGGACATTGAGAAAGGAGCGCGGTGGGTGGAGAGAGGTTGTGAAGTGAGGAATGTCCGAGACGCTCCCTTCAAACACGGTTTCAGCCAGTTTGCATTGGGTTCCCGAGCAGGATTCATTATATGACATGGGCTTTTTACGGAAAAGGCCACCGATACGGTACGAAGGACTCACGCCTCTCCATACACTGATACCTATTCCGATTCCCCGTGTCAGTCCTTTCATGTATCCCAAAGCATTAAAGTCTATCCTCTCCTGTCTTTTTTCTATTTCCCGGGATGCGAGTGATCCATCCTATTTTCACAGACTACTTCTGCACTGTCCATGCATCGCTCGGCTCAACATGCCCAATACGCCACCACCGTTCTCCCTCTCGTTCTCGGCTCATTGACCATCCCATCCTCTCCGTCATGTATGTAGGCCGTTACAAATGCCACCGAGCTCTCTGACGAGCGGCGGGAAGGGTGGTCCGGTATGTACATACATACCTCAGCACGGTCACAAAGTGAGCCAGTCAGTAACTGGTGACACCGCCGATGAAGTCCAAAGACCGCAGCACCAGCCTTTCGTTGTGGAGATGGCGCAACTATCCACCGTTTGCCGTCACCGGCCTCCGAACCCGCATTGTTGTGGAATTGAGTGTCAATCGAAAAAGGCTGAGAAAGCTTAATTTGAATGCAGCAAGGGCATGTGGATAAAAGTCTTTTTCGGATATGAGTGTTTTGTAACTTAGGGCACCATGCACGGCGTACGCATGGGATGATGTTTTGAGCATTAGATATTAAATCGAAATTAAAATATAATGTTTTTAACTATACACCTGCCCAACAAATGTTTCTAGCATACCTATTGAAAGGAGGGAAACACTTCAAAACGTTTAAAAATCGAAGTAAACACAACAAAATAAAAATTGATGTCAAGTTATACTTTTTGTCCAATTCAGTTTGAATGGGACGCTTGGTAGGCGTGCCTTTTATCATGTAACGACTATATATATACCGACTATCATGTACCTACTATATAAAAGCCGTTATTTATCCATTTTATTTGTCGAAATGCCATAAAGGTTGAGCCTTCATGAAATGAACACTGATGAAACACTAAAAAAAAAACAGCCGTTATTTTATAGGTACGCCCATCACTCGGAGATAACCAGAAAAAAATTATCACATAAGGTAAAGCCCTGTATATCGCTTGCTATTCCTCTGCCCCACTCTTGACGCTGACGCCCAGGACAGAGCCCCCGTTCTCTGTAGAACCCCGTATCACCACGCCGAAGTCGATGCCGGCGAACGGGTGGTAGCAGCAGCGCATGTCGGCCACGTCGGTGCAGATGCGCGTCGCCTGAGTGTCGGGGTTCGGATCGGAGGGCTCGGCGCCGCGGCAGCAGTGCAGCACGCGCCGGCCGCGCCTGCGCTGCTCGCACTGGCCGCTCTGTGTCAGAGTCGGCAGCAGCGGCACCAGGTCCGCCGGCAGCCGCGGGTACTGGTCGCGGCCCGGCAGCAGGTAGCAGCAGCTCGCCCCGGAGAACTGCTGGCAGACGCGGGCGGCGGTGAGGCTGTCCGGCACAGCCGTGTTGTAGCAGCACAGCATGCTGCCGAAGTTGAAGCAGCCCTCCGCCTCCATGTCGATACGGTCGCCGCCAACTTTGAACAGCTCCGGACTCGGAGCTGAGGCGCTGTACGTCGTGGTGTTGAAGACCAGCTCTTCCGTTTCCGTAGAGTTGTCCACTAAAAATGAAAGCAGACATGAGGCATACATGACTATTGACTAGATTTAATCGTACGATAAGTATCTTTATAGCAGTCAACACTTGAAATCATGGGAATGTAAAAACCGGCAAAGACAAGAGGACTTAGGAAAAGTCGTCCAAAAATCACAAGTTGTCTTAGTCAACTCCATGAAAGAAGCCATCGTCCTTTCCCAGTCAGAGCTGTTTGAAGTTTTCCTTACCGGCAGCGGCGGCCAGAGCCAGCGCCTGACCGACGATCAGCAGTTTGACGGCGCTCTGGAGCTCCATGGCTGGCGAATGATGCCGCCTCTGCGACAGCACAACGCTTATATATTGATCCGTTGCTGCAATGCAACTCAGTTGATGTTTACAACACCGGCCGGATAAAAACCCAGACCTCGTAACATGGGCTGGGTGTGAGTCAGCTGGCTCATGAGGACATGAGAGTGGTGTTTAGATTCATGAACGAAGTGACATCACGGAAAGCTGTGGGTAGGTATGCACTATGCAACATGCATTAGGTTCGAAGTTTTACTTGTACCTAGGGACTGTCAATGAGGGTTTGACATGATATCGTTTTGGGCAATGCGTATTCAGTGTGTTCACTTACAATGCAAGTGAAGGGATTCCGCGCATTTCTTTGTTACTCTGTCCAGTGTCCATATATGTTGGGCGGATGAAATTGCTTTTTTTTCGCTGAAACAAATAACTATATATGTGCACATGGTATTGATTGAAATGCCGGAGATTAGTCTGATCCCAAACAAAAACGAGGCGGGGGAGGGGGAGAGCCACGGGATATAGCAGTGTTCGGAAGATAAAAATAATCAAGAAATTACGTGGTATCAGTTAGGACTCTATTGACACTTCTTCACTAAGATGTGACCTCACTTAGTATCTCAGGCCTAACGGTGTGACATCCAAAGGGCAAACACCGTTTAAAGAGACTTTCTGCTATAATAGAAGTTTGTTTTTGTAATACTTTTTTTACACGATGCATTGCTTATCAGCGCTTGTTTTGATATCTACTCAACCAGCAACCTGTTTACCTCCCTCAGTAAGACGCATCCAATGGTGATCTTAACCCGCGGCGGACCGGGTGTGTTTGGGGTCACCACACGTGACCTCATCTAAGAAAAAGTTAGAATGCTCGTTATAGCTATACCAACTAAACGATCGTCTTCAAACTTCCAGCGATTGATAAGAGTACGTATTGATTGATAACAGTATGTGTAAATTGTGTATCTCGAAATTTTAATATTGGTGACCTTAAGTCAGTTAATTTTGCGCCCTCTCCATTATAAAACAATTGAAGGAAAACATGGAAAGGCGTCTCTTTTGGACGAACGCCATTCTAAACACTCTCAAACGTAGGGATACAGGTCGACTTGACACATTACACTGAAATACATACATTTGCGGGTTGATACGAGTCGTTGCACGTCCTTCGGGCTTCGACCCGCGAGGCGCCCATTGGTGGCCCATTGTGCAGGTTGAGAGATTTAGAATCCCGTGTGCATCTGGGAAAGGCACAGGGGCGAATGAGCCGTCTGATTATCCCGACTGGATGTTGCTTATAGGCAGTACACCTACATCAATCATTCGACTGGAAAACACGTGTTTAGAGACCACAAGACGTTCTCAATGTTTATCGATATTTGGTAGACACATTGCAGAGCCGTGTCCAGCGCCGTGCGGGCTAACCCTCAATTCCGACAATTTCGTCACGGCAAATGGGAAGCCCGCACAGTGCACGAGCCTGCTTCACAAAACGGGCCAGCCCGGCGCGCAGACATCGGAAGTAACTTCTGGATGTTCATAGATCTTGCATGTATTTTCCAGTCAATATGCTGAGCTGAGCCATGTGATTGTGTATGTAACATGTGTATTGTGTACCTAAGGTACTTTAATCGGCGCGTAGACTGGTCTGCCCTATAAATATTGTAGCATGTGCAATGTGCATGTTTGTTAAAATTTGAAATTTCTGTCGCTCATTTGTAGACATTTTCACCCAAATTTAATATTGACATGTGTCATGCAGCATGCATCTAATGGCTTTTCAGTTCGTTATTTACTCCATTTAGCAGCTGGTCAGATCAAGAGAAACACTCAGCATCATGGGGAGGGGTGTTTTCGCATCGTGTCATCGAATAAAAAGTCTGTGAACCATGCACGTTACACTTGGATCATTGCAGTGCGAAACACCTGAATTCTGCTAATTGCCCAGGCTCTAACTCAATGTCCTCGATATTCCTTACCGTATATCAGGTCAGGAACCGGGGAACTGACGGAAACATGACCGGTTTGTCTAAGACGGAGAATGCTCGAGCTGAGACATGGATCAGTGTCTGCAAGTACATACCGCTTGAGCTGGCTGATGGCGACCATTCCGTAAAACCCAAAATGATTCATAGAAGGCAAATGCACAAACACATCTCACGGACTACCGGAAACATAACATACCTTACCCATCATCGTCTAAACATTCAGGCGCTATACCGTCCCGTGCATATTGGGGTTTCCACACTCAGCTGTGGAACGCAACAACACTGGGAGTTCTCAGAGTGTCACCCGGGGTCATGCAGTAACCACTTGTATATATGTTACACATATCACACTACCAGGAAAAGTACATGCAGGTATATAAACGTAGCGCTGTGGCAGAGCAGACATCATTTGCCAGCCATGGAGCTCCAGAGCGCCGTCAAACTGCTGATCGTCGGCCAGGCGCTGACTCTGGCCGCTGTTGCCGGTTAGTTTAACCTTAAATTCACTCGGTTCTTATCTGCGTAAAAGCTGAATGTGCTGCCTTGCGTTGGAAGAGATAGCTTATGAATTAAAAGTAGGTATGCAGGAATCGTAACAGTTTTGCATAAATCTGTTAATAATTGAGGCAATCTAATCATCTCGTGAGAGACCAGTCTTGCTTTTTTATTCTTTGGTAACGGATATTTTGTTGTTATATCTTCTGGCTTGGCAACAGTAAATATATCTGCAAGTGACTGCTAGTTTTCTTGTAGTACAGTCGTGAATATCTGCAATTTTTATTTCCCTGTCAGTCCAGCTCAAGACCATATATTATCGCTATTAGTGTATTCATCTGATCGTTATAATGCGCTTATTCCAGGAGAGGAGGTGTTTGACAGCGAAACCAACATCACGTCGATAACCTACTCGGCCTCGGAGCTTCGTCCGATTCTGTTCGACGTCGGAGACGACAGCATCAAGGTCAATCTCCAGGGCTGCACGCACCGCAACAACCTCGTCTGCTGCTTCAACCGGCCTATGCTGGAGAACCTGCCGGCGCCGCGGCTCTGCTCCTCCTTCCTCTCTGCGAGCTGCTGCTACATGCTGCCGGGCCGCGACAAGTACCCGCGGCTGCCGGCTGACCTGGTGCCGCTGCTGCCGACTCTGACACAGAGCGGCCAGTGCGAGCAGCGCAGGCGCGGCCGGCGCGTGCTGCACTGCTGCCGCGGCGCCGAGCCCTCCGACCCGAACCCGTCCGGGCGCGCGGCGCGCATCTGCAGTGATGTGGGCGACATGCGCTGCTGCTACCACCCGTTCGCCGGTCACCGGATGACCTCAGTGCTGCAGGCTGCCGAGGACGAGTTCAGGGGAGTGTTCGGGGTGAAGCTGGTGAACCACGCACCCCCGCGCGGAGATCGCCTGGCGTACACGATCGACAGGCTCCGTAAGCTGAGGGCCCGCACGCAAGCTGCGAGGGACATCATCGGATAAATGACATTTACGCACACATGCGGTCTTTTGCATGGCAACATTTTTTGCCCTTACTGGCTTATTAGTCGCCAAGTACATGTGATCACAGATGTTTTTGTGATATGTATGCTGTATGCATTATTTCCCTAATTACTTATTTTGCAAGTTTATTATGTGTGCCCTATAGCATGCATGCGATACGGCCTGATGAGAATGCATTTGATCGTGTCGTTCACATTGAGAAGATGAGCTTTATTCAAGATTTGCAATAAATGAAGTGGTAACGTCACAAATGTGTTACTTATGCCATTCTCTGTTCAATAATCAAACATCAAGGTTCTTCCCTCGGTTTTCGGTTAACCACTCCTCCAAAGTCCTCTAGTTCGATGTTTGATCTCTCGACGTCTGAACCTTCAACTGAAGATTCCACAGTCATCCTTCTCACACCTCCAGAATAGAAATAAAACTGGCATTTTTGTGCTCACCGTTTTCATCCAGTCACACCGGCATCTGTGGAATCCGACGGACGCACGGGCACACGAGCGACTAATAGATCCCACAGCGCAATCTGGCGCTCCCCGGCCGGGTCTCCATGGGCGCCGCGCGACACCGCCAGGTCGGCCGATCGCCGTCTGCGCGCCATCCGTCACCGGCGGCTCTTCTGCGGCCATTGTGGCGCGACATCAGCGCTCCGATCCCAAACCGACGCTCAATCGCGCCGTGATCGCCGCGCGCCGGGAATGCCTTTTTGAAGAACCCCGCGATGGGCCAGCACTATTTACCAACAAACCGGCCGCAACAGGACAGGCGGCCTGATCATTTATCTCGGCGCAGCAAATTATGCCCTGCTTCATTTGTCAAATTGTTGTAAACATCTGGGCGGCGGCTGGGCGGCGTACAATCGCGGTGGCGCCAGCGCAGAGCCCTGCGGGACACTATCGGGGTGGCCCGGCCGGCAGCTCATTGAGGCGCGGCGGCGGCGGTGCCACTGATCCGACGGTGTCGCGCGCGCCGCCTCCCAGACGCGGACCGCTACAGTTGTGGTGTGCCGCCATTCAGGGCGCATCAAAGGAGCACAAAGCGTCAAACGCGCCGCCGCAGAATGACAAAAATTCAGAGCGAAAGGAGGAGACACCCGGGAAAGGAGAGCGTCCGCCGCTGTGTGGGACGACGCTTCCGATGCCTTTTTTCGGGTCTACGACACAGGCGTACAACAGCGGCACGTCGATTGGATCCTGTAGGGCTTTGTAAACAGCGACCGCGGGCAGAGACAGCCGCACCTTCCCTTTCAGGGCGTGTTAGAACTGGTGGTGTGATACTTTCAGAGTGGTGTGACGCAGCTCAAGGGCATCGGTGCGCTAAACGGGGTGATTTGTAATTTGGCCGATAAAAAGGACGCTAGACGTCTCACCCAATTTGGTCCACAAATGGGAAGAGGAAATGTGGGATGGATGAAGACCCGGGTCTTTTATAAGAAAACGCGGTGTTTAGCCTTATATCAATTCAGCTCACGAGTAGATGGTGTAAAATGCATCGATTTGTAGCGTCTGAACAGAACAGTTACATATTCCTTCCCAAGTCTTTTTAGCTGAGAGCAACACACAGACCTAATGTTCCTTAGGTATAATAAAAACAACATAATTTTCAATAATTTCGGCCTAAGCATAAACATTAAGCATTCAATTCGATTATTTATCTCTACACAGTAAACGATACCTAATAACATGCCATGATAAACGATGATTTATGAATTTAATATAAGGAACTGAATGGGTACGTACTCTATAACGTAAAGTACCTAAGGGGTATGCACTAATGATACCAAGCTTTCTCCCCACCAAAAGAGAGAGAAAAAAACGCTATCCAGAAAATGCATCCTGCACCGTGAATCCAATGCATCTAAAACGACAGACACCTTTGTGTCATTTTGGGTCGACCTTTCGTGTCCACTGGCGGATCCAGGGGGGGGGGGATGTGGGGCTAATGCCCTCCGAGGCACCCAAAGTCGACAAAATTCTGCGTTTTTAGAATAAAAAGAAAACAAAACAACTTTTATGAAGAAAAGTTTTTTAAACTGCTCAGCAGTGCGCAAGGAATCGAAATCCAGGGAGTTATGGAAATTGGAGAAACTTTTTTGGGGGTATGCCTTTGCCTCGCAGCGGCCAAGATCGCCTTTCTGCAGATCCGCCAATGTTCATGACCTGGATTGCTTGTCAACTTGTGTTAGTGTTACGCGAGAACGGACTGTATGTAGCTTTCAAGTTTGGCTATTGCTATTATACTTTAACAGACATGGCAAGCTTAAACAGACATCGCAAGAAAATGAGAGGGGGAAAAGCACCTACAGGTCGTGTGTTAACGGACGAAACGTAACAACTCATAAAATTCAGGTATGCACCAAAAGAAGTACCTAATGAGGCTCCCGTACTGCTCGCGGCGATAGACAATGGGCGCTACATGGGCGCTCGGTCTGATAGACGAAATATATCGCAATAAATTGACTGACTCGATCGCGATCTGATCAGCGCAGTGGTCAGCGATAAACGTCCGTGAAATAGCCGATTGTCCCTACATTCTGAGGGCCGATGGTAGCCCTAACACCAACCAGAACATGTGAGCGAAATGTCGTCTATTTCACTACAAATATGTCATATCCTGTTTACATTCAATCATTTATCTTCATGCATTATCAAGTCATCATATCTGAAGTAGGTACATAAACGTACACATACCAAAATGTTTGTACATACCAAAATTAATGTGCACTGCAGATGCCCAAAAGTCTAGACCCCCTGGTTTTGGATATTGAACTTGGGCCTCACTGGACATCTACGGGACCATATGTGTATCGGTGGCCTCACGGCCCACGGGCGGCCCGTCGCTCGCTGGCGGCACCGGGGAATGAGGAGCTGCTGCCGTCTGGTGGCAACGGCTGGAAACTGGTGGCCGCCCCAGACCAGCCGTATATTACCCTGGCACGGAAAGGCACCGTCTTCCCCCTACCTCGGCTTTATACAGCGTCGGAAGTCAGCGGGGGATGGGATTCTGTTCAATATAACGTCATCAGTTACCAGATAATCCTTTCGCTTGGGTGCGGAATTGAACTTTGAACGCATTATGCCACTGAGCCTTTATAATCCCAACACAACACAATTTGTATTGTGTCCATGAATGCTTGCTTTGAGACATCCGGCTATTCCTTGCCCATCAATGGAAACACGTTTTGGACTTTTTTGTGAACTGAATCTGACTCCAACACACGCAAGTCACTAAATATGATACATGTCTGGCCACTGTGTCCCACATCCACTCCATTCATTTCATACGCTCAATTTAAAGACGTTCTACTTCTTCAGTTCCGTTAAAATATCTGCCCCTTTTGTGCATCCTCACGGGCAAAAAACTGGCTGCGGTTTGTAATCGTTCCGCTGAATGGCGACTCCCCGGCTGAGGTGACTTGTAGCGCTGGTACCGCGTTGTGCTACCCTCCCTTTCCCTCCCATGGGTTGTGAATTCTTCCTAATCCCCCGCAAATACGGTCATTTATATCGGTTTTCCTTCCTCGCTTTTCTCGTTCTCTCCTCAAAGAAGGACATTTGTGAGTTCGTATGCGTTATGTAGCGAGTCAGACTATATGTGATAGGTAGAGACATTCATTTACTATATATTAAACCGCGAGTAGGTAGAACAATTCTTTTAAACCTCGAGCCGATAGGCGAGACGTTTAAAAGATTTTTCTACCTACGAGCGGTTTAATAATTTTATCCCTTACCACCGATATGTTTCGGGCGCTTAAAGGTAATAAGTATATTTTATATAAAAAATACGACATTATTCAGACTAGACCAAATGTCTACTAGACGTTTAACAGTTTGTTAATCGTTCGGACGTTTAAAAAATCAATTAAAGGACATCTGATAATTTTCTCTCTTTGCACCTGAAGCAATGGCAAACACTGTCTACGGTGCGGGATAAGAGTTTCTCTCATATTTTAATGATTCAGCACGCCAGAGATATAGAGATATTTGCGAATAAGCAAGTTTCATATAGTTTTATACATTGCTACGTGAATATGTCAAATTTGCGTGTTTTTAGGTATTGCTGCTACTACGTACTACAGGGTGTCTCAAAAGTTGGTTTACAGGTACCAGCCATGCTTTTTTTTGTCAATAATTCTGAATCAACAAGAAATTAACAGTCGAAATTTTGCATGGGCATTGGTGACAACCTTCCTCAAGCAGCTTCATTGTTTTCAAGCGCATTCGACCCTTCATGAGCTCACAAAAAGGGTTCACCTCTGACCATGGATCAGGCATGAAAATGGAGGTCGCATACTCGGGTCGGCTGAGAAACTCTCTGCTTCACGAGTAATGGGAATGGTTAGGTCGGAAATGACACATGGCAAAGTGTCGGCGAGGATGAGTACAACATGATGGTCATCTAATAAAAACGGTGGCTAAAATTTTTGAAGGACAAAACCATGCGAGAATAACAGCGCTTTGAACGACCCTTGTACCGCAGCAGACTCGTGCTCCGGAAAGAAGCTGAAAATGCAGTCCTAACTATTGAAAACTGACTAGAAGCTCACAGACAGAGGTTACCCAGTTTCAAAAATTGCAGGTCATCATAAAATAAAGACAAAATATCATTTAAAATTGTTTATAATATCTATAACGCTAAATTTTGAGGGAAAATAATGCGAAAATCGTCAATGCCGAGGACAAATGACCCTCCAAAAGTGTCAATTAATGTAAAGTTATATCTAACGAAGTTTCAAGAGGCAGATCTGGAGCAAATAGCTTTCTTTTACACACAAAATCCGGACAAAACCGCACGATGGACAGGTGTTGGCCGTTTACAAAGCAGAACCTCTCCTGAGGAAAACACTCCGGAACCCAGCGAAGGTCTTGGCATTGGGAATGACGAGCGTTCGGGATTTGCAAAATTTGCAAAATGTGTCTAAGAAACAGATGGCCGACACATTCTGCTACGATATGCAGCGAAAAATTTGCCCCTGGCACTTCCCATTTGTTCAGGAATGGGGTTGTTTTGAAAAGGAAAATGGTGCTTGGGAAGTCGGCGCCAGTCATTCATGAAGGAGTTAGCGCCAGAGAAGACCTGCAAAATACTCACGGATGGTGTCGATGCAAGCTGTCGGCTTTCAAGGAGAAGCGGATGTTGCCGGGGAGCTCGTCAAACCTAAATCCGACGCAGAAACTGCAGGGGATTCCCCTACAAGAGCTTGAAAGCTGGTAACCTTTTATCAGCCTCCGGCAGCTGACGGAGTGACGAAAATCGGTATGGGCAAATATTTTTGGAGATAGGTACAGCAAAGGGTTTGGTTTCCAACCTTCCGAATCAGTTGTCAAAGCATGCATATTTGTCTAGTGTACACACGGACACCAAAACCTTAGATTTTTGGCCGGTTCTTATATGCTTTATTGACATGGGAAATGTGTAAACGAACTTTTGAGACAGCCTGTACTGCTACTGTATAATAAGAAATTATTAGCTATCCGTTTGCATTAATTCATCAGTGACCTTATGTATTGGAGGGCGGAAGTGTAAACATTAAACAACTTATGTCCAAAATGACGAAAGACAGGTATCCATTATGTAATTGCTAGATAACTAATGTGGATTAGCAGTAGGTGCGTACCATAAATCATAGCTAAATCAGTGTTATTGCGTAGAAACCAGCTTTTGGTCGCTCTCATTTGTTTACGATAAGATAGCGGAAAAGGGCATAAATCATTGGTCGACAAGCGGATATAGAATAGAAAAGAACAGAGACCGCACCTGTGCTTTTGTGACTCCCCACTTTCAATGTCCCCAGCTCATCTCTTTCCAGATAAGATTCACATACCTATGTTGTTTTTACCTTTATTGATTTCCAAGGAACCGCAAAAGGCAACTATCACTTCCAATACTCGTACCTACTATGCAATAACGCAAAGAAAAAAAAAAACAATGCACGGCATACAATGGTCAGTGGTCACCTCAAGCTCAAGTCATGTTATGTAACCTACAGTCTGTTAACAAGCAGGAAATGAGGATTGTTAAAACGATTAGTCAAACAGTACCTGCCGAAAAGTCATGAAATTTCGCTAGTTTAGATGCGTGGTGAAAATATTTCAACTGGGACACATAGGAAGCAGCACGCCTTGAAACTCGCAATGCACGTCACAACTCTAATGCAAAATAGACATATACACTTAAATGACGATTTCATACACCATAATTGGCACATCAGTTGGCCATAGCACAGCTGCACAAAGCCAGATCACGCCGCGCTTATAATAGTTGACCAGATATATCTGCATAATGGTGGGAATAAATACGATAAAGGCCTGGCTACACTATGCGTTTTCTGCGTGCGTTTTTGCAGGTTTGCGTGTTTGCGTAATATCGTTCTAGGAAAAAGTTATAAACTATATAATTTTTACTTTGGTTATATACAAAAGCTAATATAATTCTTATGTAACTAAAATTTAAGGTAAAAAACATCACAAAAACGTAATATCCTTCTTTTTTTTCTAGAACGATATCACGCAAAACACGCAAACACGCAAAAAACGCACGAAGAAAACGCATAGTGTAGCCAGGCCTTAAGCCGACCTTTTGATACGCATCGTATTGAAAGATGTCGGCTTTATTTTTTCCATGCGCCTTTATAAAGTGCATGCAGCAAAAAGAAGCAACCAAACTTGTCGGGAACCTTTATAGGTGGACTTCTGCCGGAGAGTCAGTGCCCGACATATAGAAAGATATGGCACTCCAACAAAATAATAGCGCACAATGAATCAATGCATCAAATAACACAAAAACAGACGGACGTCTCACCAATGTCTATGGGAGTGTACGCAATCACACACGAGTCGATATGTCAGCATACATACAATACAATCCGAGATTTTGGGCAGCAAGGCATAATACTGAAAGGCAAGGTTAACACTAAAGGGTTTCGATAGAGACCGTGGAACCCTTCGACAGCTGGGATGAGCTGCGCACGGGCAGATAAATCACCGCTGCTCGCCAGAATGCAATATAGTCGAGCGGTCTGTCAGCACACACTTGTGACAGCCGTCTCACTTCACGGCTGGATCTGTCCGTTCTGACTCCACAGAATCACTGTGTGATGATAATTGGTGAATAGCTGTATAAGTCGCAGCCGTTCAGAAGAGTCCGAGCCCTCGCTGCTTTAGCTGTTGGTGGTGGTTGTAGCCGTTCGCGGGAAACTGTCCGCCGTAGTGCGGCGACATCAGGAACTCGCTGCCGGTACCCACGCTGAAAGAAAAAAGATCATGAATTGGATGCAAGTTAGCTGCATGCAACGTATCAATTAACTCATTTCTACCTTAACAAAAAAAAAATGGCAAAGGCCTGAGTGGGCCTCTAACTGACCTAGCGATACGACATTGAATTCCATCTGCAATCCAGCTTATCACTTTCTGGTAGCAACAAAACATAGAAACATACCATTTCGCAATTCAGCGTGCAGTTGTAGATAATCTGCCCATTGATAATGATGACTGTCTGAGATGATCCCCGTGATCTGCACTCACTTGTAGTTGTCGGCAGCGCCGAAGGAGTGGCTCCAGGCGGCCGCCGCGGGGTTGGTGTTGGCCCCCACCGTCTGGGCCGTCGTGGTTGTCTCCTTGCTGTGGAAGTTCCAGCCGGCCGCCGCTGCCGCCGATGACTGCTGGAACAAGACGCAGGGACTTTGTTAGCATGCTTTCAGCAGCCCATAGCAGCGTCGAAAAGATCTGCACGATCCGTTATTTGAGCCCAGGCACTCACCCGATCGCTTCTCTCGTGCCCTAAAGATCTTAAACTGTGCCCTGACCTGCCTATCTCTCCGATCTTCCGATCTCCTCACCTGCGCGGTGCCCTGTTGGACGCCGTAGCCGGCCGTGGCTGCTACAGCAGCTCCAGTGCCTCCTGCAGACCCCAGCAGGCTGGCCATCTGGGTCTGCAGCGCCGCCTGGGTCTGAAGGCTGGGCATGGCCGCAGCCGCCTCCGGGAAGGCCTGGAAGCCACTGGAGCACGACTGCTGCTGCAGGAGTGACGGCCCGTACCCGGCGGCCGCCGACCGGCTCCAGGCCGACGGGTCTGCGGACAGGGCGGGCTGGGTCAGGGCTGAGGGCTGAGGGTGGCGGCGCGGGGTGGGAGGGACAGGGCGGAGAGGGACCGGAGCGGCGAACGGCTGCAGAACTTCAGGGATTGCAGTGAGCTGTCACTTTCAACACATTTTGGTTCTTAGAACTGGGCACAAAATTAAAAAAAATACTTACCAAAAAATAAGGCTCGTTTTAGACAGGACACAACCAAAACGCGAAAAAATGTTCTTGGTTTGCCGACAACAGACATTCAGTGCCGTGCAAATATTTCTGACACCGCCAAACCAGTTATTACGCTTCTCGCCTCTTGTAACGCTCCAATCGTATTTGGTAATGTCAGCATACTGTTCTGTAAATAACATAAAATTGTACCGCAAAGGTTGAAACTAAAGAAAGTAAGGTCTCTGCTCCTGGGTGTCTCTGCAAAGTGTTCTACGATCAAACAAAAGCTGTTTCGCCAGCAGCGCGGCGGCGACGTTTACGCCTCTCAGCGTCTCGTAAACGTCTGGCCGGGAGTCTCCATTGAGGGGGCACCCCGCTGTGAGATGGTGCTGTGTGGACACTTATCTGTCCTATCGCCTTCCCCACCCTCCCTCCTCACAAGCTATTCAAGTGACCAGAGTGGTGGCATTGAATGCTCCGTCCAGCATCCAGATTCATCTCGATGTCAATGTCATAATTTCATATTTCTTTCAATCCGTGACTTGTCTCCTTTCGTTTAACACGTCTCATGTCCCTCTACTCCTCTTCCCTCTCTCTCTTTATCTCTCTCTCTCTTTCTCTCTCTCTCTCTCTCTCTCTCTCTCTCTCTCTCTCTCTCTCTCTCTCTCTCTCTCTCTCTCTCTCTCTCTCTCTCTTCCCCAACCCTATCCCATATTATAAGATCTCTATGCCCTATCCCCCTCACCGTGTCCGTGCTGTCCGCCGGTGTCCGCCAGTCCGCCGTACTGTCCGCCCGTGTAGGACACGGGGAAGGCCAGGGAGCCGAACGAGCCGCTCTGCTGGTTACCCATCTGCTTCCTCCAGCGGGCCCGCCGGTTACTGAACCACACCTGGAAACGGGGTAGAGCATTAGGTGCATCAGCTCAGCCGACTGGTCAAGGATTATTGTACGGTATGCCAGCGTTTGAAATTACCTTGGTTTACGTTCGTTCATGTCAGTTTTGGTAGGGACTAGGGCTAAGTAGTTACGAACTGCATGGGTTAAGTAAAAGTCGAATAAGTAGTAGGCGCTAAGTAAAAAGCAACCGCTTTACACAAGCCATTAAAATCAACGCAAGCGAAATAATAATTGTAGCATAAATAACCTTAAGTCACTTTGTTAGCGGGACGTTTTAGCCAAACCGTTTCACCACAAAACCTCCTCTGAGACATCTTTTACTGTGTTACCCTACCTGGACCCTGGCCTCGCTGAGTTTGGTCTTCTGGGCCAGCTCCTCGCGTGTGTAGACGTCCGGGTACTGGGTCTTCTCAAAGCTCTTCTCCAGCGTCTCGACCTGTTCTGAGGTGAAGGTGGTTCGCGATCGGCGCTGTTTTCTCTTCAGAGTCAGACCCGGCTCACTCTCCGTGTCACTGCAGTCACCTGGGGAGAGAATGGGTCGGCGGCGGTTATCGGAGGGAGAGGTAACGATCAGCTGGGAGAGGTGTGGGTTACAGTCACCTGGGGTATGTTACAGTCGCGTAGGCCAGGAGATGGGTCACCACTGAAGGAGGGCCACCAGCGTTATCCAAAAGTTTAGATGCGATGCATCGGCTGCGCTCGGCGGCTAGCTCCCTGCTCTTTTTTATTCGATGACAGCCTGTCAGTCTGTTTGCACCTTGTCACTTGACCCCGGTTCGACGACCGACGGCGTCTGTCCGGCGCGTGCACGTTCCAGGCCGCCGCTCCTTCCCCTTCTCACGGCCAATGAGCCGTGTGTAATGAATCCGAGCTGTTCAAACACCACTAATTGCACCGGAATGACAGCCCAACCGAACTGCAGCCAGTCGGAAGAAACCGAAACCCCGGCGCGGTCACTCGCAGACAAATAGCCTGCGCGGACCGGCGGTCCAGCCACCTAGCTCTGCCGGCACTCAATTACATTTTAAATCGTGGCAATTAACATTGTGCGGCTGTCGTCGCCGAGTGAAGGATCGCCGCGGCGTGCGTGGGGTCCGCGCAGTGGCATTAACCGGACCGCGCGGCCGCCGGGCTCGCCCCGCCGACCCCCTCCTGAGACACACAGATTTATGGGAGCTCCCGTCGGCGGCAGGCGGCCGACGCGCCGAGGGGGCGGTGGGAGGGCCGGGAGGAGGGGGAGGCCGGAGGGGTCCGCGAGCTGCGTGCATAACTGCATTGCTGTATAACATCGGTGTATGATTTCTACTCGACAGCAGAAAAAAGACATTCGACACTTTTCATCTGTGAAAATAATCACCGTAGTGTCGAGTTCCAGCGGTTCTCTTCCATTTCAATGTCATAAATCAGTTTACGAAATAACACAATTGTCAAAGAAGCAGAGCGTCTTTGATCATAACTGCTGATCAATCAGCCATCCAAATATACGCTGTGGTCCGTGTCAACTGAACTAAATGGCTCGTGACCTGCATTGATTCCAAAATGGCCGTTCGCTCCACCCTCCTATAGTCAGTCCTCCGGGCCCGTCCCCCGTTCCACCAGCATGGCAGCATCGCGCACCCCTGCACCCGACATCCCAGTCTGGAGCGGGACGCTCGACCAGCCACCATTCACCGGTCCCTTCCCACTCATCAACCCCTCTGTTCGGAGCTCATATTTCGCTGGGAGCCATTGTTCACCGTCGGCTTTGTACAGTATTCGTATGATGTATTGCACCGTTTAGAGAGTGCGGCGCTGCAAATCGCTGCAAAGAGCTGGGTTCGGCTTTTTGCTGCTAAAGGGTGGAGCGTTTGAAAACCACTGTCAGACTTGGCTTAAACTGGAAACTCTGAAAGGCAAAGTGCAAACTATGGTTCCGCTAAGTGAGTCGATTTCATTATGACGTAGCCTGACTGACGTAGCCTGGCTGGTTCCCGTGAGATTTAGGCGGCTGATCTTGGGCCATTCATTTAGAAAACACAAAAGCAATGATTTCTTAACTTGGTTTGTGTCTTTATTAGGCATTTTTATCTTCGCAAACACTGACATACGTTCGTGACGCCTCTGAATCGGTAACCTTCTGTTCTTCAGGCCGTGGGTCTGGCCAGGCCTGGCTTCTACACTGAGACAGAGCTGTAGTGTGGCCGTTCACCCACAGAGCGGCGATCAGAACTGAATAAGCCCTCCCGGTGGCGGGCGCCTGACCATCTATCCCGGCGAGCTGCGGTCGGTCGGACCTCACACCGCACACCTGGCTGGACTTCGAGGAATGCTCGCCAGGAGGCTGCCAGGAATGTGAAAAATCAGCCGCCGCCCGTTCAGAAGTCGGCCGCCACCCAGGCACCTAATTAGATTACACCTCTCCGCGCCGGCGGCCGGCCACGACCGGCGCTTTTTGCCGCGCGCGCGCCACCAGCGCCGCCCGCGCCGCGGCCGCCGCGCCGCGCCGCAGCACGCCGACGTAATTAATATCCGGTGTGCGCGCGCACGGCGGTCCGGCCTCTCGACATCGGTGGAGCAGCGGGGAGCGCTGTTACAAACTGCCGGCGCACATGACCAGACTGGGGATGGCCACCGCCGCCGCCACGTGCCCCGGCCCGCAGCGCCGACCGCACAGGTCACGTGATGAGCCGAGATTGCCGGCGACGAGCGGCGGCGCACCGGCTGCAAGTCGGGCGCGTCGTATTGTTTACGGCGGCGGCGGCGGCGCGGCTGTCTTGTTAGCCGCGGCTTTGTGTGAGCAGCTGGCGACGGGCGCGACAGAGCGGATCGGCGGCGCCGTGTGAACGGAGCTTTACGGCCCGCCGCAGAGGCCGCGAGCTGCGCCACGGGCTCCGTACGCGACTCACGGGGTCACAGAGTAACGGCAATACCGCCAGTTGTCGGAACTGTCAGCTGAGTGTGCATTCATTGCATACATAAGAAGTACTGCGAACGTTCAATACCGGGAAAATTATGTCATGCTTCTTACTCAAAGATTAGAAAAAAAGCAGGGCAAATAAATGTAAATCCGTCATCATCTTCGTCGAATTTAATTAAATGCAGCTTATGTATGGAGCGTTACAAGCTTTTTAAGCGCAGAATCATGGATGAATTCTGTCATGCCGTATTGACCAGAAGCCATTACCAGAAGCTGTTGGCAGTGGGCTTCACAACTGCATTTGTGACCAAATCACATACTCGTATATCCAAGAGGGCTCGGTAAACGAAAATATTTCAAGTCCAACTCAAATCCGATGGCCGACCCACCTGCCGATTCTCCGAGGATACCGTCGATGCTGTGGTCCTTCCTGAGCTCATCTCCTGCCGGTCCTCCGCGCAGGATCCGCGATATGGAGCTGACGGAGGGCGCCGAGTTGCGGTCGCACAGACCGTCCTGGAACAGGACACAGGTCAGTCACATAGGGCGCAAACCTTCTGAGTCCCAGCAGGACCCTAACTGGTCGCACAGACCGTCCTGGAACAGGGCACAGGTCAGTCACATAGGGCGCAAACCTTCTGAGTCCTAGCAGGACCCTAACTGGTCGCACAGACCGTCCTGAAACAGGGCACAGGTCAGTCACGCACGGATTAATCCGTTTAATTTTTAATAAAGAAACGCGATAATGCAGCCAAACAGACCGTCTTCAAACAGGGTGTAGGCCAGTAACCCGGAGAAACGGAACTTCATGTGTCGTAGCAAGACCCTAATTAGTTGCACAAACCGTCCTAAACTAAGGCCCAGATCAGTCAGAGAGCCCGACCATTCGGAGAACAAGCTTCCCTGCGGCCACATAAACCTGTCAATATCATCAAACATCCCCCAACAAATAAACCCGAGTGCATCGGCTTCAGACAGTCGGCCGGTCTGTCGTTAAGCGCCGATGGCCCGCCGGCGTGACGTTCCCTTTTCTACGGGTCTGCTGAGCCAGAGAGGGTCCATGTAACGGCCGGTCCGTGGCGGCGATAATGGCGGCGCGGTGGACTTCGCGTGGGCGTTGGTGTCACTGGGGAGAGGTGTTCCGCACGACCTCGCGTTCCCACCGACGGCTAACGGACAGCGAGGAGAGAAGAGAACAGGTGAGTGTGCTGAGCTGCAGGGGTTCGATGGAACTGTGATGTGAATGCTAGTGATCAATGATCACTGAGCATGATGGCTGGAACAAAGAGCTGCTGGTTTTAAGACGAAAACATACAATTTGTTTCTGCCCAAACTGTCCCCCTCTCCCCACATTCCACAGGAAGCATTTACAAAAGATTTAGGCTGAATCTTTTTATCAGTAAAACCTAAAGAACCTGAACATTGACGACAGATGCCCTGAATGCCCCAAGCCAAGTCTAACTCTCGTAATACCATTTGTCAACCTGTCGTGGCGATCAAGGGTAGCGCGAGTTGCACCTGATAATCCTTGAACCATCTTTACCGATCTCACCCATCTCACCGAACCCCAGACGTAACTTACCTTGATGAGCCGGTCTCGGATCTCCCAGCTGAAGACGCCCGGGTTCTCCTTCTTATACTCCTCGATCTTGTTCTCGATCTCGGGCGTGGCGACGCGCGGCTTGGATCCACCGATCACGCCAGGCCGGATGCTGCCCGTTTCCTGGTAACGGTTCAGGATTTTCGAGACGCATCCGTGGCTGACGCGCAGCTGCCGGGAGATCATGCAGGGTCGCACTCCTGCTGACGCCATCTCGACGATCTTCAGACGGATGTGGTTGGGCAGCGGTCGTCCGTTGATGAACACACCGCCCAACTGGTTGACCCGACCCTGACCTGGCAGCGACAGAGGGGGCGATTGGTTAGTAGCAGTAGTGGCTGGTCGGGGTACCTAAGTTCTGATTTTTCGTCCGATGACCGCTTTTTCAGGAGTTCCATGATCCGCAAACGTAAAGGCCTATAACTACACTGCACCTGTAACTAACCGTATGATTGCACATTTGCATGGGTGGTACGAATTAGCAAATCCAGGGGGGTGCAACCGGGCCACACTCAGGCCTAGCGAGGCAGCTAATATGTCATTTCCCATTTCCAATTAGAGCTCGTCCCTTTTTCGCGATTCACAACAGTTGATAGGTATAGATTATAGATGCCTGTCAGATACATGGGAAACTTCATTTCCGAAGCCAGTCCACGCCAGTCCAATGTACTTAGTACTTACCTACGTCAAAATCAGGGATATTTGGCCTTTGATGAAGTTCGGAGTCGTGACCTTTGATATACCAAGAGTACCATTCTCATGATTTTTTTTCTCTGTTTTGAATACTGTTTGGCGTGTGTCTTTACGTGGCGGCCCATATGCGGAGTTAGAGGAGAGGGGGCGTAAAAACGTCTCACGCACATCGATGTGTTACGGACAACCGCCCTGGGGTGGATTAAACTTTCGTCGGGATGCTTTTGATTTGGGAAGGGGATGATCGGTACAGCCCGCAACCGTTATGGAGGGCCAAAATGTAACCGGTTTTGGCCCCTTCCTTTGAAAATGGCTATGGGTCCGCCTTTGGTGGTGGTTCCCAGGGGTTCTAAGATTGATATAAGAGTAGGTATAGTCGTATTTATTATTTGTGACCCAAATAACGAACAACAAAGGCTTCAATAAATGCAAAGGTGAGCCTGGAATATTGATGGAGACCTGACTTCACAGCTCCCATCTGTCACTAGACGCTAGAGCCATTATTGGGTGTTCTGTTAATTGCCAGGATTCAGGATTCATCCAAGACGTTCTTCGCATACTTACGGTTTGCGGTGTCTACTTTCAGCTTAGGCATGAGCTGGGTGCAAGTGCTTGGTGCAACATCACTCCACAGCCATCAACTTCACTGGAAGTTGAACGGAATGGGCTCTGTGGGACTGGCCGCTTCAGGAGCCAAGATACCGACATATTTCGTATTGCGTGAAAAACAAACGACATCCGTGTCACCGTCTTGTGTAAGTTCGCATTTCGCAACTCGTCAATTATAAAGGCTTCCACTTACACCTGTTATATGGTGCATCAACTACCTATCTTACATCGGGTAGCCAATTGACACCTAGGTCACTATAATTTCTCTCTACAAATCCTTTTCACGCCTCGCCACACGCGTAGCCGGTTATCTGTCGGCCAAGGACCGAGTGACACTGTGTAATAAGTCGGCAACCAATCCGGGGCGCACTGGTCTAATGATCAGGTAGCCCGTGCGGTAATTACCCGAATTATTACCCACCACCGCCGCCGGATTTGTCCCAGTCGCGCCGGTAATGCCGCGTCACGGCCAGCGCGCGTGTGGCGAGCTATTTCATCGCGCCGCGCTGCACCTGAACCTCAGCGGAGCCCACCGACCGCCCATCTCAGCCCTACTGACCAGCCCGCGCCAGTTGCACACTGCAATCAGAACGGCAGCTGAAAAACGAAACGCATGAAATTGGATTCAATTAGTTTTGAGCAGCGTGCCGTAATAGGAGACGGGCTAATGATTTGATAACAATAACGGCCGAGCTGGCGCGTTGTGCGGTGTAATCTCGGAGGGCGCCGGCGCGGCGCTGCTGGACGTTAGACATAGGGGGAGTTGGAGGAGGGCGGGTGCTCCTGGCTCACAGCAGGGGACTGGACGGAGTGGCTAGAGCTGCTGGAGATGCTCCGTCAAGCGGCTCGAGTCATACTTGGTGGCATTCTTTATAGTAACACTGGCTTGCACAGAATTAATTTTTCTATGTTGCCACCATTTCTTCTGTCGTTCTACAATGGATGTAAGCATAAAGCCTCCATACATTCCACCTTAGCGTACTACATGTATCACCTTGTCATATAGGCAAAATCCGTGCTCCCCATGCTCTTATGCCATATCATATGCGCTCGTCCTTCAAACGTGGTTAGATAGCTGAAAAGCGTGCCTACGCAGACACTTTATTATGATCAAAGAGTGTCTCAGTTCATGAGACGGTCCTGTTCCAATTAAAGGGACCCTCCCACCTTCAAAAAAGTTAATGAATTGGCATGAAAGTGATGTCGCTCGGTTCAGAAAGAGCAAAAACGAATATCTACCAAATTTCATCGAAAAATATTCACCGGTTTTCAAGATATTAGACTTTTACTTTTGTTTACTTTTTGGGATCTCCGCTGTTCCTAGCGACTTTATTTAAAAGTGCGGCATTTGTTGCGCGCAAAGCATCATATACCACCGCGTGCTACAAAACGTTTTAGTCAAACATTTAACGGACGTTCGAAAGCTTGATGACGTCATCAGATTCCCGTAATGGTTAAGAGATAGGGACCACGCTGGTCCCACCCTGCAAGTAAAGGGAAGAAATTTCTTGAACACCATAAAGCTGCGGGGGTTGCGACCAGGATAAATGGTGGTTTCTGAGCCTGGCCGCAAACTTGGCTATCTCAACTCAAAACTAATGTTAAGGTGGGAGGGTCCCTTTAAATTCCTTGATGAATGACTTTTAAGAAGCATGCAATAAGACCAAACGTCGAAATTCTCTCGCATTACCTATAATAATATGAAAGCATTGTGTGATTTGTTCATTCCACCGTCAATTTAAATTGCAGTTATACGCATCTAACTTTCGCATTTAGCTGCACACCTTTTTATCCTACAATTACCTATGTTTGCATTTTTGGGATTTCCAAATGTTCTTTTGGGACTTAACTTGTGGGTTGCGATGAAGTTCGTGAAATGAAATGTGATATCAACGATAACTTTTGACCAGCTGTTTGGAGCTCTGGTTGGTATCGCTGGTTATCGCTGTTCATAGGGTCAGGAAGATAAAGGCGTCATTTAGCGCTAATGAAATCAACTTTTGAGGTGTTATATGGTATAGGTTGATGCCTACATAGGTTCATGGATGACTGAAAGGACGCCTTATCATACATTTCATTTCTTCAATTCCATATCTGTCCAGTGTCCAGTAATCCATGTCTTGCAGGTTCGTACAGCAAATTTGTATTTGAGTAAATGAATTTCGTGCAATGGTGTGCGATGGGCTTATGCCTACATACCAGTTGTTTTCAGCATCTGATTCATGTCTTGGATATTGGCCACCAATGCATCTGTTTTCTGCATGATTTGGGCATTGATCATGCAACATTAGCATATTAGCGGTGCATGCTCGTCAAAGGAGAGATAATTGCAGTGTCGACATTAGATGAGCAAATAAATATGCATATAAATGTGCAGTTCACTGAGTCCCCAAGTACCCAATGACCGGCCAATAGCCAATTCGCACGTCTATGATTTAACTTAATGTGAGGGTTGTGGTGACTAATGATCATGCAGGCAATTCATCTATAAGGAAATTCTTCTTAGCCTTATTCTGGTTATCTTTCATCGTTTCGCTTCGACTTCCACACAGTAGTGAAAAATAATATTATAAGTGAATGATTTGTGTGGAGCAAATAGTTATTTATCACATTCTCATGCCCATTGCCTATGTACGTAAGAAAGACCCAGAGAAAAACTAAGAAGTCACAATGCAACCTACTAAAATACGCATCCGCAGTAAGCTGTTTCAATATAAGGTGTGACCGAAAAAAGTCTGATGTGTCTTCTTCGCTCGCCTGCATTGCGTAGTATATGCGGTAGGCTTAACACTTAATAGCACTTTTATAAGAACGCCTTTAAAGGAAATAGTTCACTTTTTAACATGGGTTTTGAACTGGAATAGCAGTTCCGTAGCTTGGGCTGAGACGAGCATAAATCAGGAGCTTTTACAGCCCAACGATCACCCTAGGCAAAGATATTCTATTTCTCGTTCCGAAAAAGGTGTCTTGCGTTGAGGATGTGTGCCTTGCATATATTTCCATCCAGTATGAAAAGAGCATGGGTCCCGAAAATTCTTCAGAAACTAGAGAAATTATCTACGAGAACTCTAGAGAAATTCTCGTACTGGGGCGTTCCACGACAGATCGACCAAAAAAATCGCGAAATAACACCCTACCTCTCATATTTTGATGAAATTTCGTCTATGGGGTTATCTTGTCCGGCGATTCGTGTTGTGACATTTTCAATCTCATTCGTCCAATACTTTGGGAGATATTGCCCCAGGCAACTTAATGGCTACCATAAAAACTCTAAGTTTCATCCGCAAATATTTAGCTAAATACTGATTAGATTCATATAAAACTGCATATCATCACAATAAGAATTAACCAAAGATTTTGGTGATATCAATTATTTTTGAAAATTTTGCTCTTTTAATTTTTTACCATAAAATTGATTTATAAAAATCAAATTTTGAGAACGTGGCCATCTTTTTTTACAATTTATTTTTGCAGCAAAAGTCTTGTCAACGCATTGACTTTCAATGATGAAAATATTAAAAACATGTTTTTCCCCTAAAGGTCGCTATACAACATTGTATTTCGTCGTACAGTGAAAAAAATAACAATAACTGTCAACCAGTCTAAACGGAGTACGGTGAAATGTGATCAAGAGCTCATTGCGACGCTGTTAATTCTTTTTAAAGATGCTTAAGACACCTACGAAAGCTAAGTTAGGACCCAAAGATCCAAAAACGTCATAATGGCGTATTGTTTTCAAGAGAGCGAGGTTTAACCCCTGTGGCCGAGGGAGCGAATGCTAATCACCTTTGACGGTTTTCTCGCCACTGCTGGGGACGCATTGGCGATAGAGTGCTGAAGCCGGAAAGTTATTACAAGTTATCTAGTTGATTTATTTTGTGACATCAAATGAACTTTCATATAAGGTCACTTTACTGAACTATGACGTCACGTAAGTGAGCCTATCTAATGCTTAAAAATGTTACTATTGCGAAACGCCAAACAATAGTTTACGGAGAGAACGTATGTAATTCACGCATTCTTTGCAAGGTCCGATGCTTTAGTTTTGCTGGTGGGCCTTGCATGACGTCATAATGACGCAACGTCATTTGTGACGCCACTAACGCTGATTGAGTCGAGAGTTTTTCGTTAATAGATTCCAAACAAAATGACGACATTGAGGGGAGGGACATCAATGTACTGAGAATGAGCTGTCGAATCGACAGATACTTTTGCCGTAGGTCGGTATTATCTCAATTGACCAGTTTCGGGACCTAAAATATTTTGCCAGATACCGAAATGACGGTTCTGCGACCATTTAAGGGATTTATTGACCGAAAATTGGATCCCTGCCTCAATGCATTTGACCTGACCTCAGAGGTTACCGGTTGCCGGAATGATAAAACTTGGTTTGGAAGAGGTCAGCTTAAGATGTTTTCCTCAGGTCGAGGCCACATCAAAACCGCTGAGGTCAAGAAGCTGTTCAAATGACGCCATTTCAGCCGTTTTCACGACGGATATCTGACGAATCTAGCCAAATCTTTTACTACCGCTATTTTCATAACGTAATTTTATTCTTATGCTTGAGTAAAAAGTAACGACTGATAATTTGATAAATAAGGTCAATAAGCAACTAGCGCAACCTAAGCTAAAAACAATTAAGAATCAACTATGAACCAAATTTGACCAAATCCCATCAAATATCAGTTAATGTGTGTCAGATAACCGTCGTGAAAACGGCTATTGTAAGTATATGATTCAGTTCAGCAGGGTTCCCTGAGTTCACTGGTGGCTTATTCGACTCGTTAGATAAATTCCATTCAGTCATTGACAAAAAGAAAACCGATGACCTCACACGACCGTACAATGTAACGGCATATACGGCGCATTGCAAGGTCCTCAATGCAAAACCTAAGAATCGCTCTTCGCAAAAGTGTATGAAATCACGATTACAGGCGTTTGAGATGGGCTTGGATCATTTTCGGCATCCAAATAACAGTTCAAATGTTTCAATATTTCCCATTGACTTATATTAGTGAAGTCACGTGACCAGCTTGACTTCGGGTGAAAATTTAGGAAAGTTAGGGGAATTGATGTTGTGAAATCTCAAGAGCCGTTACTGCCGTTACTTGTGTCATCCCCTGCAAAAGGTTCCCTTACACTGAGAGTACAGTGCAAAGCTGCAACTTTTTGCATTATTCCGAGGTTTATTTGTGACGTCATATGTCAGTAAGCTGACCTGAGCCTGTTCTGTTGGTGTCAACAGATTCGGAATGTCAACTTTCAGCTCTCCAGCCTTACACCACTGCAAACAATATCGAGAAAACCGTTGGGGCTGCACATCAAACCCTCCCCTTCGGCCGGGTGGGAATAAAAATACTATGAAAGTGAATGTTAGCGAAACATGGAGCATCCCAAGCCACTAGCTACCTCGAAATGCATTAATTTCAAAACGTTAGAGATGCTTCCAGTTTCAAGAAAACAGAATTCAATATCGGCGAGTTTTCAAGTATTTGTAATTTTGTCACCCCCGCCCACTCTGACCTGGTCACGCCCCTGGCAATTGCAATCAATTACCTTCAAATGCCGCATTTTGGTACTCATATAATTTTTTTGTGGCAAATTTATTCATCAAAATTACTGAAAGTCCGTTATTACAAGGACAGAGCGAACTTCATGCGATTACTAGCTAGAGCCTTCTCCTCATTTAACTCTAACACAGCCTCGGCTCTTATGAACGGAAGTTGTGTAGGTATGTCCGGCCACAATGTCCGATTAGCAATTTTGATAATTCCTAACGTTTCATTGGCAGATCGAGCCGGACGTTTTTTTTTTTTTGGGGGGGGGGGGCAAATGGCCGAAATGGCCCCTTCCTTTCCATGCACCGCCATAGGCGCAATGTTAAAACTCGGGTTTTTGCGGGGGGGGGGGGGGGGGGTAAACGGGCTTTGGGGGGAGCATGGCCCTACCCCCTGGATCCGCCAGTGTAACGTTTCACCAGTGCAAGCTGCTTAGAAGCATATCAGAATTACATGCGAGGCGGCCGATATCAGTGTTCAGCTCTTTTTTTTTGCCTGAACAATGTTCGAAACTACAGCGAAGGTGAAGCAAACATCATTCAATAATCGCATGCCTGGTCTGTGAGTGTGAGTGCCAGGCTTTTATTTCTAATTTTCATGAAACAGTTCGAGGATATGTGGGTAGGAGAATGATTGGCTCTGGAAGGCATCACCAAATGTTCCCTTTTACTACAAACATTGTCGTAAACAAAAAATTATATAAAAAGTTAAAGGCAAAACATGTCTCTTATTTTTTGGACATTAAATTTCCATATCCAGAGGCATCTTTTGGCATGATATTTTTGTCAAAAATTAAATGGCCACCTTTTGAAAATCGAAAATCAAAAATTCATTATTTCAAAAAATCTTGCGATTTTGAAAATTTTCAAAATATTTTGGTTGGATAATTTTCTACTGTCAATGAGGATTCCAATGATATGCATATTAATGTAGGTTACTGGCTATATTTTTTGATAATACGAGTTTAAAAGAGGGTTACTCTGGGCATTTTGAAAAATGCTTCTGGTTATAACTCGTAAACCCTTCGTAGTATAACGCTAAAAATAAGAGATTATGAATCTACGGTACGGATAACCCCATAGACGCAATTTCATCAAAATCTGAGAGGTAGGGTGTTATGGCTTGGTCGATCTGTCGTGGAACGCCCCTACTGATCAATTAGGACATTCAGGGGAACATTATCAGATCGAGCAGATCGCCCAAATGCCGGTGGCTGCGATAATTTCTCTGTTTCTGAAGAATTTTCGGGACCCATGCTCTTTTCATACTGGATCGCGTGTGCCTTACAGAAACTGAAAAGTTCTTCCTATATCAAAATATAGAAAAAAATCTTTTGTTACAAAAAGGTTTTATTTTCTTTGCTGATTATTTTGAACATAAAAAATAATAAATCGTTGCAAAAAAAAATAATTTCGTGAAAGTGAACTATTTCCTTTAAGGTATTTTCAAACGAAAGCGGGGCAAATATTGCCAACCAACTGCTCTATCAGCATGGTAACAAAGCTGGTAACCAACTGGCGACGTTTGTTATTGTAGTTAGAATCTTGGATTATCATAGCGAGGCCACCGATAATTCAATCAGATGTCATCAGCGCCCCCCATGCCTAGAGGTCATCCCTAGGTTCCAGCCCAGGTCACACCCAATGTCTGGCGAACACAGTGACTTACTCGTAGTCCTGAGTCACTCCTCAGTCCTCATGGTACTTATCCAGCTAAGCTATACACGGTCTAATGGCCATTCATGAGCGATGCACGGGCGAAGTCGCCATCCGCGACCCCGGCGCCTCGCCGTATATCAATCTTCACGTGCCAAGTGTCCGCCGACACCGCTCAGGGCTCATTAGGAGGTGGCAATTAGTCAGTTTCTGTTCCTGGAACGGACCCGCTGCGCTGAGGACCATCGAACCGCCCAGCTAGACTCAGCTGGATGGAAGCAGCCAGACTGGATTCGGTTCGCCGCTCAAGCACTCACGACTGATTTCGAGTTGACTTGGCCAAACGCGACCCGACGCGACGCAGCGCGGCGACTCGCCTCGACCCGACCCGTAGCCCTTCTGTCTCGACTCGAGCGTGATTGGCAAAGCGCAGACACAACACGCTCTTACAACTTTTCTGCAATTACAACTTGTCAACACGTTCGTGGCACATTAGTAGAGTTTTCCGAAGGCGTTCAATACCACGCTGACCTCGACATTCCACGCGTCCTAATCGATGCGGCACCGGGTCACCACGGTCCATCGGCTAGTCAGCGCCCATGTGCGCACGGTCGGCCGGTCGCTACCGCCCCCTGCAACAACCACCGCCGCCGCCACCGCACCACCGCTGTTTGCGCACCCTCACCTTGGAACGGGTATCCAGAGAAGATGGGTCTCATGTTGGAGATGGCCAGAGACCCGGAGACGGCCATCCCGTGTCTGCCCTGGTGCTCCAGCTCGCTGCTGTCACTGTGGCCGCCGCTGCCACCGCGCAATGTCCCGTGTCGTCGGCTCAGTGTCGGCCGTCGGGCGCACGCCGGCCGCCCGCCCCGCCGCCGCCGCCGCCGCCGCCTCCTGTGCGGTCCCTTTGGTGGCGGCCGCTCGCCGCTGATTGGCGGGCCGGGCGCGAAGGGGCGGGGCCTCCGGTAGACCTAATGACGGTGGAAAATGACAGGAAAATAAAAGGTATGAATGATTTTCGTGCGATTTGGATGTTTAACATTCCAGTGAGCTGGATCAAGGGGTGGATGCTGCGCCACCCGGCCATTTTGCCGGAGGTTGGGGAGCGGCGGGGCGCGGCGGCGGCAGCGGGGAGCGGTGTGGAACCGAGTGTGAGTTATGCGGTGCGGTGTCAGCGCTGAACTCGGCCTGTCCCCGCTGACGGGTCCTGGGGTGTGCCACTGCGCCGTCACCGACGCAGCCGACGCAGCCGACGCAGCCAACGCGCCACCAGGCCACCCAAGAGCGCGCGCCTGACGCCGTCAATTCTTCCGGCCAATGGTCGCGAATAAGATGTAAAGTCGCCTGGTGGTCCTTCTCCTCTAACAGAGCACCCACCGGCCTGGAAAATGACCCCGCGGTCCGCTGCCTATATGACGGTGACACGACGGAATTTTATCGACCAGTGAAAAGGCCTGAAATCAAGGCGGCCGCGCGGTGTCGGTCGCCGCTCGGGCCCGCTCGGTATTGTAGTCGGTGACGCGGCGGCGCCGGACCGGGCCGGGCGGGCTTCCGTACGTCATGTGTGGTCCACGGTGACTCGGCCGACACTCCCGATATCCATAGTGCATGGAGAGGGGACTGTGGAAAGGGGGCCGGACGGCCGGATATAGCGAGGTGAGGCGGTAACCTCTGCATTTCGTCTATTGACATGTGCTGCAAGACATATTCATATTTAAAATGTGACCGGAATGCATGGGATTATCTAAAAAAAGCACGACTCTTTGAGGCCGTTCTTCATTCAATCCCAGCTTATTTTCTTTTGATTCCAGCATTCCTTTTCACTGTCTCCATTGGAATTCGGGCCGGCTGAGACCCAAGTGCATGATCCTGCGAGGTTTTATGGGCGGTGAGGCGGCTTTCGCTGCTCGTGCCACGCGTACTCCCAGTTTTTGCGGAGATCCCATCGGATGATAGGTTTTTCGTTAACCAATTATATGCTAGCAAATTGCGCGGTTCAAGATGGAGACTTAATGGCTATTCCTCTCTGGACGCAAAGAAGAGCGACAGCGGGAGGCCGGGAGAATGCGGAAGAGGTCGGCTGTGGGAATAAACGGGAGAGATTTCGACCCTCCTGATCTTATATGTAGTTGTAGGCTGTTGAGTTGATCAACTATGACAACGTGAACATTGACCGACATTTTACACGAAACATTGAACGTGCAAAATGCCCATGATTTGTCGTACAAGAATGTTTCAGATGCATAACCTTTCGTGGCCTTTGGTCAAAATTGAAGCAAGAGGGAAGCCTTGACACGGTATAATACATATACAAGTTTCACTGCACCGCGCCTCGCGAGTTTCCCTAAAAATGCTAAGCAAAAAGAAAATAATAAACAGAGAGGAAGCCTAAGTAGAATTAGGTAAATGCTCCTTTTGGTGAATGCAGTACGCTTGTAAAATCCTGCCTACACTCCTGATCCTCGCTTTATTCTCTTTTCATTTTCTACGATGTTGTCTACTAAGTGCCATTTTTCACCGCTTATGTTGCGTTTGGTGACGTGTGATATTATATATAATCATATCCCGTAAGTTCGTGCACACCCCTGAAGCGTTCTCACTATCCGTGCAGATGTCAGCAGAAAATGCGGGCATCACTCCAACGTCTGTGCCACGCTTCCTTTGGGCACATCCACGCACGTGTGGCCCACGTCAGTGCCACGTCTGTGCCACGTCCACGGCACGTCGCCGTTGGCGTGTTCCAGGCCACCACCACGACCGCCGCTGCTGCCGTCGTCACCACGGGAGCCCTCCTCCCAAAACAAGAGTGACACATTAGGCGTGCCAAATGGCGGCACCGAATGGAAAAATGCCCGCTCCGGGCCAAATCGATGATGACGGATCGGTGGTAGCGCACACGGGGCGCTCGGCTGATGGATGCAAAATTCCGCAGCATTTCACGGAACCGGCGGGAAGTGGGGAAATTCTCCAGATGCTTTTTGTTCGCCGCCTTTATATGAACTCTCGAGGTAGGCGGTGTGGTGGCGTAAGATGCATTTGGCGGGGCCCGGTGTGAATGTGGGAAAATGTGTAATCCTTGGAAGGGCGTCCATTGACTGCGATTTCTCAATACAGCGGCTGTAGTCGTCACTGGCTGGACAGTCGTCAATACAGCATAGTTAGCTAAGCCATGAGAACAGCAATTTAGTTTTGCAATACTAATGAGCATCACTCTCCGTTGATCATATTTATTGAGTGTTAATCACTTCAATTGCAATTTATTTTATCGGACGTCTTATTCGACGCAATAGGCCCCAATCCCTTCACTAATGACATACTTGCAATGGTTGATGAGGCTAGGTCCATCATAACGTGCAATGAATAGCGGTCATTTCTAGTTAATGCATTCTGGACAGTTGATCTTTCATCTCACGCCGTGCTTATGAAATGTTCTCACAAGCCTTAGTTAGGTGACCCGTATCCTTAGTTTTCTATCGGCAAACTCGGTAAGATTGTTAACGGTTTCTAAATGCCATACACACGCACATGCGGTTAAGGCCCTTTAATAGCGGGTCAACAATCAACGTGGTGCCCAAGGAAAGTAGCTGAGCATGGTGCAATAAGAAAATCATCTTAATCTTACCCATCCTACTTGGTATTATTGCATTTATTGTACAGGCCGTCACTTTTGCATTTGCTTGCTCTTCCCCCTCCAGCATTCTTTTATCAGTAAATCAAGCGCATTTTCAATTTAGCTGACGCAAATATCAACAAGCATAACGCTGAGCCTTAGTGGTTTGAACGGCCATGTCTAAAATTTCCCTAATCAAATATAACCAGCTATGAAAATCGATATCAACAAAGACTCGGATAGCGGCGTGCCGCACCGGTGCTGCTCTGTCCTACCTCACCCCTCTCGCTCTCCCTGTCTCGCTCCCCTCGTGGGGCAGGCCGTTGAGAGCGCCACTCGAGGCGTTCCGATCGATTCGTGACAGTCGCGGCGCCGTGACGGAAGGCCACCGGTTCCCGTCAGCCCGTGTCGAGCGCGCCCCAGAAGCGGCGCTTGCCCAACGTCGCTGCCGGGCCGAGGATGAGACTCGGGGTGATGGGTGTCTGAGAGAGGCGGCTGTCGCCTGACTGGGCCAATTAACCCTCATTCAGTGGCGTCAGTTGTCGCGAGTTTCGACATGAAGTAGAGGAATGCACTGGAGAGTGGAGTGTTTAACCCTGCTTTCAGATAGATCAGAAATGGCATCCTTAGATGAACCATGAACAACTAACGAACGTGTCTGCAACAGGTCAAAAGTCAGGTCAGATGGTCCAGAGAAAGCGCAGCAAGCAGAAGTTCTCAAGATGTGTGTCGAAGCTCGTCGAGAGACTCCGGCCAGCCACCAGGTCAGGTCGGGTCAGATCAGGTCAGGTCGGGTCAGTGCCGGCTGTCAGCGATGAGGAACATCTCGGCGGGCCGGCCCGTCGATTGATAGGGCCGGCGGCCTCCCGCGGCGCGTCTGCTCCAATTATGGCGCGATGATGTGCGGCCCGTCGTGGCGTCTAATGTGAGCCGACAGGCGCGACGAATTGGGACGAGCCGACTCGCCTGTGGCCGCCCGGCCCGCCCTGCCGGCCCGGAGAGCGCGCCAGCGCCGACCTGGTGCGCTCAAATGCGGGATAGGGGATAGTGGATACGGGATACAGGGTACACGGGTTTAGAGATACAGGTACAAACGAAAGGGCACACGCGGAGGCGGGCACAAGAACAGATACCATACAAGGACGTCGGACACGGAAGCAACTAGGTGAGCAGATAAACACGGATAGAAACACGCCGAAACCAAGACGGGAACAGGCCACACCTGGGCATGTGTCTACTATGTAGTCACGCTGATGCAGGTATGTATCCACAATCACGCCACTCTTCTCCTCAAAGCCGAACAGCCAGCCGTTGCATCTGTGGTCCCTGGTCTGGGTGACTGCATTGCAGCACAAGACGCTAGCCCACATCTCAGAGGTCCCGGATGTTGGGCCAGATCGCGTGACGCGGCTTCCGCCTGAGTGACACAAAGTCCCGGATGTTGGATAGAAAATGCGTGTTCGCTCTCTTCGTAACTGTAAACTAGACTTTTCTAGAAACATTTTCGTTTCGTGACTAACGAGTAGTGGTTGATGGTTCATCATTGTACTCTACATCACTCATTTCTAACCCTTACCCCGTACCCGCTCCTCTCTCTCTCTCTCTCTCTCTCTCTCTCTCTCTCTCTCTCTCTCTCTCTCTCTCTCTCTCTCTCTCTCTCTCTCTCTCTCTCACTCTCTCTCTCTCTCTCACACACTCTCTCTCCTCTCCTCACTTTGTCCGTCCGTCAGCGTATCGTCCCCCGCGCGTCGCGGCCGATTCGGCGGACCCCGGCGGTGTCGACCGCGTCGCTCGTCGCTGACGACCGTGACACGAAGCGTCACAGAACGTTATGGGGCGCGGCCTACAGGCGGAAGGCAGGTCGTCACGGCCACCGGCCACTAGCTGGGCTCGCCACGGCTCCGGTCATCAATGGGATGATAAGGGCGCCAAAAACAGGACCCGGGAGGCGGGAAGCATTATTTATATATTGGTTTATATCCATTCTCCCTGCTGAATTTACAATAATGTGCTGATTGCTGGATAATGTGCATGTTCATTTTATTAAATATGAATGATACAATCTACAAATTGGATAATGCAGGCATCTGTCTTGGAATTTTATGCATGAACTTTGTGAGTTCAAAGTTGTGGACCAATGCGAAATTCTTCCAAATCTAAATTTTCAGACAGCGTGAGGAAAGCCAGGGCAGCAATGTCGTTTTTTTGCAAAGAATGTATTATAAATATGATCGTTAATTGGCCCAACTTACATATGAAAAAAGTGGTGCAAAACAATATAATAAAGCTAGGCTCCAAGGAGCTCGGAGATTTCTCGCGTCGAGAGGGCGATCTCACAAATGCCTCACATTCTTATCAAATTAACCTCAGAGGTGCGGCTATAACGCCTCTGTTAGATGACATCCGATTACCAATCAGCCAGCACATATCTGACCGGAGTCCCACAGGGCCGGGGCATTCCTATCGCAGTGCCCCGCCGAGCTTTGGTTGGCCACCGCCGGCGATCGCTGGGCGGCTGCGGCGGCAGCGCGGCGCGGCCGGTCCGCCTGGCCGCAGCTGGCCGCCGCCCCGGTGGTCCGAACTTTTTCTAATTTTTTGTCAACACTCTCTCGGCTCGCGGTGGCCTTTTTGTGCGTCGATTCTCTCCAGTCACGTGAGGTCGGAGGTGTTCAGAGGTGCCGCGCCGTGTCCGCCCACCGGCGCACATTAGTGGCTGTCAACACGGCGCGCTGGCGGCACTGCGCGGCGCACAATGACGGACGCGGCGACACGGGTGGCGGCCGGCCCCCGCCGCGCGCCGGCCATTCTCCGCCGGCACGGAGACCGGCGCCATTGTCGCACCATTGTCGGTGGCCGCGGCCAAAGACGACCGCCGCCTCCGCACACCCACCTCCGCCCTCGCCAACTTCGCCAAAGTCGCCACGTGATCAGCTTCGTATCCCTTGCCGTACTGGTAGCCTCATTGCCACTGTTGGCGACTGACGACTTGCGTTACAGCGATCGTCCTCGCGGTATCATTAACGTGAACTCACCATTCACCATGATACCCTACTGGTGACTGCTCATCCATTGTTTTTCTCTCGTTACATTCCCGTTTTCCACAGTTTCCCAAGTTCCTCAGAGCCGTCAGTCTCCCGCCCGCTCTACCGTCCCCCGCTGGGGTGACCGCGGTGAGGCGTTACCGCTCCAGCGCGCACCGACAGATCTGAGATCACACCCTCCACTGGGCCCTCCTCCGCCGATATCGGCTCGCTTCATCAGCCGTCGTCGCTTCGGCCGGCGCCGGTTGTTTGCTCAGTGTGATGAGTACTCGCTGACGCCTGGAGAGGGTCTCGCTTGAAGGGTTCGTCGCGAGCACTCCTAAAGGAGCAATCAGTTTCTTTCAGCGGGGATTTACCTTTGTGTCGTGCCGGGGTTATTATTCCGCTGGAGTGGCCGGTGGTAGGGCGGTAACTGAGAGGACACGGAGGTGACCAGGAATCCACTGATCGCGAGAATGGTGCTCCGTGTTTGGGCGTGACGAAGAAAAGGAAAATCGGTAAAATCGCCAGCTGCTATCGGCATCGGCTTTGATCAAAGACAAAACAAAGAACCTGTTCTGGGTGATTATATTGAATGAATGGGTAGACGATACGAGGCCATAATTTACCCTCAGAGAGTAAGACGGCCCTCACATCCCCATGGTATGCAATGCGTATCACAATATTGTCGCCATGAAAAGTGCTTATTGCTAGTGTTATTTGTTGTCTTTAAGCTTCAAAAAGATTATCAAGACACCGGCGAATGGCTATCGTAGGCCATGAACAACATTTTTCGTTTTTTCCGGATAAAAACTGTAAACTCGAGGGAGAACTACGCAAAATAATAGAACAACCTTACGAATGGTGTTTAATTTATGACATCTCTTTGGGCCGTATAGCCATCTGATGCCCTGAACATTAGATCTCGTATTCAGTCGCCATACCGAATGAGCCAAAGAAACAAAAACATTTAAATCAGTAGGGCTTACACCAGCCGGTGGTCCAGACCCCGTCCACCGGGTGACCACGCGGGTCGGGGAAGGGCACGTCGGCCGGCACTAGCTCCTTCGACAGCTCCAGCAGACGCTCCAGCATCGCCTGCACCGTCTCCGGCATCAGCGACGACAGGTCCAGGCGCTCGGTCGGGTCGGCCGTCACGTTGAACAGGTAGACCGGGTACTCGCCGAGACTGCCGAGACTCGAGCGGACCGATCGCCGCGCGCTGGCCGGAGCGCGATCGGAGGAGTCCGGCAGGGCCTCCAGCACCGGGTACCAGTCGCTGGAGCCGGAGTTGTCTCCCCAGAGCAGCTTCATGTCGCCGATGCGCAGCGCTGCATTCGGCAGCTTCTCGTCGATGTTGTAGACCATCTCTGTGCGCGCGCTGGGCTGGCCGGCGCTCAGCATGGGCCACTGGTCGAAGCCGTCCAGGGGGTCTCCGTCGGCGCTGGCTCCGGCCAGCCGCAGCAGCGTCGGCATCCAGTCGGTGATGTGGATCAGCTCGTGGCTGACGTAGCCGGCCCGCTCCAGCAGCGGGGAGTGGACGAAGGCCGGCGTGCGGGTGCCGCCTTCCCAGAGCGTGCCCTTCTCCCCTCGTAAGGGGTAGTTGTTGCCCCCATCGCTTGTTTTAGAATCAGTATAGCCACAGACTTCTCTATATATGGACTGTGCGCTGATCCGAGGAAATCAGCATTGGAGGCCCAAAAATAAGTGCACTTTTATCCATCTTTTTACAATGAAAAGGGTGTCAGAATATTTACAAATTTGGATATAGGATAGCCCATACTTTTATCTACCTGTCGGATTACATTTTTTTTGTTGAATTCAAAATAAATAAGAAATAAATGTATATAAATGAGAACATGTTTTCTCGTTCAGTTAGCCATTTGTTCACGCTGGAGGTATATACTTCACAAATGCAGCCGTACTTTGCGAGCATTTTCTTGCTTTTGAATGTTGGTTGCATTGTTGGTTGTCGTTGCTAATTTGTCGGAACTAGTCATTTACGTTGGTTTTGAAAAGGGGTTTGAGAAATAACGATACATTATATAGGGCCACAAGAAGCAGTAAAAATAAGTAAGAAATAGCTCGAAAAAATGGTCAAAAAAGGAAAGAATATTATCGATCACTACCTCATCACGACCGGATCAGAAAACGTGTGGTGCGCTGATGTCATTCCGGGTATCAAGCCAGAGTCAGGGCAAGAAAAATGTGAAACGAAACATAATTTCTAGCAAAAAGGCAACTTTTTAGCCTCCCGTATAACTAAAAGGAAAAAATGTTCACAGACGAAACCATCAATCGAGATAAGAGATAACGTTGAGGACAATCAGATTTGCAAGTTTACTTTTGCAAACACTGACTCCTGTGAGACTCACACAGCAAGAAGAAAAACAGGACGCTATCGACGGCGCCAGTCTCAGCACACTTCCTATAATGCCTAGTGCCTTATTTTATTCTGGAGAAAAAAAAAAGACTCACTGAAAGGAGCTACAAAGACTTAACTTGACCAGCAGTTAATGTGAAAAGAACAACTCGCCATCGCAGTTCGAAGCTACGCCGCGCTAAATAATGTCATACCCATGGCAGTGATACGCCACTACATCCAAAAGAAGTAAGCTTATTCAATCAAACAATGAAGTTTATCCAGTGTGTCGTATGGGGTTGTAGTTCATTATGGTCTGGATCAAATCATCTCGGAAGAATGCTCGATGAAATGATGGAATTCGTACCCTTCGCATCAATGTTAAACGATGAAGGTTGCCGCTCTTAAATGTTACCGCAAAACTTGCATCGGGATCGGGAAGCTCAAGAATACGCCAGTCTGCGAAGAACGGACGGAAAAATAGCGGTGGAGCAGAAACAAGATGCATAGGACTGATTTGAGTATAAGTAGCTGGGACAACATCTGTGCCGGTGGTGGCCTGTTATTACAGGAACTTCTACTTTGGATATCTCAGGAAACTGGCAGGTCACCATTTCTAGGCCAGCTGTGGACATTTTTGATGGAGAAGCCAAGAAATGTGCCAATGGCGAAGAGCATACTGTAACTAACGAGCTACAGAATATGACGGAGGCGCCGGGGGCACTAATCGTTTGGCCGAACGGGGAAGAGCACTCGATCCGCGCCCCGGCAGGTTACCTGTACTCCAGCTTCCGAGCTGAGATGGTCGCCCTCCGAACTGATCTCTCCTAGCTGCTGGAGAACCCGCCGCACGCCGAAGACACCATCGTAGCCTGCACCGACTCGCAGTCCGCCCTCGCCGCCATCCGAGGTGGCTGGGCCGCCCAGCACTCCTCGCTCGGAGTGGACATCTGGAGAGCCCTCTGGGGACTGACAGCTGGAGGCCTGTTGGTCTACCTACAGTGGGTGCCTTCACAATGCAGGTTGGAAGGCAACGAGAGGGCCGACACCATCGCCAAGCAGGCAAACATACTCGACTAAAAACAAATCCTTATAGACGTCCAGAAGGCCCACTGGGCCGCCGCCAGAGTGGCGAGGGCTCGCACCGTCTGGGCCTGGCCAGCCGGCTGGTTCCACCAGCTGACGGGGATCGACTCCCGCCTACCGTTGCCGGCGGCGACCGGCCAGCGGCGGTGGACATCCACCAGCTCCGCGCCGGCCACTGGACAAGCTCCTCCCAATGGCGCCACAGAGTCGGGTTGGCGCCCTCCTGGCTGTCGGAGTGCAACCAGTGCGACGACCGACAATGCAGAGCCGCACTCTACCCGTCTGCTGAGAGGAGGCGGACAGCCCAAGCATGTCCTCCTGCGGTGCCCGGCTCTGATGGGCACCCGACATCGCCTGATGGCGACCATCAACCCCAACATGGAGGAGGTGCGGAGCGGCAGCATCGTGGTGGCCCTGGGGGCCGCCCACAGGTCCCTTCAGAGCTGCTCGGCTACGTCTCCATGGGACGAAGGGACACAATAAAAGCAACAATAGCTACAGCATGACAACGTGATGGGAACGACCGTCACAAGAGCTATCGCCTTATCATTCAGCAGCGAGTGGAAAACGAGAAGACGGAGGGATACGTTGCAATTGGTGATGCGCATGTGCGAATGTGTGAAAGTGCGACTATGTGTAGATGCGTGGTGCGAAAAAGTGGGTAGCAGAGAAGAACAGTGAAGACACCGTTGCAGCAGACACACATTTTCCCGTAAAGTCCCCCATCGGCATTACCGCCAGCGATATGCGGCATTACCAGCGCGGTCGGTGCACTGTCGCGCGAGTTTGTAGCCAGCCATGTCAGAGATGTGAACAATCCACACGGGGGAAGAAGAAAGGGATGATAGCCACCCTTTCTCGCTGGATCCCGCGGTGAAAATGGACTAACGCCATTTTCAAGCCCACTGGTGCAATGTGAGATGAACTTGACATGAGGACATCAATGGGTGTCGATGAACGTGAATGGATGTTCCAATACAGATTCATATCGACCAGAAGCCTTTCTTATTCTGAGCTACGAGCAATAGATAGTACAAAAACAAAATATATTACATAAAATTCAGCCTGTCGACAGGAAACAATAAAAGGGTATTGTGTTACAACATATGGGTTCATATTAGGGCTTCAGAAATTTGGGCCTCCAATGCTGATTTCCCAAATCAGCGCACAGTCCATATATAGAGAAGTCTGTGGTATAGCTAAAGACACTTCCTCCATTGTCACCCACGAACAGAATTACCGAGTTGCTGTAGAGGCCGGCGTCCTTGAGGGCCTTCACCACTCGTCCGACCGAGTCGTCCAGGGCGGTCACCATGGCGCTGTAGGTGCGCCGGTCGGCGTTCATCGTGGCCGGGTACAGCTCCTCGTACTCGGCAGGCGCCTGCAAAGTCGGGACTGGTGCGGTCAGTTTGGAGGTACGTATATATACTTGCTGGGGTTGCTAATATGCAGATAACAATTTTCGTTCAATGTAAATATTTATAAAACAGAAAATGAAGGTCATTTTATCTTAAAATGCGACAGGGTGGTAGCACAATCGTAACACCTCGTGGCGTAGGAAGGGAAGGGGAGTTTTCAAGCACCCTCCCTCTTACTCATCTCCGGGACCGGGGTAGTGACAGGCGGTAAGAAGCTTTCTCCAGAGCGTCAACAATCATGAAGAAAACACTTGTCATTTAAGGGCAGTTTTTGAAGGATGTGTCATCAGAGATCATTGATGGTCAAATTTTCACGATTTCGACATTCACAAAGCAGCTCATGGCTCGTGAACTAGTTGAGAAAGAACAGTAGCGCTTTTCACGACGGAGCATTGGGCACATATTTGATTTAATTTGAAAGCAAGGAAGCCAAGCAATCATCTCATTCGAAATGTGGAAGCCCAACTAATAAAAAGGCAACTGCTAAGATTTATCAGGTATCAAAAGGATCAAACGGACAAAATATGTAATAAATGCTCCGTCTTGACGAGGGCTAAGGTTTTTCAACGTTTTTTTTTTCGCGTTCCAACCAGAAGCGGCGGAACACCTTCAATTAAAGGGACCCTCCCACCTTAACATTAGATTTGAGTTGAGATAGCCAAAATGGGGTCCCTGGCTCACAATTACCGGTTTCGGCACTCACAACATCGAGAAATGCCTTAAATCGGAAATATTGAATTTCAAAATTGCAGCATTTTGATTCAGAGGGGCTAATGCATAGGAATACCCCTCTGAATGTGTGACGTCAGCGCAGATATCTAACGATTTTTAAATGTTTGACTAAAACGTTTTGTAGCACGCGGTGGTATATGCTGCTTTACGCGCAACAAGTGCCGCACTTTCAGCTGCCAAACTATTGCTTCCAAATAAAGTCGCTGGGAAAAGCAGAGATCCCAAAAAGTAAACAAAAGTAAAAGTCTAATATCTTGAAAACCGGTGAATATTTTTCGGTGAAATTTGGTAGATATTCGTTTTCGCTCTATCTGAACTGAGCGACATCACTTTCATGCCAATTCATAAACTTTTTTGAAGGTGGGAGGGTCCCTTTAAAGGGGGGGGGGGGAGGGCACTGCCGACTTTTGGTCCCATTCTTTCCACGCAACGTCCATAGGGTTAATGTTAAAATGCCAAAATCAAGGGGAGCACGGTGCCCCGGTGCCCCCCCCCCCGTTCCGCCGCCTATGGCTCTAACTAATCCAGTGTGAAACGATCTCTTTTTAACCCTAGAACGCCTAGGGGGGGGTTGTATCAACCCCCCCCCCTGAGGTTTTTTCGAAGTGCACGCTAAACGGCTTGTCGTAGCGGGCTGAAATTTTCAATACCCTTTGGGACAACCTTTGCGCATCTTTTGCCGAAGAAAAATTGATCGGGTCATGTCAGGTCACGGAGTTATGACGTCATAAGAGGTACAGCCTCCGGCCGGATTTTCACAAACTGAGTGCCAACGCCCGAGGTTTCCTGCCGGTGGTACAAACATCGGTTGATGGATCGTGATGAAACTTCCCATGCATGTTGGGGCAAGTATTGGCTATCATATGGTATAAGAAATTTGACCGGGTCAGGTCAGGTCACGGAGCTATGACGTCACAAGAGGAACAGCGTCCGGTACTATTTTTGAAAAGCGCCCGAACCACTATTTTGCTAATTCTTGTCACCTCAATGGGAATATGCAGCAATATTAGCTTCTATAGGGAGCAAATGGACCTCCCAAATCCAAAAATACAATCAGATTTCAAAAATTTAAATTTTGATTTTTCGAATTTCTGCCGCCGACTGTGACCTTGCCGACTTCCGGCGCTCCCAACGCGCCATTTTTAGAGCTAGGGAAACGAAATACATACCAAACGATAGAGAATTGATCAAGGAACACGATAGTGAAGGTTTCAAGTCGATATCTCCCACCGTTTTGCCGCAATCGCCGCCGAAAGTTGAAAAAAGTCTATTTTTCCGAAAATTTGACCTTTGACCGGTCAAAAGTAGGTCAAATGTTGACCTAGGACCAAAAAATATACCACCAATCGCGAGATCTCGTTGAGAGCAATCCGATGGTTTTTTCCGCTAAGCTCTACGACCTTCCGTTTCGAAACGCCAGGGGGGGGTCGTAACAACCCCCCCCCTGGTCGTTCGTGTTATGAGAAATGGCCTGGTCGTGCGAGGGTTAACCTTTGCTCCTTAGGGGTATTCCCAGACTCTGCCACCCGTAGCGGGGGGGGGGGGGGCATTTTGAGCCACCCCGCAAAAATCTCGAGTAGTTGTCGAATGGTTTTGCCCTCCCCTCTCCCGCCCCGGCGCCGTTTACGTAATATTATTTCACGATGCCCCGTTGATACGGAAGTCATGCAAGCCCTAGAACGGTGCGCGCAAACCTCCAGAGGTGCGTGGGGGTTCTGGAAGGGCAGGTAGAGAAACAGCGGCCGGCTGGCGTCGTGCTCTTTGATGATGCTCTCGGCCCGGTCGGTGAACACAGAAGTCGCGTAGACGCCCTCCAGTTCCGGCAGCGCCCGATCGCCGTCCCAAAAGTCCAGCGCGCCCTGCACGCTGTGGTTGTAATGGTCCACCTGGCCGCACCAGAAGCCCAGGAAGGTGTCGAAGCCGCGGTGATGTGGTAGGTACTCTGGCGCACAGTTGCCCTGGTGCCACTTGCCGACCATGTGTGTGCTGTAGCCGGCCGACCTCAGCCGCTCCGGCAGCAGGGTGACGTTGAGGGTTAGACCCGTCGGCATGTGCGGCCTCAGAACATCATCCTGTGGAGAACACGAAGAGAAATATGGCAAAACCGTTTATCTAACCACCTTTGCTAGGGTCATGTCCAACCAAGAGCCGGCGATGCCACACTCCTTGGCAATATGTTTGCATTTGACTATAGGTACGTTTACAGCGCTTATTTTTGTCATGTAGGCAGTGTTCGTGTATCTAAACAACATGGATGCCGCTAAAACTACATCGCAAAGACCCTTGTCGATGGCAGACTAAGGTGAATATCAATCTGTAATTTCAGTGGATTACCTCACCTTAATTAAAGTATCATAGTCCCCATTCGCCTTCATAATGGGGCATGAATGTACTATGTAATAACCTCTTTGCCAACTGACCTGTCTACCAACGTGAAAGGGATATCTGCCGGAGAGCAGCGCGCTTCTGGAGGGAGTGCAGACTGCAGAGCGGCTGGGCGTAGTTCTGCTCCAGAATGACACCCTCTCTCGCCAGAGCCTCCAGCGTCGGGGACAGGATGTCGGGGTTGTGCCACGACACGTCATTGTAACCTGAAAAAGCAGTTGAGCTTGGTCAAGGCTTGGTGTTTTGCGTTATAGGATAGAAGCCAAGTGCGTTTCGTCGGACTTGGTCTAGAATGGTCGAGAAGTTTTTAACTTCCGGGGCATCCCGAATTATTGATGAACAAGGCCACACTTATGATTTTAACATTTTAACGCTAGTGTGTGCCAATATGCTATTTGCGGGCAACATCTGCCGCAAGTGCCGCACTTTTAAAGTACGTGAAGTTAGCGTCGTATTCCGCGACGGATTCAGCGTCGAGTCCGAATTTCAACTAAACCCAGCCTATCCGATGCAGTTTGGGACGCTGATTCCGAATATCGTATTCATTCCAAATTTCAAGGTCATCTTCAAGGTCAAATCTCAGATTGAAATTTTGAGTCCCCGATTTTTTCTACACCGATCGTCCGATGCGATTTCTGATGGTCGCATTCGATAGCTAGGGTCAGAATCTCGAGTTCCTTAATATATACCTTATTAAAAATATTTGACCTTAAAGGTCAAATCACGGATTGAAATTTTGAGTCCCCCGATTTTTTCTACACCGACCGTCCGATGCGATTTCTGATGGTGGCATTCGATAGCTAGGGTCAGAATCTCGAGTTCCCTAATATCGCATTCATTTCAAATTTCAAGGTCATCTTCAAGGTCAAATCTCGGATTGAAATTTTGAGTCCCCGATTTTTTTCTACACCGATCGTCCGATGCGATTTCTGATGGTCGCATTCGATAGCTAGGGTCAGAATCTCGAGTTCCCTAATATATTTCTTATTAAAAATATTTGACCTGAAGGGTCAAATCACGGGTTGAAATTTTGAGTCCCCGATTTTTTCTACATCGATCGTCCAATGCGATTTCTGATGGTCGCATTCGATAGCTAGGGTCAAAATCTCGAGTTCCCAAATACATACCTCTACCTCGATCGTTCGATGCAATTTCTGATGGTCGCATTCGATAGCTAGGGTCAGAATCTTGAGTTCCCTAATATATACCTTATTAAAAATATTTGACCATAAAGGTCAAATCATGGATTGAAATTTGGAGTCTCCGATTTTGTCTACACCGATCGTCCGATGCGATTTTTGATGCTCGCATTCGATAGCTAGGGTCAGAATCTCGAGTTCCCTAATATATACCTTATTAAAAATATTTTATCTTGAAGGTGAAATCATGGATTGAAATTTTGAGTCCCCCGATTTTTTCTACACCGATCGTCCGATGCAATTTCTGATGGTCGCATTCGATAGCTAGGGTCAGAATCTCGAGTTCCCTAATATATACCTTGTTAAAAATATTTGACCTTTAAGGTCAAAAGTCAAAAGTAAAAAGAAAGGATAGAGGAGCAGTTATACAAAAAATCAGCCTTCTAGCTCTCAAAATGTTGAGTGTAGAGCAGAACGACTACCTGGGGGGTAGCAACCCCCCCCCCCCCCCCATGTGCGGGCGAGGGTTAAGGTTTGAATCAAAACAAACGCAATCTATTGATAGTCTCACCAAGGTCATCTGCCAGAATGAAGACGATATGCGGCTGGTTTGTGGTGGCACCATCACAAAGAGTCAGCAACAGCACCAGCACCAGCACCAGCTGGACCGGTCCCCGCCAGCCCATGGTGTCTGCGGGCCGCACCAGAGCAGCTCTACCTCGTCTGTAGCGGCGGACCGGGCAGCATGCATGAGGTCAGGTCCCAAGGACAGGAACCTGGGAGCCAACAGGTGCTACATTATCAGCGGCCCATGATGTCAATAGGCACCTACGTAATCTTGAATAACACGCAAAGATAGCGCACAAGGCCAATGTCATACTTTTTTGGTCGATTGGACACCTGTTTGGTGCCCCGGCAGAGCTGCTCTGGTGTGGCCGCTGACACCATAGGCTGGCGCGGACCGGCAGATCTGGTGCTGATGCTGGTACTGGTGCTGGTGCTGATACTGGTGCTGGTGCTGGTGCTGGTGCTGGTGCTGGTGCTGGTGCTGATGCTGGTGCCGGCTTTCTGTGACGGTGCCACCACAAACCAGCCGCATATTGTCTTCAGTCTGGTAGATGGCCTCAGTGAGAGATTAAGAAAATGGTATTTAGGTACACTTACACACACAGACACACACACAAGAATAAAAAAGAAGAAAGTATAAGCCATGCCATAGGCATTCCAACTTGCACAGAAAATAAAGCATTGCTAATGTACTTACTTGAGTGCTATTATGCTTCATGCTAAGATGCTGACTGAGCTTTTCTCATCACCTTTGATCAGAGAGAAATCATAAAAACACCGCTAGGAGGTGATCGTATTAAGGAGCTACGTAGGCGATACGATTCTATGGAGTTTATTCAATCGATGATAATGCTCACATCATCATGTTATGCGTATCCTTGTATACTCGTATGTGTCAAAACGCCGTCACTTAAAATAGGTACATCTTGATTGTGAGTTAAGTTATGGATGTTATTTTCTAGTAAAACGAATATGACCGAGGTAGGGTTAACTTAGAAAGAACTCAGCAATGAGCTAAGTTCTTGATTTGTCTTGATTTCTAACTACTTGATGGCAAAAGACACTTCCGCATTATCACGCCATTAGCATTATCAGCCACCCTACCGATTCCCTAAGGAAACCTGTCGTGGAATCAGTAGGGCTCACACCAGCCGGTGGTCCAGACCCCGTCCACCGGGTCACCACGCGGGTCGGGGTCAGGCACGTCCGCCGGCACTAGCTCCTTCGACAGCTCCAGCAGACGCTCCAGCATCGCCTGCACCGTCTCCGGCATCAGCGACGACAGGTCCTGGCGCTCGGTCGGGTCGGCCGTAACGTTGAACAGGTAGACCGGGTACTCGCCGAGACTGCCGAGACTCGAGCGGACCGATCGCCGCGCGCTGGCCGGAGCGCGATCGGAGGAGTCTGGCAGGGCCTCCAGCACCGGGTACCAGTCGCTGGAGCCGGAGTTGTCTCCCCACAGCAGCTTCAGGTCGCCGATGCGCAGTGCCGCGTTCGGCAGCTTCTCGTCGATGTTGTAGACCATCTCTGTGCGCACGCTGGGCTGGCCGGCGCTCAGCATGGGCCACTGGTCGAAGCCGTCCAGGGGGTCTCCGTCGGCGCTGGCTCCGGCCAGCCGCAGCAGCGTCGGCATCCAGTCGGTGATGTGGATCAGCTCGTGGCTGACGTAGCCGGCCCGCTCCAGCAGCGGGGAGTGGATGAAGGCCGGCGTGCGGGTGCCGCCTTCCCAGAGGGTGTTCTTGTCCCCTCGCAGGGGATAGTTGTTGCCTGCGAAGCCGTCACGAGAGCCATGGTTGCTAAAGACACTTCCTCCGTTATCACTCACGAACAGAATCACCGAGTTGCTGTAGAGGCCGGCATCCTTGAGGGCCTGCACCACTCGTCCGACCGAGTCGTCCAGGGCGGTCACCATGGCACTGTAGGTGCGACGGTCGGCGTTCATCGTGGCCGGGTATAGCTCCTCGTATTCCGATGGAACCTGCGATCGGAACAGGGCTGGTCAGCTTCGCTTAGGTGTTTGGATCTCGGGTTGAGGTAATTTGGTCGTTTTTTACCGTCAAGCTTCATTTGTTTACAATTTTGCCAACCAAATACCGAGTACATGATTTGAGGGTTGTCGGAGAATATGACAAGTAAAAGGTTATTTTAGTTAAATGCTCCAGGGATCCATACTGATTAAGAATAAGTTTTAATCTAACTTCATAAAATATTCGGAGTATCACAGATGAGAAAGGCAAAGACCGTGTCTGGCCAAACGTTCATTTTTTAGCGATCCGAGCGAACCTCCAGAGGCGCGTGGGGGTTCTGGGCGGACAGATACATGAAGAGCGGCCGACTGGCATTGTGCTCTTTGATGATGCTCTCAGCCCTGTCGGTGAACACAGAAGTCGCGTAGACGCCATCCAGCTCCGGCAGCGGCCGATCGCCGTCCCAAAAGTCCAGTGCGTCCTGCACGGTGTGGTTGTAATGCTCCAGCTGGCCGCACCAGTAGCCCAGGAAGGTGTCGAAGCCGCGGTGATGTGGCAGGTACTCTGGCGCGCAGTTGCCCTGGTGCCACTTGCCGACCATGTGTGTGCTGTAGCCGGCCGACCTCAACCGCTCCGGCAGCAGGGTGACGTTGATGGTCAGACCCGTCGGCATGTGCGGGCTCAGGACGCCATACTGTACGGAGCACAAAAACGATAAATAGCACAGGCGTTTAATGGACTACCTGTGATGCAGCATATAACGAGTGTTAAGATATCGTACACACTTGTCGATAGACCTCTCTTACAGGACATTGACTAACAGGTAAAAGAAAACTTTATTTTATGACATAGATACAATGGCTCCTCTGTTAGGTTTCTCTTAGTTTTACTAATAGTAGGTCGTCCTGCCATCGGTGGATGATTTCGCTACTGAAAATCTCACTCCATTGGTGTATCGTTTTCTTTTGTTAACTGACCTGTCTACCAACGTGAAAGGGATATCTGCCGGAGAGCAGCGCGCTTCTGGAGGGAGTGCAGAGCGGCTGGGCGTAGTTCTGCTCCAGAATGACACCCTCTCTCGCCAGAGCCTCCAGCGTCGGGGACAGGATGTCGGGGTTGTGCCACGACACGTCGTTGTAACCTGAAAAGCAAGTAAGCTTGGTGTTTTGCGTAGAATAACAGCGATGTGCGTTTGGTCGGATTTGGTTTAGAATGGTCGCGAAGTTACTAACTTTCAGGGCAGCCCGAATTAGTGATGAACAAGGCCACGCTTATGATTTTAACCCTAGTGTGTGCCAATATGCTATTTGCGGGCAACATCTGCCGCAAGTGCCGCACTTTTAAGATACCAGTATATCGCCTTTTGGGGCGACTAACGGAGCGAGCGAGAGGGTGGGCCTTGCACGTGCGAAATTGCGAGGGGGTACCTTCAACTGACTTGTGCGCGGCACCCTTCTAACCGGTCTCTAGCGATGTGCCAAATTTGAGCACAATCGGCCCAGCCGTTCTCGAGATCTGGAAGCGGCACCCTGCACGTGCGCACGTGCAAGATGTGTCCCAACTGACTTGTGCACGGCACCCTACTAACTGCTCCGTAACTGTGTAACAAATTTGAGCGCAATCGGTCAAGCCGGCTGCCGTTCTCGATATCTGGAATCGACCCCTGCACGTGCGCACGTGCAGCAGCACCCCAACTCTGGCACATGGATATGCATTGCCTAGTGGGTGCCTACTACATGCCAACTGTCAGCGCAATCGGCCCAGTAGTTACCGAGATGTTGCAACAATTACAAAAGTGACACCTCTTCGTTTTGCACGTGGCACGTGCATAAGGGGTCACCCACATGCATCGGGAATAGTCCAATACTTGGTAGAAGGAATGAAGCTACCCTACAAAAATTACCGCATGTAAATCGGTCAAGTTGTTGCTGAGATATAAGCCTCGCAAAATCGTGACCACGGCCGGCCGCTCATTCTCAGAAATTTCCGTTAATCTAAGGAAAGGCTACGCTCGCTTCGCTCGCTCCGTAACCAAATTATTGCTTACAAATGACGTCGCAGGAACGGCGAAAGCTCCGAAAAATAAACAAGAGTAATTGTCTAATATCTCAAAAACCAGTTTATATTTTTCAATGAAATTTGGTAGATATTCATTTTTGTTCAATCTGAACCATACGACATCACTTTTTTGCCAATTCATTAACTTTTTTGAAGGTGGGAGCCGGCAAGGTCCCTTTAAGGTTTGACATTGAAACAAACGCAATCTATTGATAGTCTCACCAAGGTCCGGGGCGGCTTGGCCAGGCGGGCCACACCACATCACGTGGTGGTGGCGAGCTATATTTTTATAATTCGGCCGCCACCCAGTCAAAATGCAGTTGAAATGTGGCGTCCGTTTTGTGTATATTGCCAACACTGTATGCCAGCGTGTACGCTCGCCAAATATTACTCGCACGTTGTGGGGGTTTTGAAAGCCCTATTGTGTCGGTGCATATCAGGTGTTTGCGGGTTTAAACGTCTCAACCTGGAGCGCGCGTTAGCATAGACGGGAAACCGGCTGTTTCGTGTCAGAAGCCATGACAGAGACTGTCCTTGTTGGGCGTGAGAGCCCTCGATTATTATTTACTTGTGTCATATTTGTATGGTTTGTCAATAAATGTTTGAAAAAAAGTCTCACCAAGGTCATCTGCCAGAATGAAGACGATATGCGGCTGGTTTGTGGTGGCACCATCACAAAGAGTCAGCAACAGCACCAGCACCAGCACCAGCTGGACCGGTCCCCGCCAGCCCATGGTGTCTGCGGGCCGCACCAGAGCAGCTCTGCCGCGGCGTGGCGGCGGACCAGGCAGCATGCATGAGGTCCCAAGGACAGGAGTCTGGGAGCCGGCAGATGTTACATTATCAGCGGCTCATGATTTCAGTAGGCACCTACGTAATTTTGAATCACACCCAAAGATAACAACACAAGGCCAATGACATACTTTTTGGTCGATTGGACACCTGTTTGGCGCCCCGGCAGAGCTGTTCTGGTGTGGCCGCTGACACCATGGGCTGGCGCGGACCGGCAGATCTGGTGCTGTTGCTGTTGCTGGTGCTGGTGCTGGTGCTGGTTCTGGTGCTGTTGCTGGTGCTGGTGCTGGTGCTGGTGCTGGTTCTGGTGCTGGTGCTGGTGCTGGTGCTGGTGCCAGCTCTCTGTGACGGTCCCACCACAAACCAGCCGCATATCGTCTTCATTCTGGCAGATGACCTCAGTGAGAGAATAAGAAAATGGTATTTACATTTACACACACACACACACACACGCACATACACAAAGATAGGAAAGGATAAGATATAGGAATTCAACTTGCAAATGAAATATAGCATTGCTGGTACTTACTTGTAGGTATGCTATTATGCTTCATGCTATCGATGATGACTGAGCTATTCTCATCGCCTTTGATTAGAGATAAAATGAAAAGCCACCGCTAGGAGGCGACTGTATTAAGGAACTACGTAGGCGATACGATTCTATGGATTTCATTTAATCGGTGATAATGCTCACACCATCATTTTATGCGTATCAATATACGTGTCACAACACCGTCACTACAAGTACGAGTACATGATGATTGTGACTTAAGTTATTGATGTTATCTTTTAGTTACAAGAATATGACCGAGGTAGGGCTAGGTCGCAAGACATCAGCTATACTCGTACGCTAAGTTCTTGATGTTTCTTGATTTTTAACCACTTGATGGCAAAAGACACTTCCGCATTATCACACAATTAGCATTATCAGCCACCCTACCGATTCCCTGAAGAAACCTGTCGTGGAATCAGTAAGGCTCACACCAGCCGGTGGTCCAGACCCCGTCCACCGGGGCACCACGCGGGTCGGGGTCAGGCAGGTCGGCCGGCACCAGCTCCTTCGACAGCTCCAGCAGACGCTCCAGCATCGCCTGCACCGTCTCCGGCATCAGCGACGACAGGTCCTGGCGCTCGGTCGGGTCGGCCGTCACGTTGAACAGGTAGACCGGGTAGTCGCCGAGACTGCCGAGACTCGAGCGGACCGATCGCCGCGCGCTGGCCGGAGCGCGATCGGAGGAGTTCGGCAGGGCCTCCAGCACCGGGTACCAGTCGCTGGAGCCGGAGTTGTCTCCCCAGAGCAGCTTCATGTCGCCGATGCGCAGCGCTGCATTCGGCAGCTTCTCGTCGATGTTGTAGACCATCTCTGTGCGCGCGCTGGGCTGGCCGGCGCTCAGCATGGGCCACTGGTCGAAGCCGTCCAGAGGGTCTCCGTCGGCGCTGGCTCCGGCCAGCCGCAGCAGCGTCGGCATCCAGTCGGTGATGTGGATCAGCTCGTGGCTGACGTAGCCGGCCCGCTCCAGCAGCGGGGAGTGGATGAAGGCCGGCGTGCGGGTGCCGCCTTCCCAGAGGGTGTTCTTGTCCCCTCGCAGGGGATAGTTGTTGCCTGCGAAGCCGTCACGAGAGCCATGGTTGCTAAAGACACTTCCTCCGTTATCACTCACGAACAGAATCACCGAGTTGCTGTAGAGGCCGGCATCCTTGAGGGCCTGCACCACTCGTCCGACCGAGTCGTCCAGGGCGGTCACCATGGCACTGTAGGTGCGACGGTCGGCGTTCATCGTGGCCGGGTATAGCTCCTCGTATTCCGATGGAACCTGCGATCGGAATAGGGCTGGTCAGCTTCGTTTAGGTGTTTGGATCTCGGGTTGAGGTAGGTAATCCTGGTCGTTTTTTTTTTTTTTACTGGCAAGCTGCATTTGTTTACGATTTTGCCAACCGAATACATCATTTGAGGGTGGTTGAAGAATATGACAAGTGAAAGGTTATTTTAGGTAAATGCTCCAGAGATTCATACTGATGAAGAATAAGTTTTTAATCTAACTTCATAAAATATTCGGAGTATCACAGATGGGGATGGCAAAGACCGTGTCTGGACTCTGGGCAAACGTTCATTTTTTAGCGATCCGAGCGAACCTCCAGAGGCGCGTGGGGGTTCTGGGCGGACAGATACATGAAGAGCGGCCGACTGGCGTTGTGCTCTTTGATGATGCTCTCAGCCCTGTCGGTGAACACAGAAGTCGCGTAGACGCCATCCAGCTCCGGCAGCGGCCGATCGCCGTCCCAAAAGTCCAGTGCGTCCTGCACGGTGTGGTTGTAATGCTCCAGCTGGCCGCACCAGAAGCCCAGGAAGGTGTCGAAGCCGCGGTTCTGTGGTAGGTACTCGGGCGCGCAGTTGCCCTGGTGCCACTTTCCGACCATGTGTGTGCTGTAGCCGGCCGACCTCAACCGCTCCGGCAGCAGGGTGACGTTGATGGTCAGACCCGTCGGCATGTGCGGGCTCAGGACGTCATGCTGTGAGGAGCACAAAAACGTCAAATAGCACAGGCATAATAAATGGACTACCTGGGATGCAGCCTATAACGAGTGTTAACTCGCCCCGCAGGGAGGGCAATTTGACCCCCCCCCTGTGGTTTTCCTGAATAACAAGAAAACGACGGCGCGCAGCGCCGCCAAATTTTTAGTACCTTACCGGGCATCAATTTGACACCTTGACACAAAAATTTCAAGCCTTAGGTCATCTTAGGTCAGGAGTTATTCAGTGAGGTCAAACTGAGGTCATGTTCGAGCAAAAATGAGCAAAAACATGAAATCTTGAAACGCTCACAAAAAACTACAGTTACAAGCCAATTTCAAAGTTCTTTATATGGTCATGTAGAAAAAAGACGGCGCTACAAAACTGCCATCTCGGATTTTTAATCTTTTGGGATTTTGACCCCCCAAAATTCAAAAAGTTGATTTTTTTAGAAAAAAGCAAAAAAACAAACAAAAGGTTTTTGAATTTCAAAAAAAAACTGGAATACATGTGATACCCTCTGCGCTCTTCTATCTACATACCAATTTTTAGATCGATACCTCTTTTTTGGCCAAGTTATAGCGAAAAACTGTTCAAAATTGATGACTTCAAATTTTTGAACTCAATTTTTTGGCAATTCTAGAGCACGTAGCGCAAAACAAAGACCACCATTGAACTCCCCGTGACGAGCTGCATCGAGTACATATGCATTGTATGCAAAAATATCAACTTTGAACTTTGACCTAATTTGGCCTGACTAGAGATGTCAATCGGATACCAACTTTTTGGTATACCGATACCAAACCGATACCAAATTGGTATTTGGTATTTCAAGACGAACGCATTTGGTATTTTGTTGGTATTATGAATCCTCTCTAATGTAAAAGAGGCTGAGATTTTGGTAAAAAGTTGGTATTTTCCTCATATTCCCAAGATGGTTCGGCTTCGATATTTTTCAATGGATGTTGTTGGTATTTGGTTTGGTTTCGGTATCACGATTTTCCGTAATTGACATTACTAGGCCTGACCTTGACCTGATCTTGACCTGACCTTGACCAGAACATAATCTAAACTGACCCCAAAGGCTGCTTGACCCACCTAATCGCATTTGGCATATAAAATGGACCATAAAACATGCATCACATGATATTTTCATATTGTCACCCTCAGTGACCTGACCTCTGTGCCCTGGCCTGGTATCAGTGACCTTAAATAGCAAAATATGTGTTTGACAAGCAATACCCCATCGATGATTTTAAATGAAATGCACTTAACTCGATTTAACAACGCATTTCTTGAAATGCCTGTAAACGGTGAAAATTCGACATTTGACCTGACGTGTGACGTCATCGTTTTGACCTAGGTCAAAGAAATTGGGTCACAAGCTAGTTCCCTGTTGGGCTATCCAACGCCGTTTGCTGCTTGTCGCTATGTTGGGTGGTTCTCGAGATCTTAGGGGGGGGGGGGGGCAAATTGCCCCCCCCCCAGCGGGGCGCGTTGCTCGGCAGACCCCAACTGGGTGCGGGTTAAGATATCGTACACACTTGTCGATAGACCTCTCTTACAGGACATCGACTAACAGGTAAAAGAAAACTTTTTTTCTTTGATGACATAGATATAATGGACCCTCTGTTAAATTTCTCTTAGTTTTACTATAATAATACCGGGCTTCTCAAAAAAGTTAGACGGATTTCTTTTGCGAATAGAGGACCCCTAACAACATTTAAGCAAAATCAATGCACGTGGAAAAACGGAGAATTTTTTTTGTATATTTATATGACACCATGGTTTGAGCTTAAAAAATGAAGCCGTGGTCTTAGGAAGTAAAAGCAAAAACTCGTGAAATTATGCTTTCCCAGACTAAGTCGGTCGGTTCGACACCACGATAGATCCGCAAACACTTTCGGGCAAAGAGAGCAACATCTTGAAACAAAATTTTCTACATTATTGACAAGTTTCTGGCTCGAGGAAGTGTTAACAATAGGTTCAGCAATTCAAGGAACACAGCGGCGGCCATAAACCCAATCAAAGGCTCACGGCGAACACCACTCGTGTGAGAGATGCGCTACTCAGACTGTCAATGGTCAGCGATATCGGGTGGCTCTGCAGCGACGTTTTGGAGGGTTCTGCAATATCAGGATGAGCAGAGATCCGGAAACGCTTAAGATCCAATGTTTCCAGCAAGACGGTGCCACGCCAATACCGCTAAAGAAAACCGAGAGGGGCTGTGGGAGCGTTTCGAGCAGCGCGTGATCGCGAGGTTCGAGACTCCCGTGGTCGGCGAATTCCCCGAACGTAACCCCACCGGACTTTTTCCTATAGGACCACCTCAAGTCCCAGGTGTACCGAAACCACTCAAAAAGTTCCGAAGATCATAGGGATGCAGTGAAGTCAGCGGTGTGCCGTCTGCAGCTTTCCGTGGGTCGTGTTGCAGCAGAGGTCGCGCTGCGCCGGGCTAAACTGTGCATCGAGCAAACAGGGAATCATCTCGAACAAGACCTCGGCGCGGCTCAGAAAGGCGACTGCCGAGGATCGAAATCCCCTCAAACGAAATGTCTTTGATGAGGCTTTTAGGTGATACC